TTGAATTTCAAGGTCAAGGAAAGACTAGGTAAGATGTCCAAGTATCAGGTAACCAAATAGGGGCTAAGAGCGGAACCTAATGGGTGACTACTTCGAAGTAAAACCAAAGGGAAGGAAATACCACTGAAGGGAAGTAATGTTAAAGTAGTCACTACAGGTTCTTTATACTAGCTAAATCCTCTCGGACTCGGAAGGGACAGGAATAGTGGAAATATGTAAGAACATGTAATAAGGCTGAAACCCTTGTTACAACACGAGGCAAGTAAAAACACGCACCAGTGGAGTTTGGATGGACATGGAATTGACACAGGGCTTTCCTAAAATGGGTTCTGAGTGGTCCGAAGGCATGGGAACTCAGCCCATGTTATCCGAATGTGCGGGAATGGTCTGGATGTGCAGGAATAAGTTTGGGTATGCGGGAACAGCCGATGCGGCTGTGCAAAGCATCGGACATCGATGGATATGAGGTAGATGCAAGGGAAATGTGGTAGGGAGTGCTTTTGCATATCACTGACCATCCAAAGGCATGCAGGGCGTGGGAATGCGTCGGACTGCGGTCAGGTCGGCCGATGAAGGCGCGGGAAATGTGACTGATGCCTCAGCCAAAGGTTTCGGCCTAAACTGGCAATGGTAGAGAAGTGGTGAAGGATGTATGGAAAGTAGTTCCTGGGTAGTTTGACTTCTATATGAGAAAGGGCTTCTGCAAGGCTAGCCCGAGCTTGAACACCACACCATTTGAACAGAACCGTCAATTTGTCCATCATCTCTCTGAACATGTTTGCTGCACATCCTCCATCGTCCATGAAGAGCTCCATGTAGTGTGAGACGAGTAGATCATGGAGTCGTTCGGCTAAGGTATCAGCAGAATGCTGTCTGGTGCTCCCGTGATGCCCATTGGCATGCGCTTGTACCAGAAATAATCTCTTCCTTCAGCGTAAAATGCTAGGTAAGGTCGCCATTTTTCAGGAACTTCTATGGCATAGAATCCTGATGCGAGTCGAAGACAGATATGAACTGGTGGCCACTCAAGCTGCTGTTGTTTTGCAAGTATGTCTCCTTGAGGCATTGGGGCTACCTCAGTGACTTTGTTCAGCTGAACAAAATTTTAGCAAATTCGCCATTTCTTTGGGCCATTATCTGCTGCTTCGATGTTTGCTGATGGGGGAGGTACTTCTTGCTGTGGCAATTCAAATGCTGGTTTGAATCCAGCGCTTTGACATTGGTCATTGACGCACTGCTGTAATTCATCTAGCGACATTCCACCTGCTTCATGGGCCTTCTGTGTGATTACTGTTGTTGCAGCACATTTAATAAGTTCTGGGGGTGCTTGCTCAATGAGCCCTGCCTCTAGCATGTCTGTGACTCGGGCATTGTAGAACTTGGACTGTTCTGTTGTGAGCGGTCGTTGGTGGATGCGCAAGTTGAAGGCCGTGTTTTCTGGTACATTGAGATTAATTGCTGCTCCTGGTATTGGTATGACTTCCCTAAGTGATAGTGCAAAGTTATCCACATTGTTTGTCACGAATTCTTCGAGCTCTGTGCACTCTTCCCTTGTTAGGTCATTCCCAAATGTAATTTGGCAAATAATCTCTGCTACTCATGCCTGGATTGAAGGCATCAGTTTTTCTGGTATAAATGGAGGGATTTCAGCAACATTTGCTTGGGCTCTGGAAGTTCACTAAGCAATTGGTTTTCATCATTTTCAGTGATGTTTATCGGGCATGCACGGTCTATATGGTCGCACTGGTCAATGACAAGTCATTGAGACAATGATGTGTTCGGTGTGACTTCCCTTGAGGGGAGCATTTCACTCCCCTGTAAGTTTCCTCATATCTCATTTTTCTTTGTCTCCACAGCATGGTCTCGGATTCTCTCTTGGTCAGCTGGCTGGTCTTGTCTTCTGAATTGGTGGGCTCCTTGGAACTGGAAGAGTTTGGTCAATCTTTGGGTCTGTCAGGCATTGGCTAGGTTCATATGAAACTTCCCTCGAGGGGAGCTCCTCACTCCCCACTGAGTGTTCACACTCTGCACTTTCTCTCTTGGCGACTTGTCTCCATACTTGTTGTTCTCTTCTCTTCTCCCGAATGTGCTGGCTCATGCAAGTTGGTGCCCATTGTCCCATTGGTTGCCACAATGGATGTTTTTGACACTTGTAGTTAGTGTTAGCATTTCCTTCAATTGTGCTATCATTGCCTTGTGTGACTTGCCTCGAAGGGGGGCTTTCCAATTCCCCCCATTGCTGTTTCCCGCTGTTTGAGATCTAGTGTTAAGCTAATTCCTTGTTCCGACATATTCGATGTCTGATGGGTGCATTATCTGGTTCGTAATTGTGGTCGAGCGTAGGCCGTCAAATATTTTGACAGGTGTCTGAGGTGTAGTCATGTATTGCTTTGAAGGCTTTGAGCATAGGTTTCCCAAGCAAAAATCCCCAACTTCCAGTGCTATCAAAGACTTCGAAATTGCATTGAGCTTTGATTCCATTGATCTCCACTATTCCTGACCATTTAGTGACTGACTCGACAATATTTCCATTGGCCATTCTGAGTTTCTTGCTGGAAGTTGTCCAGTTGTGCAGTCGGTGTTTGATTTGGCAGAATATTGATGTGCACATGACTCCTGACCATAGCGCCATCGTCGAATAGAGCTTTAACTTTGATTAGCTCTCCTTGCAGTCCATGCAATATTATCTGGTGCATGAATGGAACTGATTCTCCTGATTCAAGCTGGGTCTTAAGCGTTTGCGAGTGACCAGCCAAGTACAAGTCAACGACTATGGTTGTGTCATATGGTGATGCTGTACATGCAGCATTGTTATCTAAAGCTGGGATTTTGGGGCTAATGGTTCTATTGTTGTCCTCGTGTGTAGCCTCATCCATCATGAGGACCCTTGAATTACCTTGGGTATTCCTTGGACTGTGGGTCGACGTGATACCCTTGTTTACGCCAACCCTTCCTCTTTTCCCTCACTGAACTCTACGACTTCTTCAATCCAGGCTGAAACTGGCTGCGTGAACTGGCTGAGTACCAAGGAGATTGGCATCGCTGTGGCTCTGTTGAACATGCCAAGGACTTTGCTAACAATTGCTCTCCATGCTGCTTCTTTTGCGATAGCCTCTCTGCATGGTTTACCGATAGGGTGCAGTTTCTCCCGTTGTGACCATGGGTACCGCATGCAAAACATTCACTGGAAGCGATGGCTGCCGTGCCTGGTTTGAGAGGGTAACCCTGTCTTGTGGCTGACCCTGATACTTTCTCCCCACTTCGCATTCCACTGGCTGATTTGGGTATTGTATGCAGCGTGGCCTGCCGGATTGTCTGGGTGGTGCTGGGAGAGAAGCAATGAGCTGCCTAATGCTGTTCTTTGCTTTGTCAGTGATGATGAGTAGCTGTGAGGCTGTGGTAACAGGTTGGCAGCTAAAGTTCGACTGCGTACTTTGGTTGATCTGCTGCGTTGGTACTCGTGTGACTGTACTATTGGTTTGGGGTATATTCAGGCAGTGTTGATGAGTTAATGGACATTCTGGGTAGTTGGTTCTGTAGAGCTGAGATAGGATCCCATGCAGGATTTCGCTGCTGTAGGCGAGCAGCATCAGCATGAAGCATGTTGACTTCTAGTTCCTGCTTTGTATGCTGTTCCTTCTTCTCAGCGAGCCTCATCCCTTTCAGCTCCTTGACCTCTTTGATAAATGCTGCCCAATCCACATACTCGTCATCCTTGAGCAGGTCTTTGACGACACTTGGTAGCAGTCCTCTAACCTGCCAGATCATCAAGGTGCCTACCGCAATTCCTGCACTTGTGGCTAGCTGCATCGCTTTGGTTGCCCAGGCTTCGTGTGCCCAACATTCCCTATTGTATAGGGTGGTCTTCATTCCTACAGCTGCCTCTAATAGCCGATGCTCCAATAACTCCTTCTCATACTCTGCCTTGGTTCTTCTCCACTATGACAATTTGTGGACCACCAAGCTTCGAAGGCTGACAACAAATGTTGCCCAAGTGGCTTTCGGTGCTGACCCTAGCGCTTTGAACCAGACTTCTGCCTCTGACCCAGTACCCAAATAATCACCAAATGCATCCAACTTATTGCTGTGTTGTGTTATGGATTGCTGTCTCATTGCACGGTTGAAAGACTTTAAAAAATCTGCTGGGTTTTCAGATGTACGACCGTTCGCCATGAAAGATCTGTGGGGTTTCATGGGCATAATTGCTTTGGGTAGTGCTAACGCAAAGAAAGTGTTGAGGTTGTAGTCTGGTGTAATGGAGAGTGATGTGAGTGGTTCCTTTTTCAGTATGGTGTCGGGGTGGTTTAAAGCTGAGTAGTGGTAGCTCGAAGTCCTGTTCTAGTTCAGGAATGTCAAGTTCTGGAAAAGGTATTTGTTCTCCATGATTGTCGTTGCTTAGGCTTGAGAGAGACGAGAGGGATGAGCTTCTAGAGCACTGTTCTGGAGTGTCTAGTGGAGAGGATGAATTGGCCTTTATATATTTCTCTGTTATCGCTTTGCTGGCTTTTAGTCTGGGTCTTAAACCTGCGGCCATCAGTTTCTGATGTAAATCCACGTAAATTATGACTTGATACAGCCCTTTTATGAATTGTGCAGGTGTCTGCTAAAGACACCTGCCGTCTAGCTTAGCCTTTCTAGGCGTGACGCGACGTAAAATGGAGTTTGCTTTGCCTTGTGTTCTTGTAAATGAACATATTTCCGCAGTTCATTCGGCTAAGGGCTAAGGACTGAGGACTGAGGACTGAGGACTAAGAAACTGACGACCGGGACTATTGCTGATGCTAAGCGCTGAAATGACCTGAACTAGTTCAAATTCACTCTGTTCACCAAGATGGAGCAGGATGGGAGAGCCTTCGCTAAGACAAAGCAGAAACCCCACAGGATGATGATTGTGCTACACTACTCCTTGCACCGACTCTGACTTCTATGCTGACTAAGCTGCAGAATTGGCCGAGGGACTCTTTGTGTGTGGTGGCTGCCCTTGGAACCCCTAGTCCACCATGAGCCTCCACATAAGCCTCTGGTTCATAACCACCCTTCGAACCACCCTCTCCATGACCCTTGAGGTGGTCGTGAGCCTCTCGTTTATGACCACCCTTCGAACCATTCCTTACTGTGACTCTCGAGGTGGTCATGAGCTCCCACACAACCCTCTCCATTATGATAACACTCAAGGCATCGCTCGCAATCATGGTGACACTGCCCACCATGACTCTCGTGATCACAGGGATCCTGCTCACCATGATCCTCATTATCACAGCAATTCTCGTGAGGCTCTACACCCACATGGCCCTCATTACACTCGTGGCTACTCTCATGAAGGTGCGCAGTACCGTTGAGTCTTGACCGTGACACTCTTCACCCCTGCGATGCATTCTACCCCCGCAAGTTTTTGTCCCCACTATGGTCCTCAAGGTCATTATGGAACCGCCGGTGAAAGTGAGTCGAGTGCTCATCATGGCAGCTCACCTGTACCTGGAGTTCCATGGCTATGGTCCAGGTGAGCGTGATCACACCTATACAAGCTGATATAGTCCTGTTGTTGACTCAGGCTAAGGAGGATACCCGCCGACAAGATGACCTCAAAGAGTGTGAGGATTCACTATCCCCCTATCATAGTCATCCAGTTGGTGGGGGCAATTACCATGAGGGTCCTAACAGGAGATTCCAGTGGGCGGATGATGATCCTCATTATGGCTATGACCATGATGCTGTACCACGAGCATATAATCCTGATTTCATCAACTCCTCGAGGCCTCCTCCTGCAGATTAATTCCGACACAGTCCTCTCGAGCCAATAACCATGTCTTTGCGGTGCCAATCTACTCTTTTGTGGTCGTGTTTTACCTATGCCTACCTCGTTTATTCATCTTGTGGTTGTCTCCTCGTTGTCTCGCACCTGCGTGTCATACCCTATCTATGTTGGTATCTACTACACTTTGTAACTCATATCAGTATGGCAGCTCCTCCATAGCTTGTTGTTGTCTCCTTCAGATTATCCTCGAGACCACTAAGACACTTGTGTGAATCCAATATTTTTTCATGAAACAGAATGAGATAATATCATTAAGAAAGATACAGTCTTACTAAGTATGCAGGCACAAAAACATAAAAGAAGTCCGGGGAAATCACATCAGGAAAACTCTCCCAAGGCAAATTAGCCAAAATTCACATAAGTCATAACATTCACATAATTACAGGCATTTATGAATAAAGTCACTAAGGATGATAATTTAGATGTAATTATTTTAATGCAAACTGAATGATTAGCAAGAGTTATCGAGAATTATCTGACATGAAAAGTATGTCTATCTATGTATGAGTTAAACCAGAAGGTATCACAGGCTCACAGCCCTCAAGCACTGTATCACTCATCCACTCTTCGCGGGGCCATAACACTAAACCTTGGTATAAGGTGGACACTGCACTCAATTTCCAGCTTGAATTCAACAAAACCATTCAACATATATAAGGTGAGTAGGAACTTGACCATGGACCATTGGGGGAAGAGCAGTGGTATTGATTTCGGTGGTAAGGCAAAGATGACTCGGACTCGGACTTGACCCGACAGTGCAGATATTAATTCTTGGATAAGGGCAAGGATACTGTGTATGTAGGATCAAGTGAGTGAGATGTACTGCGGGAAAGAACAACATGCTTTGGTTCCTTCCAGCACCTTCCACACTGAAATTTTTGAAAATTGAACGACCTAATTATAGAGCTCCCACACTTGAATTCAACAGTCCATTTTTCACCCAACTTGCGCCATGCACCGCATCTGGATTCTACACTCATCTAACTTCCAAGTCTTGAAGCTTCATCAGTGCATGCACCATCCACTGCACCAAACTCCACTCGTCCTTCTCTGGTGATTGAAGGTACATTTTTGGTGCCTACGCCCTCTTATGGCTACCATCATCTTTCTCCACCAAAGCCTGCTTTCCCTCTGCAGCACATGGCCTCTCTTGTCTCCGCACCATGCAGTGCTCATGCCACATTCCAGCAAGTTTAAACCTTCTTCCTGCTTTTTCTTTTCTTTTCTTTGCCTTTCTTTTTCTCTCCGAAACTTTCGTGACCCTAGGTGACTCACGACACTTTGACTACGCCTACCGTTACACTATTTTCGGCAGTCTTCCAAACCCCACTATGAGGGACGCCAATGTTTTTGCATTTTGCAAGGCCATGCCTCAAATGGTAAGTTCAATAGCTATTATCTTCAGCTAAAACCTAAACAGACAATATTTTTAACAGAGCTGGTCTCCGTGTAACCTCTACAACCTCTGGAGGCGGTCCTGTGGTGCTGAGGCCGAGGCCATTGACTTCACTTGCTCACCTAAGACACTGTTTCAGCAGCGTTGGATCTTGAAAGCACTCATACATGCGTCCCATGGCGACTTCATCAACAAGAAAATCTTCAAGTGATGGTATCTCCCCAACACACTTCCCAATATGCGACCTTGTCAGCATGCGCCCTCCAGTAACAGTGATCTCGATGTATTCAGCCGGGCGTACCGAACATCTGGAGAGAAGGAAGAAGAAGGCATCTGATGAGCAAAGGAAAGGCTTGGCTCCTGTGGGCAGCTTAATGCTTGCCGAGGTGGAGCGATGCATCAATGTGTTCATCTTTCGGTGCTGCTTCACCCATAGTGTCTATGAGGCACGGAGACTCGTTGTTCATGGATCCGTCCTGCTAAATGGCAAAAGGTGTGCCTGGTATTAGCTTCAATATACTAATGCACATCTACATTATATGAATGCCAACGCACGTCTAGCCCCAGGCGATGTGGTCTCCGTTGACCCTGCAGCTATTCATTTCCTCCAGGACCCTGAGTCTATGCAGTCCTCATTGACATGTTCAATGCTCGAGCACTCATTTTCATAGGTGTTACATGCTCCCCTACTAACCGCTCTCCACATTCAGGTCCTCTGCTTCAGGCTCATGCTTACTTTGCTTGTGGGAAGTTGATATATAGCGGCGCTGCTAGTAGCCACACTAGTGAGCTGGAAGCATTTGCGAAACTAGTTATTGTTGTCATATGTCCGTCATTGGTCATAGCATACACTGTTCTTTAAATTAGCCTACCCATACACCCATTTTTAATCAAAGACTAGTTTTTTCCCCCTGTAATGCTCTGATTCAGTTAGATCTGATCATCCACCCATCTAAAATCAAACAAATTAACTCTACAATGCATGATAATTTGCTTGGATAACTTCTAATTCTTTCAAATTCTCGTCTTTTTATTAAGGGGTAAAATAAGCGATCTAAACAGCTAAAACTTTGAATTTGTGTGATTTAGACATAATAATGCAACATTAGTTCTAAAAACATCTAATTAGCTTAGGAGATTTTTCCTGATGCATGACATAAGTGCAAGGGAACAACATACGAGGGAGAACACACCGTAAAACATAACATAAGAAACCACATAGAGTGATGTAGAGGATTTCAGAGACAGCGCCAGGAGGCTCCTCAATTATGACAACAGCGCAAAATACATTCAATGACAGCAGGTGCTCTCAAGGAGGTTACCAAGGCCGGCGAGGGCTACCCTCCCAACGATAACGGAGGGATTCATGAGGGTGCTTATCGTACCTCTTGAGGTGTTGAGGGAGGAGGCCCTGGGAGAGGCAGGTCTCAGAGATGGGTTTCGTCCTACAACGAAACCGGGTCTAACAGACTGTGAGAACAGGGCAAAAGTGCTGCCAAGGGTGTGTACTGCGAAAGTAAATTCATCACTGAGCGCTTGCCACCTTCACAGTAGTCACGACCCTCCGGACAACCCAGAACCCGTTATTTCTTTCTCGTCGCATTCCACATTCAAACTAATTCTCATCATGTCTTTACTGACTGCTACGTGATTTTTTCTCCTACCAATGTCTTCCACTGTGTCAGGAAGCTCCTGATCCAGCGAAACGGGAGGCGCAAGCGAACACGATGACAAAGCATAAGATGACGAAGCTGCAGTTGAATGTAGAACTGGGTGGTTGTGAAGAGAATGTATTGACGCGATAGAGCTGACATGTACAAATTGCAATTTGGACCGGCTACTATGAACGTTTGAACTCGGCCCTGTGTGTGATGAAAAATCGTTAGACCACTAGGACCAGTACCCTTTGCAACGGGTCCTGGAGTTTCGGGCGTTTGGCTAGCACGTCTGAAGTTAGACTCATCGGAGTTACAGACATCATTATGGAATGCATCACCTGGCGTCAAGTACTCCTTACTAATATCACGTGGAACCGGAAACTCGGCGACGGGTCAAAGACTCGGAAGCCGAGACATTTGGCAAGATCTTGTCAGTTTGTTGTGTACCATAGTTTGGGTTGCCCTTATCACCTTCAATCTTCGAAGCTGTCACTTCTGTTACCGTCTGTGGCTGGGTTTATGTACTACATATTATAACCATCAGCCGATGGTGCACCAGTGCTCGGTGACCAAACTGAAATGTGTCAAGCGACTCCAGGGTCACGGCCTCATCCGATTGAGAGGTAAACACCACTGTAATGACAGAGGCCTGTTTACTCAACTCTGGTCTTTAGTGTAATGGTCAGTAAGTTAGTAACCGGCTGCTATATCGACTTATAAGTAGGCGGATAGGAAAGCACTATGTGGGTGTCAGTCGCAGATGTCCGCCACAAACCAAATCCCTGCGTCCGTCACTAATGTGGGACAAGAAATAATAGGCACGGTGTCTCCCGCCCCAAAATCACTGGCAGTTCATCATATTCCAGAACGGAGTCATTCTGAGAAGCTGTATGACACTGGTAATAGCGAGCTGCTTGCGACAACGAACGATACAGATGTTTTAATTGTTGACTGGGACGGTCCCGATGACCCCCAAAATCCTAAAAAGTACGTTGTGTCAGCAGAGCAGCATGCTCGTTGGACTTATAGTTCTTGTACAGTTGGAGCTATAGACGCAAATGGGCCGCGACAATCATTATATCATCGTTTCACTTTCATCAGTCCAGTTTCGTCCTCTATGATTGCGCCCGCTACTGGCCAAGTGGCTTCTTCCTTCGGAATTGACAATGATGTTATACTTGCACTCACAACGTCCATCTTCGTGCTTGCGTATGGTAAGCCAATAATGGTGGATGCTAGATATCTCACTGATTAATCAAACTATGTACCAGCCATGGGGCCATTGGTTCTAGGTCCATTGAGTGAGATTTATGGACGGTCACGCGTTTTGCAATTGGCAAATCTATGGTATCTCGGTATGTGATGTTTACAAGCCAAACCACAACCTCACACTCATTTTTTAAATGACAGTATGGAATCTTGTCTGTGGATTCGCACAGTCAGAATCCCAGCTTATTGTCTTCCGATTTCTTGCTGGCCTCGGAGGCAGCGCACCTTTGTCGGTAAAGTTGAAGTTTTTTTCAAGTCGAAAGTATCTCTGAATGACTTCCCTCTTCAGATTGGCGGTGGCTTTCTTGGGGACTGCTGGCAACCACATGAACGAGGAAAAGCTGCTGCCATTTACACCTTAGCTCCACTAATGGGCCCCGTCCTGGGACCAATCACGGGCGCCTGGTTTGTGGCTATTCTAAGTTCAACGACACCATCTAAATTTCCTCAGGGTGGCTCAATATTCGACCTGGAGATGGGTGGTATGTGATGCTTCCGCTAATGGAGGATCGTTCTCATTTCTCTGATAGTTCTGGTCTACGTCCATTGTGGATGCAGCCGTTCAGATCGTTGGAGCGTTTGCGCTTCAAGAGAGTGAGTAATTAACTGGTCGTGATCCGCTGATGCTTATGATTTGTGTCCAGCTTACGCGCCCCTCTTATTGGAAAGGAAGGCAGATCGGATTCGCAGATCGATGGATGCCTGAAAAAGCGCCGTACAGAGAAATCCGCACCGTTTTCGAAAGTCAAGATCGCTCGTAAGTCATTTCGTAATCCCTGCAAGATGATGTCTGAGGACGATGATTCATATAGTTGGCGAACCATCATGGCTAAATCACTCATCCGCCCTTTTGCACTCTTCGCCCATGAGCCGATCGTGCAGCTCCTCGGCGTTTACATGGCGTATCTATACGGGATATTGTATCGTAAGGCATTTTATTTTCCATGGATGTGATCTCATATGGTCTCAGTATTTTTGACAACGATGCCATCGATCTTCGAGGGCATATACCAGCAGCCGGTAGGCATCGCCGGCCTTCATTACGCTGCACTTGGCATAGGATTGTTAGTGGCGTCCCAATTAAATGCGAGAACAATGGACAAGGTTTACATTTATCTGACGAACAAATACGGTGGAGTTGCGAAGCCGGAGTTTAGATTGCGTTCGTCATATTGTTCTAATGCCTCCATTCTTAAATACTCATACAGTGTACCATCAGCTGCTATGGTTCCCGGATCTCTACTGCTCCCAATAGGGTGCTTGATTGTAGGCTGGACTGCTGAAGCTCATACTTATTGGATAGCTCCAGATATTGTTGGTTTGGTTCTCCTAGTACTGTTCATCTGCTGATGGTTTCGACAGGGTATTGCGCTAGTGGGAGCAGGCATCATTCTGAATTTCCAGTGTACCCAGACCTACATCATCGATTGCTTTACGCTTCATGCCGCTTCTGGTGCGTAGATTTAGTTCCCGCGTTACTCATCTCAAACTATTTCATATTCAGCTATGGCCGCTGTCTCCTGTTTGCGGTCACTAGCAGGCTTTGGATTTCCATTGTTTGCTCCAGCGATGTACAACGCACTCGGGTTCGGGAAAGGCGACACTATTCTAGTAGTCGTGGCAATCGTCTTAGGCTGTCCTGCGTACGTCTTCATTTTTGTTCCCTCCAGTTGTCACCCCTAATGATTACTTCAGGCCCTGGATACTTTGGCATTACGGGGAGCGGATACGGAACAGCAGTAGACATGCGCGGTAAATCTGGTGATGACCCTAGCAATCATAATCAACAACAGGGCCATGACTTTTACCTTTGAGTTCAGGCTCTGTTACTTGTAGGGGAGGAGAGGAACGAGGTGCATCGCGGGTGAATATGGTGCATTGATTTGACGGACGCTAGATGGTGTGGGAAATTTGTTGCGGGCAGAAGGAGGGAACGCGCCTGAACTCGGATGACTTCAGTCGAAATCTGGAGGAACAGGTCTTTTGAGTCCCCATGGTGGCAACCCGCATCTGCACGGGTAATTCAATTTCACTGAGCAAGTTGTAGAGACAGTGAAGCCATCGTTAAATTATTGATACCGGACCACATTTAATGGCCAATTTATTTTGCTACCTTAGGATCCTCATAAGTTCGAGTGATTAGCGATCTTGAAAGTCACTGAGTCGGACTCACACTAGAGGCTAGTAATAGCTAGTCTAACGTCTCGTGTCGGATGGCGCTCAAATCAGAAGCATGGAGTATTAGGGATGAGCAAATCGAGATCTCTTACAATTAATCCAGAGGCAACCTGACAACGAGTGGAGGACCTGTATGTTAGAATTGTTCCTGGTGCGGATATAAATTGAAAAAGCCGGAAACACCAACTGTTGCATAAATCTGGCCGGCGGGACCAAATCCTTCTGTATAGGTAAGACCCCGAGAATAAGCAAAGGTGCTTTCTGCGGATAATATTTGAACTGCTTTATGGTTGCCCATTGATCTAGAAATTGAGGGATACTTAATGGTTTCATACATCATGTCAGATCTACGACGAGGGTGAGCTCTCCGCACCAGATATTAGCGAGATACTTCAAGACGCGAGTCAGTGTGGTCCTGTAGAACATCGTGTTGCCGCGGCTGACACCGCAATGCAAGATGGCCACCTGTTCCCAGGTCACAGTGGTATAGGATATATCGTCATAACACAGTCGAAAAGTCGTGTCGGTTTGATCGAAACTTGCGAACTAGACATAGAAATAGGTAGACTTTGGTACGATTGTTTAGCATTTTTGGCAGATGGTAAACATTAAATGCTACGAAGCCTGTGAGACAAAGGAAGATAAAGAGCATGTTCTCCCCATGTTCAAGTACCCCTCCAAACCTTCTCCTAGATATCGGTCACATTCAGTCCGCTACTCTTCTCCGAGTTGATTGCCATTGTTCCATCTTTCTCGATGTCTGGTTGTCGGGAGAAACTTGCCTTGTCAATCACGGAATACTGTTGGTGGCACGATCCCTCACCTGTCTATATCCTTGCTTCAGGGTCACGAAGACCTGACTCTAAATCCAAGCCGTCGAACTCAAACCGCAAGAGTGCGTAGTGCAACAGGACAAGGAATCGTGGAAGATCCTGAGTGAAGGAGATGTTCAGACGGGTTGACAGTACTGTTACATGCTATAGAGATGTCGAATTATGGTACTTGATGCCTGCCAGTGCCTACACGAGTCAATCGAATATGTGATGGAAATTGATATTTTTGGTATACTGAAGTGACTTGGGAATAGAGCGTGAATACTACCTTACAAATAGCCACTTGCATGATGCATTCAAGCCTCCAAGGTATGATGTCATGTAAGTTGACATGGAGGGAAAGGAGAGACCTTCGAATCCGCACCACGCGTGACCCCAAAGAGCAGATTTCTAATCTGTTCTGATGCCAGTTGGCTATGAATACTTAAGATAGACCTTGCAAGCTTGAAGGATCCATCCACTGGGTGAACGTTCAAGGAGTAGTAAAAGGAAAAAAAATGTCGAGCAGGTTTCGAACCTGCAACAGATTTCCGTCCTGACATGCTCCACTTAGGCTTAGCAAGACTGGTCAAGGTGGACGTCTATGAGTTCGAAGAGTATCAGTCCTAGTAGAATCACATGGAATTACTTACCTAGCAGTCATTTGCTAACTGCAAAATGAAATAGAAAGACTAGTTTTCGATGGACACCAAACATGCCAAGAATAAGAGACCATCTGCCTTGACTTGATACGTGATTTGAGTTTGCTGGTCTTGACCTAGGCTCGTGACTAGCCTGGGATATACTAACACATACAAGGGAACCATCCTAGCTGTACTAGACACACCGCCAGTCCATCCAACGAGTGACTTATTCATAGTCTCCCCCAAATAGACCATACGAATGAAGATAAGAACGTCACGGTTGTCTTCTATACTCCGAAGTCTGCTGACTGCTCACAAGACAGAGGCCGCGGAAGCCACACCATTCGACTTGTTCGTGGAGTGAGCAAATGAAAGCATGCAGGGGAGTTAAGGCCGTTATATACTACTACTCGGTGATGGCTGCAACGTGAAGCGAAGATGCTGAGTAGAGTCTGGGGTCTTTTCGTTATGAATAACGTGAGGGTGTCCGGTGTCCAGACTTTCTTTTCGTTCGAACTTCGAAGGAACCGAGAAAGGTTCAAATGATAACAGGATAAGTACTACTCAGGCCTAAGGTTTACTCAACTCTCAGGCCTCCAGGTCTCTTATAGTAAGCACTTTTGTAATGTCCGACAGTAATCGGCTGCTATATATATAGACTTATAAGTAGGCATATAGGAAAGCACTATGTGGGTGTCATGTCTGCCACAAACCAAATGGGATTCCATGCGTCCGTGGCTACTGCAGTGGGACAGGGAATACTACTAGGCGCGGTATCTCCCGTGTCAACCTTACAAGATGATCACGCACCAGAATCAGCCCATCGTGTTCCAGAACAGACTCAACAGAGTCATTCTCAGAAGCCGTATGACACTGGCAGTGGCGAGCTCCTTGCGAATACAGATGTTTGATTGTGACTGGGACGGCCCAGATGATCCTCAAAATCCTAAAAAGTGCGTTGCATCAGCAGATTAGCGTGGCAACGTTGTTGGACTTACAGTTCTTACACCGTGACAATGCACAGTTGGAGCTATAGACGCAAATGGGGCGCGGTAATCATTATGTCATCGTTTAGTTGCGTCAGTTCAGTTTCATCCTGTATGATTGCGCCCGCTACTGGCCAAGTGGCTTCTTCCTTCGGAATTGACAATGATGTTACACTTGCACTCACAACATCCATTTTCGTGCTTGCATATGGTAAGTCAATTTGGTGGATGTTAGATGCCCCCACTAATCAATCAAACTATGTACCAGCCATGGGGCCATTGGTTCTAGGTCCATTGAGTGAGATTTATGGACGGTCACGCGTTTTGCAATTGGCAAATCTATGGTATCTCGGTATGTGATGTTTACAAGCTAATCCATAATCCCACTCATTCTTGAAATGACAGTATGGAATCTTGTCTGTGGATTCGCACAGTCAGAATCCCAGCTTCTTGCTTTCCGATTTCTTGCTGGCCTTGGAGGCAGCGCGCCTCTCGCGGTAAAGTTGAAGTTTTTTCAAGTCGAAAGTATCTCTTCTGAATGGCTTTCCTCTTCAGATTGGTGGTGGCTTTCTTGGGGACTGCTGGCGACCAGATGAACGAGGAAGAGCTGTCGCCATTTACTCCTTAGCTCCGATAATGGGCCCCGTCCTGGGACCTATCACAGGAGCCTGGTTTGTGGTTAATTTCAAGTTCAACGACACCATCTAAATTTCCTCAGGGTGGCTCAATATTCGACCTGGAGATGGGTGGTATGTGATGCTTCCGCTAATGGAGGATCGTTCTCATTTCTCTGATAGTTCTGGTCTACGTCCATTGTGGATGCAGCCATTCAAATCATTGGAGTGTTTTCGCTTCAAGAGAGTGAGTGATCAACTGGTCGTGATCCGCTGATGCTTATGAATTGTGTCCAGCTTATGCGCCCCTCTTACTGGAAAGGAAGGCAGAACGAATTCGCAGATCGATGGATGCTGAAAAAAGCGTCTCACAGAGAAATCCGCACCGTTTTCGAAGGTCAGGATCGCTCGTAAGTCCTTTGATAATCCCTGTAAGATGATATCTGAGGAAGATGATTTATATAGTTGGCGGACCATCATGGCCAAATCACTCAGTCGCCCTTTTGCACTCTTCGCCCATGAGCCGATCGTGCAACTCCTTGGCGTTTATATGGCATATATATACGGATCACTTTATCGTAAGGCATTTTATTTTCCATGGACGTGATCTCATATAGTCTCAGTATTTTTGACGACGATACCATCGATCTTCCAGGGCATATACCAGCAGCCGGTAGGAATCGCCGGCCTTCATTACATCGCACTTGGCATAGGATTGATAGCGGCGTCCCAACTGAATGCGAAAACGATGGATAAGATCTACATTTATCTGAAGAGTAAACACGGTGGAGTGGGAGGCCGGAGTTTAGATTGCGTTCGTCATATTGTTCTAGTGCTTCCTTTCTTAAATACTCATTCAGTGTACCATCAGCTGCTATGGTTCCCGGATCTCTACTGCTTCCAATAGGGTGCTTGATTGTAGGCTGGACTGCTCAAGCTCATACTCATTGGATAGCTCCAGATATTGTTGGTTTGGTTCTCCTAGTACTGTTTATCCACTGATGGTTTCGACAGGGCATTGCGCTTGTGGGAACAGGCATCATTCTGAATTTCCAGTGTATCCAGAACTACATTGTTGATTGCTTTACACTTCATGCCGCTTCTGGTGCGTAGATTTGGTTCTCACGTTACACATCTCAAATATTCCACATTCAGCTCTGGCTGCTGTATCCTGTTTGCGGACACTAGCAGGCTTTGGATTTCCCTTGTTTGCTCCAGCGATGTACAAAGCACTCGGGTTCGGGAATGGCAATACTATCCTAGCAGTCGCGGCAATCCTCATAGGCTGTCCTGCGTACGTCTTCATTTTTGTTCCCATTGTCACCCTTAATGATTACTGCAGACCCTTCATATTCTGGCATTACGGGGAGCAGATACGGAACAGCAGTCGATATACACGGTGAATCTGGGTGATGACCCTAGCGATCACAATCAATAACAGGACCATGACTTTTACCTCTGAGTACAAGCTCTGTTACTTGTGTAGGGGAGGAGAGGAACGAGGTGCATCGTGGGTGAATATGGTGCATCGAATTGACGGACGCTAGACGGTATGGGAACTTTGTTGCAGGCAGGAGGGAACGCGCCTAAACTCGGATAAATTCAGTCCCTGCAAGAGCAGACTCCAGAGACGGGCTCATCATGAATTCGAAGTCCGGAGGGAACCAGTTTTTTGGAAGAATCCTCAAGTTTGAGCGATTAGCGGTCTTGAATATCATTGTTGGACTCGCTCACATTAGCTAAGGCTGGTTGCAGCTAGGAATATGCCGCCGGTAAAATAAGGGTTAACTTGATTAATTTGAACCCCAATGCTACTACTAACAGGCACAATATTGTGGAAATCAAAAAGAAATTCGCTGCAAAAATGACTAAAACTACACTTTCGCTGCTGTGCCACCGAAGTTCCCAGTACTTGTTTACTAGAGCCCATATATTCTCCTGCTGCAACCAGTCCATGCCCGTCAGTTCGGTGTACATCATGAACACAAAATTGTGCAGTGTCTGCAGCTGCAACGTCGTGCTATGTCAAAATTCTGCCCCTCCGCGAAAGTTTGAACCCAAGTTTGAGCTACGCCACTCCGACATATGATGTACAAGCGCCTGATGACACCGTTGGATGACATTGTCCTGTTCAGATGTCACCGTCCAATCAGACAAGGTTGCTGACTTTGCAATTGTGGCGGCGTATCACGCTCAATCCACGGTTGTCTCCATACAGAGGTACAGTGATTATAAATCCGCAACTTGGATGTCCCGGCGTCTAACCTGTTTTTACATAGAAAGCATCGCAGACCAGCAGTTATGTCCAGTGAGGGTTCCTTCTCGCTCTCACTTCCAACAGCTGACCCGCTACTGACTATCACACACCGTGAGTGCAAGTCCTCGTACGTGCGTTCTAACGGAGGTCTGAATAGCGAGCACGCACACAGCTCAACAAGATATTTGGATAATCGAGCTGCATGGTGGGCAGGATTCCCGCCTGACAACGCGAATGATCGATGAGGCTTTGCGGCCTGCATTGGATGTGGTAGAGCACAACTGGTGCGCTATGCGTGATAAACAAGCAAATGACGGCGCAGATCAGGGCGGGTGGTGCTCTTATCATCGTTGGAAGGAGAGACCAAGACAAATTCTTCAGCAATGGATTTGACTACGAGGCCGTGAAGGGAAATTTGACCTTTTTAGATGGTATGCGTGAGGTTGACTCCAGGAGTTTGAAGCACTGAACATATTTTAACAGAGACTGTAACCCCCTTATTCGCACGTCTTCTCACATACCCAAGTACGTGGTCGGTTTCATTCCGTTTGCGCCCTGTTGTTTATCTGTTTCGTTACAGTTCCTACTCTAGCAGCAATCAATGGCCATGCATTCGCTGCTGGGATGATGCTCTCCCTCTGTTTGCGATTACCGGGTCATGACTGACGGCAGCAGGCGAAGGGCGTGGATGTGCATGAATGAGGTAATAAACCCACGAATATAATCCTCCGTGATTGCTTATAGTGCGCAGATCACTTTGGCGCACGGTGGCCCCTGAGTTTCACTGCAATTCTCAATGCAAAAGTCGGCTCTCCCTGTTATACGTAGGCGAGTTGCGCTCGAGGGGCATCGCTTTACCGCCTTCAGAAGCTCTGAAAGCGGGGATAGTCGATCGCCTTGCGAATTTGACTGGCACGAGTGTAGAGAGCGGAACCGATAAAGTCCTGGAGGAGGGCTGATGAAACTGGCCAACGAAGTCAAGATATTAGCGAGCCGGGGTGTTTGGAGTGCAATAAACGTTTGCAAAATAATTATCTCAAATCGATCGTTTTACTGACGCGGGCGTTCTTGTAGACGTGCCTATACAAGGATTGTCTGGAAGTTATATATTCTGATGTTCGAGCTCATAGAATTTCACCGAACGAGAGGCAAAGCTGTGATATCATTCCGCACCCATAATTAACGTGGCGTGACCGCTTGGTGATATTGACCCACAGGAAGAAATTAATCAATGTTGATGATGAGATTGTGGGACGCTGATGCAGGCCGATGCTCAGGTGGGCATGAGAACAGATCTCTAGTGTCCTGACGTCCATCAAGCTGTGAACACAAGCTATGTTTGCGACTTGTGCTATGATATGATGGTCTGGACACAATCCTCTTGTATTCTCTGCCGCGCTGTTGCGCTAACAAGAATGCATGAATGCATTAAAGGACTGTCGAAGGCGAACAGCCAAATGCAACGCTAGCTCACTCGATTCTGAATCAGGTGGTCTGGGAGAATCTCGTGACGGAGACCCGGAGGCAGACCAATAATCTTCATCATCTGCGAAGTCAGGTAGCTTAAGAAGACGACGATTCCAAGGACGGACTCCGTCCTTGGAATCGTCGTCTTCTCCAAGCAAGAATGTCTGCCGAGTGGACCATGCGGCGAGAAGTGAGCCAGCTTGTCTTCCGTAGTGATTGGCAAGTCATGAAGACCATCTGCCTTGACTTGATACGTGGCGAGTTTCCTGGAGTTGACCTAGGCTCGTGACCAGCCGGGGGACTATTATGGACAAGGTAACTGTACTAGACACACCCGCCAGTCCATCTAACGAGTAACTTATACGACAGACCATACGAATGAAGATAGGAACGTCGTGTTCTATACTCCGAAGTAGAGTTGATTGCTTGCACATTCGATATTCAATGTCAAGATGAGGTGGGAGTTAGCTGTGTTTATAAGTAACGAATCGACACTTTCCGGAGAACATGACATAATATGCAATTGCAGACTTGGGAGGGGTGCGGTCCGAATGTCACATTTGACGAGAAAAGAATTAATGAACCAACCAGCAAAAGATCAAAAACAAATCGGAATTACGTGTCGCATAATCTAAATGCACTCAACGATCCGTTTGACAATCGAGTGAGACAATCTGACCATGTTCAAGATGCCGACTCTAGACACCTACCCATACACTCTCTAACATCATTCAGAAGCTCCGCCTCGTCAATTTCCTTTGGAGAATGCGAGCTATTCCATATAGCAAGCATGGCGTCCTTACAAATGATGTAGACCTTCTGAGGAAAGAGGTTCTTGTTCTCAAGGTTCATTTGCACATTCTGGCGCGTTTCGTCAATGAACCTCATCCGTTCTTCAGATTTGATTTGCAGAAATTGACAACGTGTCTTGTCGTCGATGTCTGAATCACAAGGGTCGAACCCTGGTGGCAGCCTGTCGCATGCCATGTTGTTGATGTGCTGGTCTGACTTGGAGCGAACGATGAACACTTCAATGTTGATGAACTGCTGACAGGTGCGAATGATGGCGAGGTCGGATTCCAAGACACGATTATCGATGAGCACGATGATGCAGTCGAAGATGTAGAGGCCCAGGGCATTGAAGTAGTGCCAGTCAGGGACATCTGGAGTGCCTGCTCCGGGAACGTCATACCAAATGATCCGGGAGTTTGGACGTGGATCGGGGTATCTAGTGACCTGAGGGGTGCAGTCGACAATCCCCGTACGAGAGGCGATGGGGTGGTTGTTGGACAGGCCACGGACGGCGTTAATGAAGGATGATTTCCCGACTCCAGATGAGCCGACAACCGCGAAATGGAGAAAGTTTGGGCTGTAAAAATATTTGGCCTTCATCCGAATAATATCCTCCTCCGAAGGGCGGCATTCAGGGCGAACTCCTTCAAACCATTGACGCTCAGTGACGAGCCTCGCTTCTTCTGCCCTGCGAAGAGCTTCTGCAGTCTCAGCTGCCGCCCGTTCATGTTCTTCTTGACGCCTCTGTGCGTCGTCTGTTGCTTCCTCTGCAACACGCTTGGCTCGCTCCGCCTCTTCCTCTGCAGCACGTCTGGCTCTTTCGCTTTCCGCTGCTTCCTCTGCAGCGCGCCTGGCTCTTGCCGCCTCTTCATCTGCAACGCACCTAGCTCTTTCTGCCCCAGAAACAAGGGCCATAACAGCTACTACCATGAATAGGAAAAAAGACATGCAGTGCCAACAAAAGGGGGGGAACTTGGCGGGGAGAAGGGCTATGTAGCAACGTTCTCTGTGTACGTCCGATGTGACCTAGACAATCAGTCGACTGAACTGCAGAGCTTCAAGCTTTGCTCACCGTTATGGATTGCAGTACTATGAATGCAACGTCCAGGTGATGAGAGCTCTACAAGGGAAGACAAGAGGTAGTGATTCGGACACAACGTGGCGAGCGGGGTGTATAGATGATGTGACCTAGACTAATCTGATTAACCGACTGTGGCCTGCGAATCTTCAAGTTTTACTTACCTCAGTGGATTGCGATACTGTGAATGCAATGTGGAGATGAGAACTCTACAGGCAAGACAAGAGACAACGATTCGGACACAAAATAGCAGGTGGGGCGAGTGGGGTATTATACTTGTCCAGACAAACACGAGGCCATTACGAATCAGACCTAATACTGGCAAGTTCCGCGTCATTAGGAAGATGTATAGTTATCACATAGCTTCTGGCGTATTACGCCAAGCACACGTGGAAAGCAGGATAGAACGTGCACCCGCCGACAAGATGTTGTATATGAGGGATGTATGTCATTAGACACAAAACCAATAAGTTGGCCAGCAGCCTGTGCAGCCATGAGCGCCGAAACCAGTGCGTTTGTCATGTGCTATGCTTGGAGGCTTCACACGCGGGTTGTGACTGCGTCTGAATATACGTTTGAGTGGAAAGTGCTGGATGGGTGTGTAGAGGGAAAAGAGAATCATACGCACGTTTCGCGTTTACACCCGCTCCTTCATTATCCCATTTCCGACATTGATCAGGCATAGCGAGGAGCTACTTACTTGTCTCTGTGCCTTAGTTGGGAAAGTGAGCATATCGTGACCCATTACACAACACAACAACTCTGACGCCCGCCTCTTGCGTCTTGCGATACAGCTGGCATCTGAACTCCTTGATGCAGTCTAGCCCATTTGTGATGAATATCATGTCTCTGGCTACGTGTCTCATGATAGCGGTGAAAAGACGCGGGGGCGGGTTTTTTCTTGCAGGGAGTCTGTTTGTGGGGATCAGTTTACGGGGTACGAAAGATGAAGACCGTGGTTTGCTCGCCTGTTGTGAGATACGACACAGCACAGCACTGTACGGTGCAATGTCCTAAGGAAAAATTCCGTGCTGTCAAGGTATAAATGAAAATGCATCAGAGATCCCCATCTTTCGATAACAATGTAGCTACAAAATCTCCAGCACCTGACGTCCGTCATGTCATCAACTGAAGGCATGTCCCTGACTCATGCGATGATATTCTGATCAGATGCGATACTGTACTCTCTCCGCCACGCTGCTGCGCCAGCAAAAGCGCGCCAAAAGACTGTCCAAAGCGAACAAGCAACCTGAACTCTCGCATATGAGTTTGCGAATCAGCCGGTTTATTGTCGCCAAGAGATCAGCCAAATAAATCATCTGACAGAGATCAAGGCCCATTGGGCCAATCGCACACGCTCTGCGTCTCGTCTGCAAACTCGAGCAGCTCAAGATCATAACGATTCTACGGACGGATGAGCAAGAATGACTGCCGAGTAAGCCTTGCAGGCGAGAATTGAATCTGCTCGTCTTCTGTGGTGATCAACAGGTCTCGAAGCCCGTCTGCCTTGACATCATAAGTGAAGCATTTATCCCTATCTTCACCAGGTCTCCGCCTGATGTCTGTGAGAGGAAATGCGATACAGGGCAGTTGCAGTCTAGAATTCGCGAAACGAGGAGCACTGAAATTCTTAAGGAGGGTCTACAGTTTCAAAGCCGGCTCTACAGTCACTGTATTTCGCAGCGTGGTAGCCGATTTCTGCATGTCGTCTTCGGATAGAGTTGGCAGCTTGCATGGCAAATTTTTGTATGAAGAAATGTCGACTGGCAGAGAATTATTGAAGTGAGATGATTGCCCTACCCAGCAAGCTGTGATATCGCCCTACTTGACCACGACTTCCTGCAAGAGCCGCTTGAGCGCATTTTGCTTCGTCTCGCCGTAGATGACAGGTAAATGGATATCGAAGATGCCAAACAATGAGTACGCGATGTCTTCCTGCAGCGTCGTAACACGACTCGATGCCCATTGCAGTTTCCCTTGCGCACCTGTCACTCCTGGGTGGAAAGTGACGAGAAGTGTGCATCTATGCCTGCTGCATGCTCCAACTCCTGCATGATAGAAACAGGTTCTTTTTGGTTGCGCGAGCGGACGCTGACATAGGGTCCAAGCTGCTCAGTAAAAGAGAACAATGTTAGGAGCGAAGAACTCTTGAACAGTCCATCCTCGAGTGTTCCAAGTGCTGTTTGCGAGTGCACCAGACTCCGATGGAGACGGAACATCCGACAGGTAGATGATGGTGAGTTTTGAGTGGCGATACCAAACGAACATGGAATCGACCGATCGCTGGACCTCGGCATTGTTGTTTTGATCGATGCAGCAGGTGTCGCTCTAGGCCCCGCATGACGAGTGACTTTGCAGAATTTCTGCGGTTTCACCACGGCTCCGACAGGATCCAACTCGTATATGACTTTGTCCTGAATGTTGCACAGTAGCGGCTCCTTCCTTTCTACCTATGCAATAATATGACCCAACTGAATTACTTCGCGACCGCTTCTTTGATGGGTTCCATTTGGAGGGGTCCACACATCACCGATGAACATGAAAGCTTCTTGTACTCTGTGCTTTCCATGAAGGTATCGATTTGAGCGTCTTGATTGCATAAACGTCCGGCGAAGGTGTTAATTGGACGAAGTGGGGCGTTTTCCAATGAGCAGGAATGGCTTGTCCTTCCGTTACTTCAGATGCACTGATATATTTCTGGCATAGATCTGGAGGACGAATTAATGACCTTCACGTCAATACATAAGTCATTTTTGGCTTACTTTACATCCGTGCGTCAGTAGTATTATCCAACTTGGAGAGCATGATTTGAATGCGCTATCATGGCACTGTACTCCATGAAGCGCCGCATGCTGTAATTCATACCCAAGATAAGACGAAGGGTTGAGATCAATGACCTAAGAAGATCATTGCATTCGTTAAATCGATGATGGATATCGTCCGCACCTTTTCCGCATTGGAAAGAGCCTCCACATAAAAGTTCCATCTTAACTTCCCCCTACTGCGGTACGCAAAGAAGGCGTAGTATGAGGAATCCAGCCCGAATACTGCAGAAAGTGTATTTTCGATCGGCCAGAGCCGAATCTTCCCCTCATGGTCTCCACTCACAAGCAGTTCTCCGTTGGGAGAAATGGCAACACAGGAAGCACTTGAGGTTTCGTTTAATGCGCATCCGATTTCCTGGTATGACTTTTTGTTCCGCAGCCGCACAGTCATGTCGTTTGAGGCAGTGGCAATGAAACAGCCATCAGACGAGATCATGGTATTAGGGAACGAGCTACAGTGATCAATTGAGTAATCTGGTATCCATTCAAGGAGTCCCAGAACTTGAGTGTTGTGTCGGGTGATGCGGAGACAAGCTGTTGACCATCAGGCAACCACACAACGCTTCGAACCCAATCTTGTTGAGCGGCATCATCGAACCTTAGAAGTTGAGCAGTTGATTCGTTTTATCGGTGTGCAAACCCGGATGGTGTGGTCACATGATCCGGATGCTAATTTTAGCTCATCTGGGCTGCCAGTGAATGTTACACTGCTCAGTGCTCAAAGTCATCCTGAATCCTGCCAATGACCCCGGAGCGTCGAGAGGACAGCACCAGTACTTCTCCGCATCCCAAAAAATATCAACTGTTTTATCACCGACCCGCTTGCGAGTTTCTTCCCATCGGGAGAGAAGCACAACCAACCATATTTTGTCGGTATGCTTCACGAGCGCATTGAATACTTTGAACTTTCTGCTTGCTCCCGACGTCTCAAATAATGTTATAATCCATTACTCACAATCCGCCTGTCGTCCGGTGACACAGCCACTGATTTCATCACCCCGTCATTGAATTTGTGTCCCTCGAATGGCTCTCTCCTTTCTCCATGTCCCAAATATTGATGGGCAGGGTTTTATCATCTGAACCAGTGACGGCCCATTGAAGAACGCCACAACCCACACTGAGCTCACATCGCATTCCTGACATTACCAAGGAGATAGATGGTCAGCAGGCTGCGATCTCATTTTACTTCTCCTACCAGCATGGCGCCCTGATCATAAACTCACCGGGGACTTCTGGCCAACGAACACATGGGCTGGCGCTCGTGCTGTGTACTAGTAGGTTACCGTACCTGCTACCAAGCGATACTTCACTTGCTCATCATTCTTGATTTGCAAACCGCGCAGTAGCTAGTGAACCCGCCCCTGGGCGTACTGCAATGAGCGACGCGTGTATCAATCCGACTTACCAGTCAATTCTGCAACTAGATTTCTGTTATATATGGCGTCTTTTTGGCCAAGGCCTCCTGGTAGACGTTCTGAACAAGTAATGAATCGTTTATTGAGTCCCAGATGCCGGACAATGGATATCTATTTATTCAATCGTAATAAAGTGTGATAAGATTATATTTCTGAATTGTGCAAAAGTCGACAGAAGAGAGCGTTTAATGATGCCCCCAGACAACGTACGTATGTTGCTATCCTCAATCATCGATCAAGAAGAAAAATGATGACGCCCGGTCACAACATACGGGAATTCAAAAGGCCTCACCACCGCCTCTTCACAACACCCTCCGTCAAACCCTCCAAAGCATCCCTCGCCTCGCTTCTAGGCAATAACGTCAGCACCTCCCGTGCTTTCTCAGCATGTACGCGCGCTAGCTCACGCGTGCGCTCCACACCACGAGAAGACGAGATGAGCGTCAGGGCCTACACATCGCGTGGAAATACAAAAAGTCAGCGGTCGTCCAAATGTGGTTGGTGGGAAGCAATGCTCACCGTCTCGACATCGCCATCCCTACCGAACCGCCGCTGGATCATGGCTTCGAGCTCTGGAAACTCTTCAGCCGCGTAGAGTGCGGGTCCTGTTGCGAGTCCCAGGCGCAGGTCTGCAAAGCCGGGTTTTCCTAGTTGGGCTGTGGAGGAGGAAAAGTCGAGGGTGTCATCTATGAGCTGCGCGAGGAGTGAGTACAATCGGGGATGGTGTAGAGAAATCGCAATGTGACAAGACAAGAGGAATAACGCGCGCAGTGACGAAGTAAAGAGCCAAAAGCACAAACAGACACATCAAGAATTGCGCAAACACACCTGAAACGCAATACCCAGATTCCTCCCATACGCATAGGCTACTTCCTTCCATACCTCGCCTTCTTTACACCCTCCTAGCACGACAGCAGCCCGTGCGCCTTTAGCCATTAGGGAAGCCGTTTTTAAATAAGTTTTTTTAAGATAGATGGACCATTTATCGGAGGATGAGGGTGAAGGGGAAGAATGAAGGTCCTTAAGGTCAATTTCACTACTCGCAGACGACGAGGGAGAGGAAGCAGCTTCGGTTCCACTCCCTTTCATCTGCAAAATCTCACCCTCTACAAGATTAGCGATGACACTCGCGATAAGCTCCACCACTTCATGACTGCCTAGCCGACTCAAGGCAGCACTGGCGCGGCCCAGCAAGAAATCACCACCGAGGACAGCCAGCTTATTGCCAAAAGCAGCTGGTGCACTAGGTGCGCCACGACGAAGGGAGGATTTGTCAAGGACGTCGTCATGGAGTAAAGAAGCAACGTGTATCATCTCCACGATCTGTGCTAGGCGCAACTGGGTAGGGAGCAATGTATGAGTGAGTGCCTGAGGATGAGTTTGATGGAGGAGTGGGGGTGGTAGGGTATATGGTGATGGTTGGGGAGGGGGTATGCGCAATTCGAACGCGCTCTCGAATGATGCGGTATGGTCTGGCATGCTGGGATTCCAGTCGCATAGGATGTCTTTTCGAGTCAAAGGCGCGTCGAGCTCTTTTTGATGTGCTCTTGCATTGTCTGCTGCCCAATTTACTTGGGGGAATTCAGCACCTAGTCCGTTTGTTGCACGCGCGAAGAGGAGGACGAGGAGGGGTCGAAGTTGTTTGGAGGGATGGAGAAAGTAATATTGAGCGATTGCGTTGAGGGAAGGATGGGAACTTCCGAGGAGGGTGAGCAGGGAAGTGCGCAACTGTTCGAGGTGCGGCGCGAGGAGGACATATGGGTCTGTTTTTGTCGGAGCAGGACGAGGCTGGGGTTGAGCTAGTGCACTGTAGTTTCGTGCACTTCTGGGTCGTGTAATTCTACGCGCATTACACGCTACACGCATGCTCGCCGTTACTGTAGACGACCATGACCCCATCCTCGACGACGACCAAGATGCTCCAAGATGTGTTCAAACCGGGAATGCAACGGAGCTACTAGTAATTTCCCGGTTTCTGTTTTTCCCGCGGTGGCCGAGGATCCCGACTGGATCCAGAGCCACTCTAGACTGCAGAGCATTCTATTACAAAAATACAACTTTAGATGATGCTACATCCTGCGTGGCACAGCACGGTACCCGTATTATTATTCTAGTTCATCGTCATCCGCGGCATAGGCCAAGTGCACACAAAAACGCGTCTTCTCATTGGCTGCGTCTTCTCCGACGTGTCGCACCTATCAAATCATGCGCTCCAGTGTGACTACCGTAAAACTCCCCCTGGTGATGTAGTCGTACTCCTCGTCCGGCTCTTAGCTGGCGTCCGATTCAATGGAGATGCTTCGATAGCACCGCGGTGTTTGTTCACAGAGGGTGCGAGGTATGCTCCTAGTTTTTTGGCCTGGCACAGTGCATCAGTGTTAAAGGGAATGAGTATGTCAGAGGCCCACTTTTGCACACATAGTCTTCCAATTAGCTTCTGCGCCACCGTTCACAGCGAGTAAAAGTAGCGGTTCTCTCTCATCTTGTAATTCCGGACTAGCGTCATCGACAGGGACGACAACTATTCGTCCAAGCTACGCGTGACTCGTCAATCCATGTTCACACAAAGGAGAGAAGTATGCGTGTGCAAACACAACGTCGCGTGTACTCGGGAAGAAAAGAAAAGTGACGACCCACCTCACTCTCAGCCATCCCTATCCCCTTCTCAGCCCCTTCTTCACTCCTCGTCTCAGCCCACACCTCAGCGCTCAACCCAGCCAATATCCATACCTCGTCTTTCGACCGCTGCAAAGACATCGTCTGAGAAGACCCACTATCCGATGCAGCGCTACCGAGCGCGTGCGATGATGTAGCACAATCCGTTCTCCCTCGTAATGATGGCGTACGACATGATGGTGGTGTGTGTCCATTGACGCTCGACGCGTGAGCGTTAGGGGGCGCCACATGTCCATTGGTACTAGGATATGTAACCATGTGCGTTGTATTTCTCTCACCACTCCCACTCCCCGTTGACGAACAGGCAAAAGAGACGATTGCACCCTCTGGTGTAAGAAGGAGCGCAGTGTGAATGGTGTCAGCGGGTGAGAGTAGCTGTGTGAGGTAGGTTTGGAGTGTTGACAGGTTTAACATCCTAGGCCAACGTGTCTCGTTAGTGAACACGGTAAAATGTTCTAATCTTTGGATCTGGAGGTACTAGGTCACGATGTGACAATTGGAGGGTTGCTCTGGCGTCTTAGTCTTCCCTAGATACCCCTTTATGGACGAAGGAAGATAGTCGTTTCTTCTGGAGTCTGGACTTTCTGGTGGTGGCATAGAGGGTATCGAGAATTCCCACAGCACTGCCACGGTTAAAGAGCTGAAATCTGAAGCGCCGAAGCGAGAACACAACACGAATGTGGCTGAGAAGAATCTTGCTACAAGAACAAAATTTATTTGATTCATCATCATGAATAGTTTGATAACAAAATGACCAGTAATACGGATTTGTGCAGAGTTAATATGGTTAAATCTGTAAGAAGTAAAAACCTGGTAGGATCAGCAGATCAGTAGTAGTATGCAAGTTAAAAAACAATACGAAACACCATGCTGCTGCGCACGCCAAAAGGCTGTCCAAGACGAATGAGCAACGTCGACGCTCGTGAATGAGACCGCGAATCAGCAAGGTGAATATTTTCACGCGGGTGCCTCGGCCAAAGTGCGCCAAAACGCTGCCCAAGGTGAACGAGAAAACTCAACTTTTGCGGATGAGAATGCAAGTCAGCTGGACCATTCTCTTCAGCAGACAACCCTAGCGGAGGGATGAGCAAGAATGTCTGTTGAATAGGCCTTGTAGGTGAGAATTGAATTAGCTTTTTTCTGTTGTGATTAGCAAGTCTTGGAGTCCGTCTGCCACGTCGTAGGTGAAATATGTCTCCTGGTCGTGACCACGCCTTCGTCTGAGTTCGGTGACTGGAAATGCGATGCAAGGCAGTTGCAGTCCTGAGTTTGGGAAACGAGGGGCACTGAAATTCTCAGGGTGGGTAGTTTCAAAGCCGACTCCAGTCATTGTATTTGCAGTGCGGTGGCCGATTTATGTATCCCGCCTTCGAATAGAGTTGGCAGCTTGCATTGCGAAGCTTTGTATGAGGAAATTTCGGCTGGCAGACAATTGTTGAAGTTGGATGATTGTCCCACCCAGTCCAGCACGGCGATGTTGCTCGAATGAACTATGATCTCCTGCAAAAGACGTCCGAGCGCATTGTGTTTCTTCCCTCCGTAGATAACACGCGAATGGGCGCCGAAAATGCCAGAGAACGAGTATGCGATGTCTTCCTGCAACACGGTTCGATTCCCATTGAAGTTTCTCCTGTGCGCCCTTCATTCCCGGGTGGAAACGAGCGCCCGTGCATTAATGCCAGTCGACTCTTTGTGGTCGGTAGAACAGGTGTCGCTTGGGGTGTAGTACTTGGGCAACCAAGGGCAAACCAGTAAACGTTGAAATATTAGTATTCAAGACACGATCTCCTACGGACGTTTCATCAGATATCTTGGTTCGTCATCGGAATCCATTGAATGACGTGATGAATTTCGTCACCAGATGGAATCCTGTGACAAACCAAGATGATGCATCGATGTTTAACGTTTAACGTTTAGCGCTTAGCCGCCGATGCCCTGGGGATCTTCAATCTAATTAAAGATGACAATGTAAAATTATGATCAAGCTTCAGCTAAGGCTAACTCACCAGGAAGGCCGTCACGTCGACGGCAACTACTAACAGACGGAACGATAACGTAGAAGAGCGTATGATTGACAAAGCGGTAAGAAAAGAAGATGTAGATACGTGAACGACGCTTACAGTATATAGGGATGAGCATCAAGAAGCCAAATACCAAACAAATAATGCGCAGTGTCCAATCAGCAGCGAGTACGCCGAACGCGTCTGTCACGTGGTAAGCCCAGGCTTATATCATCATGGCAAATCAAAAGGACGGTCAGTATGATGATATTCCGACATACGTAAGCTAGCCAGATTTCGAGAATGGCGGAACATCCGACAGGGTGCAAGCACCCGTGCATTGGGCTTGATTCATAGTGGTGAAGCGCTGAAGTTCCCTGAGAGTCCAAGACAAACTTGAACTGACAAGGGATACTTCCGAATAAGGAACCTCTTGGAAGCCTTTGCACAACACACCAAAACAACGCATACGCTTGTCGAGTCACTGTTAGCCTTGCCCCAGTCTATAGCACAATGACTTAATTGCTACGGGGAATTCTGATTTCAACACAAGCCTTGCATTATGCGTGCAGCTTCATGACAGAATCGTGATAACCAAAGTCACACGTGTTGATATGTCTATCTCAGGCTGACTAAACTTATGTGATGTATCTTCAAGTTGATATTTCTGATTCCAAAATGAAGCTGTTAATGTCTAGTCCAGAGAATTCTACCCTCATATTATGATAACGAGGATGTTGCGTGCTGCTTGCTCTCTGTTGCATCACCAGTTAGATGGCAATATCTTCATGTGAACGGTAATATCAAACCATGGTTTCCATCTGAAAAAAAGTATCGTGGTATCCATTGAGTGGCTAGATTATACCATGCCATCCTATTATAATGTCAACGGTGATGAATAGGTTGGGTTACGACGCAACGAACAACAAAAGTAAGTCTTTGCACGTTTACGACTAAAAATGCGACTGACCTTACACATCAAAATTTTCAGGCCTCTGTGATGTTACGCGCCTTCGCAGCTGCTATTTCTCTACCGCGCGGCATTTAGCTGCAATATATCAACTGCTCGCTTGGGCTCGAGGTCGCTTACCGCTGTCCCAAGTGGATATAGCGGCATTGTCAAAGCTCACGGTCGTGGTTGAGTATGCCACGACACTCCTTTTGCATCGAATATTCTCTCTTCTTAGTGTGTTTTCCTCTCCGCGTTACCGCTTGGTGTATCTTCTATATGCTTATTGGGTAATCCTCATTGCACGCTGGACGTGGCTATCGTATCTCATCATGTCGCTCGGTATATATTCTATATACTTGTTGGATGGAAGTTGGATGATGTGGCTTGGAGCTTTGCATCGTACTTGTTATGAATCAAGAATGAATATGACATATTGTGTTGCATTTGTGTCTTCCGCCCATGGTGTGACAGCTTTCATGCATCCCTATCGAGTATCACCCTGAACGACTCTTGGATCCTCGCGATACTCACGCCAGTCTAACTTTCAGTCCGGTAACCTTCCATTGAATAACCCTGTGGCTGCGCTTGATATCCGCTTCAAGCACCGAGGCAATGACCAAGACCTCGATGATAAAATCACGGTGCATGGGGAAGTGTTGGCTTGGCACGCAGTCGGTCACTCAGATCAATCCTCGACATTGAATAGCCTTTGGAATCGACAACCGCTTCGAGCACCAACCGAGGTATATAAGTAAGTATTTACCGAGCCGACCCCATTCCTTGGTGCGAGATCAGATCCTCCCACTTGACTTCCCGTTATAATTGCATCTCTGTCTTGTGCTCTGCCCACACAGAGCTCCTCTGGTTCTCCTCAATGTATGCATAAAGCTGTGACCAATCTCGGCATATATGCGTCACACCCAAACCGTCTGAGCCTGCCGTCGATCCATTGGTGTAGACTGGATCAAGGGTAGTGTCAGAATGCAAAGAATGGCTTGTCGCAAGAAGTTAAGGCAGTGGCTACTATGGTCATTGGGCCCGTTAATAAGGGCTAGCCGGATCATTTGTAGACAATGAATCTGGTGAAACATCGAGACACCAAACAGTCGCCCTAATAGAATATGGGAACGGTAAGCGTTTGACTCATTTATTGACAAAAATGGGGAGAACGATTACTTACCATTTGGTCCCAGACGCACAAATCCGTGGCCTTCTGGGAAATGATCGAGCAAATTCCACTCCGACCAGGCCGTGAGCCCCGATGTGCTGTAATACTTTGAGTCTTCAAACGTCAATGCGACGATCTCCAAGTCGAGCGGTAATTCGATCGGATGATCATCACCGATGTAAGCTGCATCAAATACGCCGAGTGAGATTAACTCCTGTAGCTGTTTGTAAAGACAACCCCGACATACTGTACTGTTTATCATCGACAGACTGTGTTGCAAGCGCAGGATGGTGAAGATGTTCAAAACGATGCTAATGACGAAAGCACTAGGCCCAAATACGCGCAGTATGTCTGAGAGTCGAAGTTTGAGGCTGCAAAACATTGAGTCTGCCGCTGGAACGTGCTCTGAGAGAAAAGTTCCAGGTCACTGAATATATGTACATATGCTGCAGAAGATAGCTATTAGTATTACAGGCTCAACTTACCAGAAACCACTAGTATTGAGAACTATAGTTTGAGCTGTTGCTGGCAGACGCGACAAATAACGTATCACAACACGTCAGATTGCTTTGCTTTATGGACCTGGTGCGCGTCAGGGCTCGGAGAATCCATCTGTGTGAGTTTTACTTGGTTGAATAAACTACCAGACCTTCGACGACAACACCGATCTGTGGCCTCGAATCCTGAACTAAAAGCTTCCATTTACCTGTGCGTCCCACGCTCGCATAATTGGATGAAATAAGTGCTGATGCTAAATGGTATTAAGTATGTCCAGGTCCCAGGAGCACGACAGCGGAGTCCACACTTACTCCACGGGTGATTGAAATTCTTAGTATTGATGGCAAAACTCGGGAATTCTGTTAACCGGCTGCCGGTACAATCATTCTAGACCGGAGGTCCCTAGTAGATGTAGAACTCGATTGCAGGGAGTACTTGATAGTTCTGCCGTCAGTCCCCTTGAGGAACAGATTCCGAATCAGAGAATGTCAGTTTAAACATACCAGCCTTCCAAAGTGGTTGCGTCTACTTTTAAGAAAGCTTCTTCGAAGTGTATTAGTTCTTCCTCACAGCAATCAGGCTATTAATCCTCGAATGTTCAAGTGAGTTCCAAGTAGTAATTGATATAAAATGTTGAATCTAATGATGTCATTTATTTGGCCTCAGGGATCTCACGTGGCCACTACAAACAACACGTCAACACAGACTTGCACGCTTGTTCTTCGTGAGTCGTGACCGTGTACAATGTTAAGCCTTAACAAAACTCGCTACCCTATTTCCATCAGGTCGAAAGCTACGCAAGAGATCAGTGCTGACACTTCGAACCTGTGCTCAATACAGCCGCACTCAGTGCTCACCCAGCAGAAGAATTGAGAACTATCGCAGGCAAACTCGATGCTAACAGTCGCTTTCTCACCACGCGAGAACCGCGGTGGTATCTGCAGCTGCCAGCCATCTTCAAGCTCTATCTTCTCTTTCTCGGGAAGGAACGCGAAAGATGCAATTCGTACGCTGGGGTCTTGTGTTCCAGCTGAGACTCATCATGCCCTCAGCAAGAGTGGTAACATTCCATATTTGGATTTCGGCGAGGGAGCCAGATGAGGTATAGGACTTGTTTGCGACGCTGTCGATGTAGCAAGATCTGAAGTTTGACGGGCCAAGGTGCTACTGGTAGAACATCGAGTCTTGGAACAATAAAAATGACATTGGTAGGTCGCTTCAGGTTACGGAGATTCACTTACGCTGTCATTCAGCATGACGTGCTTGAAGTATATATTTGGTCAGGTAGTAATGCTTTGTTCACCCGTACCATGACACTTGGAAAGTGCATCTTTGGTGCTGGTCACACAGGTCTGTTCATGACAGTGTGAATGATCTCTGGATCTAGGGCGGCCTACGTAACCTTTTGCTGTTGCCGGCGAAGGTTACTAATCAATTCCAGACCTGGAAGCTGGTTCAGCCGACGCAACCCATGGGCATCATGTTGCCCGGAAACACAGGCAGAGGTAATAAATAACTGCTAGGACAGAGTGTCCGAGTGCGGCCCAAGTTGGCCATTTAGATGGTCTGAGGTGCGCTGGTCAGAGATGACGTGTTTGCTGGGGAGGAGAATGGCGTCTTCAGAATCTTCAGGTTGATGCTCCAGTTCGTGCACACGGTGCATTCGGAGAGGCGGAATACGATGCCATGAAGGTGCGTGGCGTAACTGAGAAATATTCTCCTCTAACTAGCTTGTCGGCAGCGAAGTACCCACCTACTGGTGTTTTGTCGGGTTGCTTGGCTCAAATGCTCTAGGGCACGAAACAACAAAGGCTCTGAGTTGACTCAACAGTTATATTTATTCAGGGCTGAATTTCTCTATCCTCTGACCATTGAATGGACTTCAATTTCATACGTCGAGAGTATGTCCAGTGAGGGCAAGTACGGTTTGCGCCTACTGGATTCCTTGCAGTGATATGTCTCTGCATGGCTCTTTTTGATCAATTCAAGGAAATCACCTGACAAAATTGTTGAACAGTACCTCCGAACCACATCTCCATTCTCACTATGAACCTCGCCACACCTTTCTTTTGTGTCAGCCAACTATCGGAAGAATGTTTTACCTAAATAATCAAGACGCAAAAGGAACCAATGCGGGCCTCCCTGATAACAGACTTCCTTGCCTCGTGCTGGCGCATTGAACGAGCAGGTTGCGAATGGAAGAAAGCTCAGGCTTTTCCTAAGCATATGACATGCACACCGAAACGATCATATGATGAAGGTTTCCGCGAATGAATCTGCAAGATAATCGAGCTACCCAAAGTTATAAAGGCCTCTCCTTGCATCAATTGTACACTCAACCCCCTCTAACGATCACTGCTACTTACATTCTAACCATCATGAAATTCACTTTGTCTTTCATTTTTGTCGCTATCGCTTTGCTACAGATGACGGCGGCATCTCCCGTCGCCGAAGGTGATTCTTCAGTGCTAGTTTCATTCTCTCTTGGACTATTCATCTGGTTGATGATATAGGCGTTGAGAAGCGCTCGCAAAAGAAGTTCGCGTGTATGTTCCAGCATGCTCATCCTATCTACATCATGTCTCACTAGACCATTCAGATGAGCTTGCCGAGGACTTTTCTGATGCTGAAGGTGATTCTTCAGCGCTACCCTCATTTTGTCACGGACTACTTACTTGGTTGATGACATAGATGTCGAGAAGCGCTCGCAAAAGAAGTTCGCGTGTATGTTCCAGCGTGCTCATCCTATCTACATCATGTCTCACTAGACCATTCAGATGAGCTTGCCGAGGACTTTTCTGATGCTGAAGGTGATTCTTCAGCGCTAGCCTCATTTTGTCGTGGACCACTTACCTGGTTGATGACAGATGTCGAGAAGCGCTCGCAAAAAAAGTTCGCGTGTATGTTCCAGCATACTCATCCGATCTACATCATGTCTCACTAGACCATTCAGATGAGGTCGCCGAGGACTTTTCTGATGCTGAAGGTGATTCTTCAGCGCTACCTCATTTTGTCATGGACTACTTACCTGGTTGGTGGCATAGATGTCGAGAAGCGCTCGCAGAAGAAGTTCGCGTGTATGTTCCAGCGTGCTCATCCTATCTACACCATGTCTCACTAGACGCTTCAGATGAGGTTGCTGAGGACTTTTCCGGTGCCGAAGGTGATTCTCCAACGCTAGCCTCATTGTCACGCGGACTATTCACCTGGTTGATAACGTAGATGTCGAAAAGCGCGCCGAGAAGCCATTGTCATGTATGTCTCAGCGTGCTCGCATTATTTGCATCTTGTCTGACGAGATGCGCATCGTGGCAGACATTGTTGCCGAGGAATCCCGTGATGTCGAAGGTAATTGTCTAGGGCTTTGTTTTGAATATTATAAGTTTACGTTGTTTGATATACAGGTCTTGGAGGTATGTCTTGAGCATCATCTTGGAGTCTCGACTCTTTTTAAACCATTACCGCCGCTGCAGCCTAAGGGATGTTGTCTCTGTCTGGGACAGCGAGTGCAACTTGTCTTTGTTATGGTGCAAATTAGTCCAGTAACAGTTATGATCGATGTATTACTATTGCACAATCATTTTATCGCAAGAACCAATCCCTAACTCTCGCTAAGTGTCGAGCACTGCACTCATCCTCTGCTTCTGGGATTGAATCACAGTGGTTGGAGGCCTTCTAACCTTGCTACCTATATAATAAATTGAAACTTACTGGATCGGATAATCAAATCACCGGAGATCTAAGACGAGAAATAGCAACACAGCGGAGTATGTCTTCCTCCTTCATGCCAGTCGAAAACGCACTGCGGTGGTCAGCAGCAGCATCAACTGCTTCTCTCAACTTCACCGTCTGCGTTTGGTTCTGTGTTGGGGTCGGAGTGAAGAGATGTTGTGCTGAGAGGTGTGTCAACTAGGGGCTGATAGAATGGAGGACGCTTCACCCACCAAAAGAGACTGCACCCTATCGTCTTCGTCTAGGGTCTTCGTCGTCCGTGGTTTGTAGAGTAGCGATCGCAGGCGGGGAGGGAGGGTCGTATAGGGCTGACAGGTCCCAAGCTCGCCACGCCGATCTAATGGATCTACAGGGATATTCCTTGACTTGTGGGCAGCTGGGACAGCACGGGGAGACTGTGGCTGTTGTTCACGAGACTGGGGTTGTACGATAAGATAAGAAGGGTCATCGAAGCTGCCTGAGCGAGGACGGATACCACGGGTGGATGGTGGAGGAAGGAGTGGGCCTGGGGAGAGGGCAGTAGAAATAGATGTCGAAGAGGTGTAACGATGATGAGGTTGGTTGCGCGAACGCAGTATGGCAGTCCTACTTGGAAGTTCGTCTGCCACCTCATCAGCAGACAACTCGGAGAGATCGCTTTCGTCATATCCTATCTCCGTGGTGTCTGAAGGTGGGTAGTCCGAATGAGACGACAAAGATGTCACCCGATAAAGATTAATGCGGGTCTGCAAGGAAATTGCACCACTTTGAGCCCCCGCGGTACAGGAGTGGTGATGCAGGTGATGCATACCTCGGGAATGTAACGGCCTCTTAGGGGTGGAATTCGGATGGTAAGTTTCGAGCTGCTGAGCGTTATCTTCGGGGCGGATGGTGCACCGATGTTCATGTCTTCTCGACGTTTTCTCTTGGGCTTCCGAGGACGAACAGGAGTCTCCATGCCTTTGGGTGTCCGCTTTGAAGTAGGTTTTCGGGGTTCTGGTTTTCTGTCTTTGCTTTCTTCTTCTTCGGAAGACCTGGTTCTTCTGAGCCTTCTATGTGAGTGACTTCCTCTTCCCGTTTACGTTTTCTCTCTCGTAATGCAGCTTCCTTTTCGGCAGCCTCTTTTGCGATTCCTTCCTTCAAGAGTTCCGCAAAACTTTGAGCGTCTCCTTGTAACCACACATCAAAGACGCCCTCCTATTCTCGTGTCGGCCCTGGAAAATCAAAGTTCAAATAAAGGGAGAGTCACTCGTCTGGCGATGTAGCTGATCCCTTGCCGGGAGAAGGTGCCGGTATCGCAAGACCTGTAGACGCGGACGCTGTATCCCTCGACGTAGTGCATCCTCGGGCGCGTACCGCCTTCGAGAATTCACGAACCATGCGTTTGGCACCTGGAACCTTTAAACTCGTACCAACCACAAGCAAAGCATCCACACCGCTCCGCCCCTTGCCTTTGGAACATCCAACGAGATCCCTCCTCGCAACTTCGCCCACGCCCTCCCCGTCTTTATGTAGTTCGTTACAAAGGACCACACTGGGTCGCAACTTTCCCACACCTCGGGCTCGCTTTCCGACAAGTTGACGCGTCTCCTCCATTTTGGTGCACTCGGGGCAATAAGGGGGTATTCTAATATTCAGTACAGCACCGAGCACGGCTTTTGAAATGACCAATGACATTCGATAACTAGGCGTGAACGCGGAGGCTTTGTTCTAGTGTGCGTAAGTTGCCACGGTCTGTTTCACTACTAACCTCAGCTTTGCTCGTTCTAGTCGCCTTGAGTAAATTATGACGGGAGACAATGATATACACTACATATCGAAGAACCTGCCTCTGGCATCAGCTCTGAGCGATTCTGAATTCCATGACCATTGTCTCTACAAGATCATAAACCTGGCTGAGTACTAAGCCAACAGAGGCCCTGTCAATTATCGCCAATCAACCACCGCCAACATATCAAGATATACTAGAATGAACTTACCCAAGGATCTTCAGCTCATCCAATGTTCGTTCCTTGGAATTTAGAACAAGCCACATCGTCATGTCCATTTGGTATGATCTGTGAGTGCCTGCCCCAAAGTTCGGTAACATAGGTTCAGGGGCCTTGGGATCATGAATTCAGAAATACGCTAGGCCGCACTCTGAAACTCACGATGCTCAACCCGTCAGTTCCAATGCTAGGTTCCTGCAATGTGCGCAAGAGCACGCAATCATCTAGCACGTAAAGTATTGGCTTTGCAGAAGATACCCTATTGAACTGCAGCTGACTTACGAATTAACACTCGGCTGTTCGGTCCCATGACCTTGCGAATGTTACGAAGGATCGTCGTTGCGTCGCGGTCCTGCCAGTTGTGGATAATGTTCCTTAACTACATAATAAGACGCTCAAATTACTGAGGATGCAGGGGGGAAAAGAGACTCTTACATAATAAACATCCTTCCCAACAGCAGGTACGTCCTCGAAAAAATTGATTGGCACGAACTCCACGCGCCCGTCTATCAGTGCCTCAGGAGCATTCTTCTCCCATGCCTAATCAAATACGAATAAGCCGCCCGCTGAAATGATCATGGCTAGTGGATGTTTGAACTCGCATTTTGTGCCTCCAGAAGAACTTCCGGGAGATCCTGATTAGTTATTTTGAGATGAGGGAACATTTTTGCCAGAGGAGTGGAAAATGTCCCAATGCCAGATCCGATATCCACCACAGATGAAACGTTATCCCAAGGATAGTCTTACGACCTACATCAGTCGCGTTAACGATTCATAAATAACGATGGCTTACGATGCAGAACTGCAGAAGCGCCCATCATCTCATTTAAGCCAAGCATGCCCCTGTGAAATGCCTATAAACGTGACTCTGTGAACCGGCAGTTGTGGATGAAGCACTCTGCACGCACCTCTCGTTTCTCATCCTATAAAATGTGTCAAGTAAGCGAAGGGCAATGTGACGACGAAAGCTCACGTCATTATTGATCATTTCCCAGTAGTCACCCTTCATACCCTCCTTCCTGAAAGCCAATACCCGGGGTGCTTTGTCGAGCTCATGTGAACGAGAAAATTCTTCGTCGATCATACTCTCATAGAGAACTCCGGCGTATTTCGCGACGTCCTGAGAATGAAGTCCTGCAAAACATCCAGTGTTGTTTGTTGACTTGAGTATGAGTGATAGCCGAGTGTTCGCGAAGACATCTTGCTCGACTGTTTAATACGTTAAAGGCTTCAGAGAAATTGTCAATTGTCATGCACATTACCTTCTCTAAAGCAACCCATGAGGGATAAAGCTCGTAAGACGCGCGCAGTCTTGCTCTTGTCAAGGTTGACTGCTTCAGCCAGCCTGTCCACGCTAAGACCTTCTGGATGTTTGTCCAAAACATCTGCAATGCGCGCTCGCAAGGCAACATCTATGCAAGCCCAATTGTAATTCAATACAGACTTAGGAAATGAGCAACAGAGGAGAGTTCGTTTGTAAGAGGACACTCACATTCATCACTGTGTGTTGGGGGGGAGCCAGTATTGCGCTCAATTGGTGGTATGCACCTTCGAGCAGCCTAATTGCCTTTTTGAGGGCAACTGTATCTGTCGCTGAGTCGAGGGGGTGGAAGGTGGTTGCGTCGACAGTGGGAACCCCATATCCTGTGTTCTTGTATTCCGCGATTGCTTGGCGTGCAGAGGAATTGATGATGTCCAAGAGAGCTTCAAGTTTGGCCTCCCGTTCATTCAAGTCCGTCATCTTTTGGGAATGATACGATGAAGAAAAAAACGGTGCTCCCGTCTAACTCCCGTCAGTGGTTTTTATATCGTGTTTCCTGCCGTTATAAATGAGTGAATGCACGAACATAGTAAGTACTAGAGTTTATGATATCAGTTGGACCTCGGTTCCTGCTAGCGTATCGGGTCTGCCAGAGGTTTGCCGCCCGAACCAGTTTTGCCGGTTATAACCGGCAAAAGTCTGGGCTATGCCATGTAGGATACAAAAAATATGTTATCCAAAGATTTAACTGCCACATCAACAGCGCCACGTCGTAAGCTGTCAGCAACGACTCGCGAGAGTGGTGATGAAAACAATACCATTCCGAAGTAAACAGTAATGAAGTTAGCGAAGGGAACAAAATGACAAGGGGGAGCAAGCATGCGAGTAGCGGATCATATGATACCTACTATCCGGTGATGACATTAAGCTGAAGCGAACATGTTGAGTGGAGCTCCGAGGGTTTGGAGAAACTCGAAAGAACCGAGTAGATCCGACTGATGACAGGGTACCAGAAACCGATTTTCGAACTTGACGGGGTACCTAGTTTACATAGCCGAGCAATATTATGGCACTCCGAACGCAGGAAACGCGTGTTGTCATTGTTAAAACATCCAGAAACGGTACCACGCATGAGCCCACCAGGCGGACACTGGTTTTCATGGGCTGTCTTGCAGGACAAAACCGGGCTCCTGCAAAAAAAGCGTGCCCCAGGATGCCAAACCCTTTGGACTCTCGTGGGGGCATGCCGTTGGAGCAGGGCCAGCAGCCTAAGCCCAAAGCAAGGCAGACAAGCTGAGATGATGATGGACGCTAGCTACGAACATGGCGAAACCTAGTCTACGTGCTGACTAAGCTGTGGAAAGGGCCGATTGATCGTCGATGATCGGCGCCTTTCAGCACCCGGCAACCTTCTCTCTAAGAGTACCAGCAAAGCCCGGCTTTGTTGGTGTTCTACGAGACGCGCCATCTGCCGGTCTACACCGCCTTCTGCGTTATCAAACTTCCACCTTGCTTTTAATCGCCATCAAAGCCGGCTTGTTAGAGAGTTTAAGCGAGTAAAAGACAGTCTGGCAGGTAAGGGTTAGTCTTATTTTTAGAACGAAAATCTACCACTCGAAGGCCTCGATATACCTTTTCAGTGAAGTTTTCTCAGTACTCCACTGTGACAACTCTTACTCATATCGCGAGCGATTGCAGGGACTTGTAGTATTCTAATTTCTGAGTTTTCCCTAGTTGTGCGTGGTAACGGTCGGGTAGGGAGAGCGCGGCAGGTACATCCGAGGCAGGTAATAAACTGTAAGCCTGAACTATGTATAGAAGCAGCTCAATAGGTTCATCGGACTCCATCCTACCCGTAACCCGGCCCAACCAACTTATGAGTCTGCGGGAGACCCGGGTCTGCAGCGATACGCACTATATTCCTCTTTTCCGTCATCCAGATCGTCCTACCCGCGGAGCCGATCACAGGTACTACTCGTTCTCGTACCACCCGGTCCATGATTCACCCGTTGGTACTGCCTGGGTGGGTACTCTGGTAAGCCTATCTGTGAAAATTCCAGCATCGCCGTAATAATTAGTTTGTGCACATCCGGATCGACTGTCTGAGCTTCAACCTTCGATGCAGTTTTCACGAATAAAAGCGTTCGCAAAGGTCGAGAGTTCTTCAGGAAGATGGAGTCCCTTCTCAAAATATCACTCATTCTCTCGCCCCCTATTGCGATGCACGTAGCGTTCACGCCCCCTCATACCCCCACAAGTGACGATGTTGTCCACGAGAACTTCATTGAGTGGATTCTCTTTTGGGATATCAACTATGGGCTGTCAATTACAAAGGTAGTTGATCGTTGGTTTTCCACCATCTTCTCTAACGAAACTATCAGGCATTTTCCTGGGCTATTGCTTTCACAGAACTCGCTATCACTGCCTCACACGCTATAGATCCCAACATTTTCCCCAGCGGGTTACAAGCGGTAATTGGCTCACTTCGAGCGATTCAAGATGTTTCCATCACTTCCCCTTTAGTTTTCGGCACCGCACTCATTGTCGTTGGGGGATTCATCCGCTGGTGGTGTTTTCGCACCCTTGGTCGTTTTTTCACATTCAAGCTCAGTGTCCGCAAAGGGCACCAGCTTGTCACGAGTGGACCATACGCGGTCGTCCGCCATCCATCCTACGCGGGAGCTGCTCTGCTCTCCATCGGCCAGTTTATATTGCACGGGTCGCTGTCTTCATTGGTTAGACGCTCAGGGGTTTTAAACATCCCTGCATTGAAAGCGATTGCGGTGGTAGTGCTAATGGGGAGAATGATTGTCGTAGCAAGCCTCATACTTAGGATCGGGCCCGAGGATGAAACGGTGAAGTCAATTTCCAGAGCAGAGTGGGAGAACTGGGCTAAGGTAGTCAAGTATCGCCTTATTCCTGGCATTTATTGAACCAATTACGCATGTCATGTAATGTAGCGCGTAATGTTGTGGAATGCGTGGTGTCTAGATGCAGCAGCGAGACTTAATGAGAGTGAACTACTTACTGTTGAAAATTCATCTTCTTGAAGTTCGACGTAGATCTTATCATTACAGCAAGAGCTAACCTTATTAAGCCTGAGAAGGCTTGTACGTGAAAGCCGCGGCCAATTGAGCATAAATCGTCTGGTGTGTCTCAGATTCTCCGTGCGGTGATTGACGTCGATGCTGACACCAAACGCACCTCTCGACGGCGAAAAAAACTCATTCCTGAGTTTCGGTTGAGTACGGTGGAGTAGGGGTCCCAAGGGCAGGAGCTGCGCACCAAGGGTCCTATCGATAATCCTCTACGCCGGTGGGAAACTTTCTACATAGCTTATGGCATACCCTACTCTACCGTTCTTCGACAGGAATATTATGTAATATAGCTACAAAATCTCCAATGTCCTGACGTCCAACATGGCATTAACGCAAGCCATGTCCCCAACTTGTGCGACGATACTATGATCTGATGCGATCCTCTTGTACTCCCCACCACGCTGCTGCGCTAGCAAAAGCGCGTCAAAAGGTTGTCCAAGACGGACGAGCAACCTCAATGCTCGCAAATGAGACTGCGAATCAGCTAGGTGAATGTTTTTACGCGGCTGCCTCGGCGAAAGTGCGCCAAAACGCTGCCTAAGGCGAACGAGCAAACGCAACCTTTGCGGACGGGAATGCGACTCAGCCGGATCATTCTCTTCAGGGGACCGCCTTAGCGGATCGTCTGACAGAGACCCGGGCTCAGGCCAATCATCCGCGCTCTGCATCTCCTCTGAAAAGTGGGGCAGCTCGAGATCATAACGATCCCATGGACGGATGAGCAAGAATGTTTGCTGAATAGGCCTTGCCGGTGAGAATTGAATCAGCTTGTTTTCTGTTGTGATTAGCAAGTCTTGGAGCCCGGCTGCCTTGACGTCGTAGGTAAAGTACGTCTCTTGATCGTGACCACGCCTCCGTCTGAGTTCGGTGACCGGAAATGCGATGCAAGGCAGTTGCAGTCTGGAATTCGCAAAACGAGGAGTACAGAGGTTCTCAACGAGGGTGTACAGTTTCAAAGCCGACTCCACAGCCACTGTATTTCGTAGCGCGGTGGCAGATTTCTGCATCTCGTCTTCGGATAGAGTTGGCAGCTTGCATGGCGAAGCTTTGTACGAGGAAATATCGGCTGGCAGACAACTATTAAAGTTGGATGATTGTCCTACCCAGTCCAACGCAGTGATGTCGCCCGAATGAGCTATGATCTCCTGCAAAAGACGTCCGAGCGCGTTTTGTTTCTTCTCTCCGTACATCACAGGTAAATGGACGCCGAAAATGCCAAATAATGAATATGCGATGTCTTCCTGTAATGTCGTGACACGGCTCGATGCCCATTGAAGTTTCTCCCGGGCACCTTTCATTCCCGGGCGGAAGGCAACGAGCGCCCGTGTATCTATGCCAGTCGAATCTTCTAACTCCTGCATGATAGTGACAGACTCCTTGTGGTTGGTAGAACTGGCGTCGAGATATAGGGACCAGTCTGCTTGATAGAAGAGAACGATATTAGGAGCGAGGAACTCCTGAACAGTCCATCCTCGCGTGTTCCAAATGCTATTTGCGAGCGCACCAGACTTTGAGGACGGCGGAACATCCGACAGGTAGATGATGGTAAGTGCTGAATGGTGATACCAGATGAACATGGAGTTGACTGATTCTTGGAGCTCAACATTGTTGTTCTGGTCGATGCAATACGTATCGACCCATGCCCAATGATACCCCATATCACGAGCGACTTGGCAGAATTTCTGCAATTTCACCACGGCTCCAACTGGGTCCAAATTGTATATGACTTTGTGCTGAACGTCATGTAGCAATGGCTCCTTCTTCTCCCACCTATGCGATAACATGACCCAACTGAAGTACTTCGCGACGGCTTCTCTGATGGGTTCAATTTGGAGGGGCTCATGCATCACTGATGAAGAAAAAAGTTCTTTGTACTCCGTGCTCTTCTTGAATGCGTTGATCTGTCCATCTCGATTACACAAACATCCAGCGGAAGTGTCGATTAGACGAAGCGGGGCGTTTTCCAGGTGAGTGTGAATGGCTTGTCGAACAGCAGCGTCCGTTACTTCAGATGCGCTGATATATTTCTGACGTAGCTCTGTAGAATGAATTAATGATCTTCATGATCAATGCATGAATTATTTTGGGATTACTTTGCATCTGTGCGTCAGGAGCATTATTCAACTTGGAGAGCATGGTTTTGAAAGATTCGAATACATCATCATAGCGCTGTGCTCCATGAAGCGCCGCAAGCTTCAGTTCGTACCCAAGATAAGACGAAGGGTTGAGCTCAATGACCTACGAATATCATTACGTTGGTTAAATAAACGATGGTGATCGCCCACACCTTTTCTGCATCGGAAAGGGCCTCCGCATATAGCATTCGTCCAAACTTCCCCTTGCTGCGGTGTGCAAAGAAGGAGTCATATGATGAATCCAGCCCGAATGCTGCAGAAAGTGTGTTTTCGATCGACCAGAGCCGAACCTTCCCCTTATAGTCTCCACTCACGAGTAGTTCTCCGTTGGGAGAAAGTGCAACGCAGGAAGCCCATGAGGTGTGTTTTAGCGCCTGTCCTATCTGCTGGTGTGATTTTGTGCTCCACAGCCGCACAGTCATGTCGTTCGAGGCAGTGGCAATGAAGAAGCCATCAGACGAGATGGCGAGCGAGCTGATCAACTGAGTGTGACCAATGCAGGGTTGATCAATCTGGCATCCATTCGAGGAGTCCCAGAACTTGACTGTTGTGTCGGCTGATGCGGAGACAAGTTGCTTGCCGTCAGGCGACCATACGGTACCTTGAACGTAATATTCTCCGTGAGCTTTGATCTTGAAAAGAAGTTCAGCATCATCGGTGCACCAAACTCGGATGGTACCGAGTGATTCGATCGATGCCAACTTTCGCCCATCTGGGCTGAATGCCACACTCAAGACCGCATCCTGATTACCATCGAGTGTTGAGAGGATAGCGCCGGTCTCCGCATCCCATATAATAACTAGATTATCTCGAGACCCGCTTGCGAGTCTCTTTCCATCGGGTGAGAAGCAAACAGACCACACCGTGCCTGTATGCTTTACCAGTGGATCGAATACTTTCTGCTTGCTTTCGACGTCCCAGATGATGATGATGTTATCTAGTCCACCGCTCGCAACCCACCTGTCGTCTGGCGATACAGCCACTGATTTCACGAAGTCGGTGTGCCCCTCGAATGGCCCTCCTACCAGTTCTCCTTTCTCCACGTCCCAAATTCGCAATGTTTTATCATCTGAACCGCTGACGACTCTGCGACCGTCTTTGAAAAATGCCACTGCCCACACCGACCTCTTGTGCGCTCGCATAGTCTGCGTTGGCGCTGGCTGTGCTGTCTGCATAGATGTCGTGCCCCTTCTCACGATAAGAGACTTTTGTTTTGCTACATCGCGCATTCCTGACATGTCACATTGGCCTACAAAAGGAGATAGACGGTCAGCATTCGAAGTTAACGATCCGCGGAAGCATACCTTTTGGATGTTATGTGCTGTGGGTAGTTTTTTCAACTCATGTGGGTGCATTTGTAGGGTTACCGTTTGCTCTATCCCACGCTTTATTTCGCTTCTTCTATCTCCACAGCCTCTCTGCATAGACGCCCGTCATATCAATCTCCTTCCCACCGCTGCTGGAGAGGTAAGGGGGAGTACAAGAGTATTATTATTAGAAACTTGCAAATCAGCCAGGTGGATATTTTTACGCATCTGACACGGCAAAAATGCGCCAAAACGCTGCCCAAAACGAGCGAGCAAGCTCAACTCTCGCGTTGGAAGATGCGAGTCAGCTAGATCATTCTCTTCAGGAGATCGGTCAAGCGAATCGTCTGACGGAGACCCAGGCTCTAGCCAATCATCCGCGTTCTGCATCTCCCCTGAAAATTCAGGCAGCTCGAGATCATAGCGATTCCACGGATAGATGAACAAAAATATTAATATCTGCCGAACAGGCCTGCAATGCTGGTGAGAGTTGAATCAACTTTTCTTCCGTTATGATTAGCAAGTCTTGGAGCCCGTCCACCTTGATGTCGTAGGTAACATGTCTCCTGTCGTAACCGCGCCTTCGCCTGAGTTCAGTGACCAGAAATGCGAGGACGACAGAACATCCGACAGGGTGCGATTGGGATAATCGGATTAGAAGCACCCGTACACTAGTGACTAGTACGCTTGAATAGTGATGAAGTGCCTTGAGCTTCATCGAAATATATAACGACACACGGTTCGAGTACAGCAGTTCAAGCACCATGAGTCGAAACGCCACGAGACAGACTTGAAGCATTGTGAACTGACAAGGCCATAGTACTAGTATAGTTGCGGACACGCAAACTCGACGACTTTGTTTTTGACTCGGGGAATTTTTTTGGCATCAAACTGAGCGCGGGAACAGATAGGTCAAATTACGTCTAAAACCGGTCTCGTTTGAATTTTCCCACGTGTTTTGGGCTGGCCAAAATTTTGGCCGTTTTCAACAACATTAAGGGAACGTGCCACCTTTATCAACATGCATGACAACTTAAAACAAGGATAACGCCGTACCTGCCCCTCATGCACATGGACAAGCTGTCGAAGATGGACAACGAAATGGCAAACTGGCCCATTCCGGACGAATTTGCGCTGCACTTCGATAGCATCACATATAATTTCCAAGTAACACCCGAGGCTCTATGAAGGCAACCTTATTTAACCTATCCACACAAATACCGCTCTTAACGGTTCCATCGCGGAGATTGAGTTCACCGTGGTTCATTGGAAAATCCAAGACCATGATACTTTCCAAGCGACCGCGGAAAATGTAACCATCCTGAGGTATATATTCTAGTAATTCCACACACTAAAGATTGTTGCCGCGTGAACGTGTGCCCATTAGACGGTGCAAGATTCCGATGTCAACCAGGCATAACAACTCCAATTAATGGCGATACAGATGCTTCAAGCTGACATGGCCTTGTAGAGGATGTTCCGTGAGAAGATTCAAAAGACCAGGTGCAACGGTATCGTGTTCGTGTGTCTATGAGTGGCTGTAACTGATATCATGATGGCAGCCACCTCCTTTCCGGAGGTAACATGGCCTGGAGTATACATCATTTTAACAGCAAGCTGGGGAATGCAACGGAGACTGGAGCACGCACAAATGATTCCATATTTGAAAGGTCGTTACCCGTGAGGAAAGCGCTTTGCTAGTCACGGGAATGGGGTTGGCAACTTGGTGGCACACATTTTCAGTCACAGTACTTGAAGTCGAGGTTGGTCCAGTGCTAGACTGTGCTAGATGGCCATGATTATTCCCCCGCGTGACGCGTGACGCGTCAGTGGGAGACTTTCTACATAGCTTATTTTACCTTGGAGTGATCCGAGTGATATAAAACTCTTGGTCCAGTGAAAAGCTGAGCTGATGTCAACCAGTTGCAATTTTTTTTTGGTCTTGTTGCGGTGCTACCGTTGCGATCTCTGCAAGTTGGGAACAACAAAGTGTCAACGTTTCAACTGCGGGCTATACTAGGCTATACTTGGCTATACACGTGCTTATGTCATTGTTATGAAGACAAAAGGTTTTGCGCAACGAACATATAAGAACCGCGTGCATAGTTCAATGAAGTAACTCACTTTTAGGTCCACTTGGGATCTTTTCACCTTCCACGTCTGCGAACTCTGGCCTGGCGCCATACTGTCTTTCACCCAATTTCATTCTTCCAATAGTTCGCCAGTCGATCTCAAATTCTCTTTCAACTTTTGCTAACTGTTCCAGTTGTCGCTAGTCGACGTTGCTCTCACTGTTATTTTCACTCTTTTGTACTTGCAAAGAAGTTCTTCACGCGTGATGCAGTTGTCAATCGTTTTCGCTGTGCTATTAGCATGCATTCTAAACAGCACCCCATCTAATGCAATCCCTGCGAGGGCGAGGGCCCATCACCAGATACGAGCTAACCCAAGGATGGTTACAATGCCGCTGAAGCGGCTGTACGTTCCACGGACCGACGTCCACCCACAATTGGTGAGCCGATATGATCATCACCTCCCCGTACTAGCCCCTGACCATTTGATGGCACAGCTTCTCCAACAGCACATTAACCGTGGCAACAAACGCCTTGCGCGTATGACTGGACGTTCAGAACCCCCTGAACATGAACTCCGTGCAGAGATGCATAAGAGGATGTACATTCTTGAAAGCGCTTCAGTCGATGCCAGTAGTGCTACCACGGTGGCGAGGAGCCACTTTAGCAGACGCCACTCCCGTCATTCCAAACCTTCTACAATGGCAGCAAGCAATGTTTCTTCCACCGGCACTGGTAGTGGAGTTTCTTCTCTCGACATCCAGGCTGCCGAAAATGGCGGTCTCACTCCTGCTAAGCAACCTACTGCTAACAACACCCTTGGCCTTGCTATTGAGTGAGTGCAGTCGTTCTTCCGCTTAAATTGATTAACTGATGATCGTGCAGTGCGGATGATGTCGGATATATTGCAACTATTCAGATTGGTACTCCCCCCCAGAACTTTAATATCCTTATGGACTCTGGTTCCGCCGACTTCTGGGTCGGCAGTGAATCTTGTCAATCTCAGCAGGGTACTTGTGTAAGTTTTTGTTGACAGTAGCCGCTATAAACTACTTACACCAATTCAAGGGGAACCATACTTTCCTTGGCTCCAACTCGTCAAGCTCTTTCGTTCAGTCCAATCAAAATTTCAATGTGACGTACGGGTCTGGATCCGTTGCCGGTGTTCTTTGCCAGGACAACGTCAACATGGCGGGTTTGCAGCTCAACAACCATACCTTCGGCGTAGCAAACGAGGAGAGTGTGCAATTCTCTGCTGACACCGTGCCTTTCGATGGGTTGATGGGTCTTGCCCAATCGGTAAGTCGACTTGTTGATCTTGAGGCGCCAACACACTGACGGTTTCTTTTGCAGACACTTTCCAATGAAAAGGTCCCAACTCCTGTCGAATCTTTAGCGTCCAATGGTCTCATCTCCTCAGCTATCTCGTCTTTCAAAATCTCACGTCTCGCTGATCAACTTAACGACGGCCAAGTTACATTCGGCGGACTGGACACCACCAAATTCGTCGCCAGCACCCTTATTACGATCCCCAATGTCAGCAAGATAGGGTTCTGGGAAGGCGCTCTAAATGCAATCACGGTCAACGGACAAAACACAGGCATGACCGGGCGCACTGCCATTCTTGACACTGGCACCACCCTCATCATCGCCCCTCCGGCGGATACCCTGGCAGTTATGGCCATGATTGGTGGTACATGTGATACTCAGCAGTGTACGATTCCGTGCACGTCGAATGCAAGCGTCGCGCTGTCCTTTGGAAATGCGTCGTTTACTATCGACCCCAGAGACATGGTGGTGCTGCCTGTGGACCTCAATGATCCAACTGGTGACTGCACAGCTGGGATTCAGCCTGGCACTGTCGGAACGGACACGGAGTGGCTGGTATGTGTCTCTTTTCAACTGTATCATTGCTCCGCTGACTCCTTTTGGTAGGTCGGAGATGTGTTTTTGAAGAATGCGTATCTTTCTGTGGACACGACGAATAACGAAATTTCTTTGGCCAAGCTTTCTTAGTTTCTACCCCGCGAACTACCTAATGGTTTCAGGGTGTAGTTGTTCTCTACTAGCAGGATCGCAGGATCGATTCTTTCTTAGATTCGGGGAAAGGCATTGAATTATCTCCAAGCTGTATAATAGTCATCATTCATTACTATCATCACGCACGATATCAATTGTCTGAAGACTGAAGAATAAAATCTACACCATACATACATAATACTCGAACAATAAGTTTATCTCTACTTTTTTCGCAAGAGTTCCTTCGCGATTTCCTCGTTATCTGCCGACTGGTCTGGCAGCCAAAATGCCTGTACGGTGTGCCGTTAGTCGAGATACGTAGACGATTAAAAATCAAGATATTTACCAATTCCGCCCCTGCGGATACAATCATAGCTAACCGAGGATTGAATCTCACACATCTAGACGGACCGGGATGGCCATCAAGAGTAGTAAGCGGCTGAAGCCGCGTTGGGTGTGCCTTGAGATCAACGACGCCTGACCGCACAGGCAAGTTTTGGACGTCCCATATGATTATTTTCCCATTCAGACTGCCGCTGACAACATACTTGCTATCCGGCGTCCAAGACACCTCCTCACCGCTGTTACCCTTCGAGGGGTCGATAGTCTGCGGGGCGTCGATGCGTCGGCGCTCCAACCCAACGTGACCCTCCAACTTGGCCAACAGATGACCTTCAAACGCGTCCAAGATGTAGTGCGCATCACCAGAACAGCCAACAAGGATGTATTTCGCGTTTGGCGAGAATGAGAGAGATGTCATGTATATCGGGCGAGGTGGGTAGCTGACTAGGGCAAGGGTAGGGTCTTCTAGCGTTATGGTCAAGAACGGGTCTTTGTCGTAGTTTGCTTGGTCGTATAAGAGTATCCGTGAATAGTGATTCACGCCCACTGCGAACACTAACCCGCTGGAATCGTATGCGACGATGGGTGATGCGGGTAGGTTCAGGAGCCCGCGACATGTCGGGGCGCGGAGGTCCCATAATCGAACTGTTTTGTCCATTGAGCCGGACATGAAACCGTCGTCGATGGGTGAAACTTCCAAAGAGACGACGCGTCCGCTGTGCCCCTTGAAATACTGCAAGTATTTGTTGTCGTGGAGTGAATGATACCGAATGGTGTCAGTCTTCCTTCGTCGAAGCGTGTACGACGGTAGTATGCCTATGCGTGAAACGAGGAAGGTCGACCCCATATTTCTTAGAATACAACGTTTTGAGATGTCTAAGCGCGATACCAAAAAAATTAGTCGTCAGAAGGAGATAGAGTGTGGTAAGAACTTGCTTGCCCGTCTTGCAGCTGTACAACCGAAAAGTCTCATCTTCAGCTGCAGTCAACACTTGATCTCCCCGGTCATCGAATGTGATGGCGGTGATGTGTCGTGGCCCTTGATGTGATCTAGCGACAGGTGTTGACGGCAGTGTCGGTTCAACTGCTCCCTTGAAGATTTTCGCGGGCTTCAACTTTGTCTGGGATAGACCTGTCAGCGCACGCATACAGAGCTATATTCTGGGCTTACCATCAACGCATTTGAGAGCGGAATCGTCGCTGGTGGAGGAGCTGCTGCATTGCCGTTAGAGGTCGTTGGTGGAGGCGGCATTGTGAGAGGTTCGTCAAGGATCACTTTGGGCGTCTGAGTTTCAATACTGCTTTTGCCGGCTACTCCCCTCATGGCTGAAGACGAAACTGCGAAACTATGGAAGGTCAATCGGACAATTCATGAACTTGTAAAAGATAGGGTGCGAAATCATGTTTTTTGGTGTATTGGTGCATTTTTAACGAGTCATTGACGAAGGGGTACCAAGTCTCGGACGATGAGATCAACATGGACCTGACTACGTTCAGGTCGCATTATGCAAACAGTGGAGGCAGCGTCGAGTCAGTTGCGGTTATTCTGCAGCACTGTGCACTTGCAGATGCTGACTTGCATTTCCAGTCGAAACCAACTCAATTTCTTCACGAATTCCAGAGAAAATCCAGCAGATCAGATTTTCATATTCTTTTCAGATGAGAAAAGCGTCGGCGTTAAAACAATGCGGAAGTTCGTCTATGTGCGCCCCTTGTGCCTGTTCGTCTGATGTAGGGTGAACACGCAGGCTATTGGGTATTCTCGAGGAGAAGTCGATCATGCGGGGGATCATCATCTTTCCTGGCAACATGACGCCATCTGCACGAAAAGTGCGAGCTTGATTCTGTGTTCTCGCAATAGCAATCTTACGCTTTCTTTACAGGTAATTGCGGCGATGTCTCAACAATATCGGCTTGAGGAGTTTTCAGAAGCTGACTTGCTCGTCAATATCACGCATCACACACTGGTCCCGCGGCATGAGGTGTTGACTGTTGAGCAGAAAAAAACAACTTCTTGAAAAATAGTGCGTTTTTATTCTTAGAATGACTTGACGTGTTCTTACATTGTGACCCACTTAGTCGCCTGAAGGAAACCCAGCTTCCTCGAATACAGCTGGCCGACCCCGTGGCAAGATACTATGGACTTCGGCGAGGCCAAGTCGTTAAAATCACTCGTCCGAGTGAAACCAGCGGTCGATACGCCAGTTATCGTATATGTTTCTAGAGAAATATGTTATGGTTTGGATGGTTTTTCCATTATCATATTTACATGTATACTAGCACCAGAACACGAAATAGTTCACGCGGGGGTACAAATATTATTCACCTCCGACGGGATAGTACTACTTCGCAGGAGCGACGTTCCCGCATTCCTTACACTTCCTCAATTCTTCGGTCGACATCCAGCGTTGAATAACGGGCTTCAGTTGCGTTCCGAGGTCGGTGACGTGGAAAGTCTCTTTGTGGATGATAGTTGGCTTGGTATGGGAAGGATCACGACAGTACCACTGTAGGGAGTCTGAGTGCGAAGAAGCGTCAAGACACATTATCTAGCGCAGTAGGGATCTGTACGCACCATGAGATGCATCCGGACGAGCAGCTTCGATAACAATTCCGATTGTATCGGCGAAGCGGACTGGGTTGTGTGGTGTATTGGCTAACGTAATTTTGGTAAAATCGATTCATTTGACGATGATAGGGTCCTCAACGTACCTGGCAGTAAAAACATCTCTCCCTCCTCGATCCTGATATCCTTGAACTCATCCCCGTCTACCACTCTAAGCAGCATGCCACCCTTGTACTGATAAAACCATTCCTGAAATGAAATCGGTACAATTTCTTATCTTAGCGATCGTAGAGACGCACTTCGGTCTCATTCACATGATAATCGTTTCTCTCATTGGGACCGCCTACAGCCATCACAGTAAAGTCCTTCTGCCGATATAGGCAGAAGTTGTTCACAGGAGGCTTGAGTAGGTGCTGGTTTTGATCGAGCCAGCGCGGGAAGTTGATAGGTGGAAGGAGAGGCATTGTTAGATGTGTTCGGTGTTTGGTACTAAGAGATGCGAAATCGGGTGCATATGACGGCCAGGGACGTTCGCTCGCAACTTGCGGCCCGATCACATATCCGTACAACTATTATAAGTAGGTGTTGCAGCTACATTGCGATCCTGTTATAACTAACGGTAAATGCTCGTAGGCGATTGTGACGATGGCGAGTGCTTTCATCGGTCGGAACTCGATTATGAGCGCTTGCCAAAATCCGGAGTTTTCCCTGATGGCGGCTGCAAGTGCTTCCTTTTTTTGTTTCTGCCAGTATGCGGGCCGCAGGAGCTATAGGCCTCTACTTTTCTGTTCCTAACAAAGCTCAGCTTCAAGTTCCCCCGCTAATCTGAGTATGATCGGGTCTTCCAAGACGAGCCAACCGTTGAGACTTTGATTGTACTAGTCACTCCAGCTCCTAGTGAGTCACTTATACGCGCGCGCTCTGGAATTTTCATCAAGCTTGAAACGTTAATTAGGTTAGAGAAGAAGAAAGTGCCGGCTATGCACTCATTATATTTGGCAGGGCTTTTTTTGGTCCTAGTGTTTAACGTTTATTGTCCGGTGGGGCCTTGTCCTACTATGGTAGACAATACATGCTGCGTATCTCTGTATCTATGTGTATATCTATGTGCGTTTGGATATTCTAAGCAATGGCGCCTGCATGGGGTGTATTAAAGCCAACTAAAGGCGATAAGGGTTAGTTTTAGGTTCTGACAATGTGCGTCGCTGTGTTCTCTATTCCTCTTCTTCATCGACCGGTGGGGTGACGTCTCCGAAAATGGTCTCTAGGCGTTTGGTTTTGGCTATGCATTTGAGGGCGGATTTGATACATTGAAAAGATATTTGAAGTCGTGCGCCTTTGTTCCGATCTCATCTACGGGTGCTATTCTTTGCCTAGTGTACGCTGGACATGCTATGAGGAAATGGTGCGTGGTTTCTTCTCTTTCGCATTTCGGGCATTTCGGGGTGGGAGATCTTGATTCTGTAGAGGTGTTTGTTGAGCGGTGCATGGCGAGTGGCGATCTGGCGGGGCTAGTGCCATGTCAAAGTATCTCGCATCGCTCGAAATGTGTATCCTTGGCCTACGGATGAAGATCCGATTGCGGTAGGGTTTTATCAGAAACGCTCTTTTGAATATTGTCTGTAAAGGGGAAGCAAATGGCGAGACATACGGAGACATCGAAGGCAACTCAGACGAAACCGACGTATTCTGCAGTGTGCACAGATATCGGCTTCTATCTGCAGACAGGATCGGTTTAGTCCGCAGCGACACGTTTGCCATGTTTGCTTACTGTGCTGATTTAATCACGAGTCTTGGGGGCTTGTTTATTATGGCTCTTACGGCTATCCGCGAGTCCCGAAGGTTAGTTTGCGATTGCGTCCTAGAATTCGTTCCGGAGTGACGGTTCTCGTGTTCGTGCTGGAACATGAACCAGGTAATACCGTAAACTGGAAGAGGAGCTGGTTCCTGTTTAGGAAGGTAGCGGTGCACATTCGAATCATTGGTAACAGTACTAGTATTTTACTTGCATCTCTCCATGCCCCTCACTCGATTTCAAAAACAGTGCCACTGTCGTGCGTAGTGTTCACCCTGCAGTCGTAATCGATTTCAGGAGATCATCACTCTCGAACAACACTTTGCAACCCCCGCCGAAAACGTGTTCGGTAATATAGTCTAGAACGCTCTAGAATAGGTGTGTTAGTGGTCTCGCTCCATCTGAATTTGCTTTTGACTGTCGTTTTGTAGAATTAATCTAACACCCGATGACTGTGGGATGACAATGACTAGCTCGGCGCTCGGCTTTTTCTGGTGACTAGTGGCACTTGCTGTCTGCGCGATCGCCGGAATAAACGTTATAATCACCCACAATGCTCTTTGTCAGTCGTCGGTTACTTACCATATGGTGGTGCTCACCCCGGTATAAGTGACGATGCTGTGACGGTCATACCATCTATAGCTGAAGGATATTATTATCAACATTGCATGTTCAATGCTGCACTAATATAACCCGCACCGATATTTATGCGACTTAAAACCATATCCAGCCAAGACGCAAGGGACTTGAAACCTGCTTCCGAGTCACAACTCTCCAGGTTTGGTCTGGTTTGTGTATATCCAGCTGTTATCATACTGGACAGATTGTTTGAGGTACGTCAGGCTGACGAAAATAAGTGACATCGCCTTATATCAAAATTCCTTTTGACAAAAAGGACAAGGAGTTTGACGTAGACGCAGTGAGAAGCGGGTATAAGTACTCCTACGGTCACTACTGGCTTCACAACTCCAACATGTCTTCTGCAGTCATCCAGTACACTCTTCCCGACTTCTTCTCCCTCTGTGCCTTCAACTTTAGCAAACCTAACCCTCACTTACAGGAGTGCAGAGCAGAGAGCAAGGCGTGGGTCGCTCGTTTCAATGTTTTCAACGACAAACAAAACGCTATCATGGAAAAGAGCCAGTCTGAGCTTCTCGGTGCCCTCGCATACCCATACGCAGGGCGCGAGGGCATTCAGAACAACCTGCGACTTCCTCAACTTGTTGTTCGTCCTGGATCATCTTAGCGATGACATGAATAGCAAGGATGCGAATGGCACATGCGAGGCCTTTTATCAAGTTATGGCTGATCCAGACTTCAAGCACGAGTCTAACTTGGCCGAAATCATTCTCGAGTATGTATAATTTAGGCTTGCGCATTGTGTGTCTTACTGATGGGATTGGTTTCGCAGTTTTCGTCAAGCCATTATCCATTCCGCCAAGCCGCAGTTCTTCAAACACTTCCTGAGCGACCTGAAGAGATATACCAAAGCTGTTGCGGATGAAGCAGAACTCAGAGAAGCTGGACAAGTTCTCGATCTCATTAATTTCGTGCCTCTTCGTCGTGAAAACAGCGCCGTGAGGTGTTGTTTCGCCTTCATAGAATATAACCTCGACATCGAATTACCTGATGCAATCTTCGACGATCCTATCTTCCAAAGTGTTTATTTTGCGGCCGTTGACATGGTGTGCTGGACAAATGTGTGTACCTCTGCAGCCTTAATGATGACCAAGATCGTGAACTAACTGAGAGCAGGACCTCTTATCATACAACGTAGAGCAGGCCATGGGCCACACCAGCAACAATATTGTTACTGTTCTGATGCGGGAGAAAGACGCAAGCGTTCAAGAGGCAGCGGACTGCATTGGAGTTGTCTTTGAACAACTCATGACTCGCTTTCTGAAGGACAAATCTCGTTTGCCGTCCTGGGGCGCAGATATCGACCGTGACGTTGCGCTCTACGTCGAAGCTCTTACACGTTGGGTTGGTGGAAACTTGGTCTGGTCGTTCCAGTGTTCAAGATATTTTGGAACTGCCAACAATGTTGCCCTCCTCACTCGGTTGGTGACTTTGTACCCCAAGGATATCGAAGATGGGCAAAAGTGAAAGAGATGGATGATTGAAGGTGACGGATGTGTGTGGCGCAGTACTTGGAGATAGGATATGATAGACTGGGTCTTGTCTCTAATTCTGAGGGTGATGTTGAGCTCTGCATTAGACCTTTTTTACTCGAGTTTAATCTAGTTTATACAAGCATGGATCAATTTGAATGAGACTGTAAAAAAATTCACGTGTGTGTGCTTCTTCAAACCTCGGTTACATGGATTCGAGCTACATTTCAACTGCTCTGCTGCCCATTTGTTCCCTTGTGTCCAGATTCCACACCCGAAGACTCTTGTTGTGGGAGCCAGTAATGATAGCAGGAGCGTCAACAAGGGGGTGGCCACTTGTGCGCACTAAGCTGAGTAGGTACTAAGTTGCATCTCTCACATCAGGAAAAAACAAAATTTGTGGGAGTCCTGGTAGTCCTGGTGACAGCTATGTAGCACTATAAAACTTACCCTTTTTTTTCTTCAAATATAGCGGTTGATCTTGTTGTTGTTTGTCACATGCTTATTTTTTAGAGTATTCAACACAACAAGCTCGGTCAATAAATGTAAATAAGCTATAAAATTTTTGTGGTGCTCAGTACCCTTGATCTTATTGTCGCACTTTGACTGCCTTAAATTTACCTCGGTCCTTAGAAAAACTATAAAAATAGTGACTTATGTTTCTTAGCCACCTTAATGCTATTTTTAAGTGGTGTAAGGTACAAAAAGGAACTGGGAGATTTGCTGATGCATTTGATGACATCATGCTTCTTTGTGCTTCTTTGTACTTCTCCTCAATAACTGGGCCTAGATTGTAAGATTCTGTTGATGAATGAGTCCAATTGGTCAGTTGTGTGATCTACATTTGCTGAATTTGGCTCAAGCTATCAAAATTCCTCTAAGTCCTGCAAATGAGTACAATATCAAGTCCACTTACTTGGCATTGCAGGTTTGTGCCAGCACTCAACTTCAAAAACATGTTGGAATTACACTTTAAGCCATTGGTAACTACACTGAGTCCGATTGGTAATTGCATTTGCTGGATTTTGGCTCAAGATATCAAAACTCCTCTAGTAAGTACAATATGTCCAATTGCTTGACATTGAAGTTTGCACAAGCGCCCAACTTGTATTTAAGTCATTGGTAGCTACACTTGTTGCCTAATCACACAAATTTCAAGACATTAAATTGATTTATTGCATTACAAACAGATTATCATTATGGGACACACATAATGGATATGTATGCTAAAGTATGTGAACACATTACTGATAGTGAACAAAGTGCAGGAATAGCACAGGTTAAGGTGTGGGAACATGAATAGTGCTGCAGGAATGCATGTAGGTAGCATGGGAAAGTGTGGACTAAGTGTCAGACAAGGGTTGCAACTGAAACAAGTGAAGACTGCATATAGGGGAGTGCCAATTTTGGCAACATCATAATAGTGAAATGGAGGCAAACAGTTGAATGACAAGACTGGTTATTAGATATATGGTACTTACTGTAAGGTTCTGTCTGGACACAAATTTCACTTGAGAAATTCAAATCGAAATTCACCTTTGGTGTCATGTGACTCTGCTCCCATGACCTTCCGAAGTCACCTGGGCATATGCTCCGCTATCATGATAACCAGGGATATATGATATCCATCCAGCGCACTGACTCAGTACAACACCCATAATGGACATCTCACTACAGCGATGACATGCAGATGTCCGTTGACGCCGACTTACTTTCATCTTCATGTGCATTGCTACACAAGTTGTGTATCTGTACCAATTATTATTCCTATTTACAAACACACGTATTCCATACCACACATCAGCCTTGACTGGTGAAGCATGGGTTTATGAGCTTATGACAGGTCACCCTGATAGAATCCACCACAATTTTGGTGTTAACCTTGAAGTCTTTGAAGCACTGGTGAAGATTTTGCAACAAAATGGTATCCAAGTGTCTCACAATGGCATATCAGTAGAGGAACAACTGGCAATTTTTTTGTATGCCTGTGTAACTGGGCTTTCGACTCGCCATCTCGGTGAGCGATTTCAGTGTTCCCCTGATACCATTGCCAGGTGGGTACTCAGCCTTTGTCTGAGTCATATCAATATCCTACTGAATTCTGTTGTGCTAGGTACTTTAAGCACTTGCTTAACTTTTTCTCGGATGACCTATTCTATTCCTCGCAAGTCCACTTACCCACGATTGAGACTCCCCTATCCTCCAAAATTCTGGATGACCCTTGATTTCGCTTTTTTGATGAATGTATCGGTGCCGTAGATGGCACACACATCCGAGTCTTCGCCTCAGCCAACCAGCATGCCACCATGCACAACCGCAAAGGATTTTTATCCCAAAACTGTCTCTTTGCATGCGACCATGATTTTTTATTTATATACTCACTTTGCAGCTGGGATGGCTCTGTTGCCAATGGTGCACTCTGGAATGATGCGTGCGCCCATGATTTTGCCTTGCCCCCAGGCAGATATCTACTTGCAGATGCTGGCTTTGGGACATGTGATGCACTGTTAAGGCCAATCAGCAGTAATGTTTTTTTTTCATTTCAATACTTTATTTTCTAACACATGTCTAGGCCGTGGACCCCAGAGGAGTTATTCAACCACCAACACGCATCTCTTTGCAACATCATCAAATGCATCTTTGGAGTGATGAAGCGCTGATGGCGCATTCTTCAGGTGCCGCTGGAGTATCATATGGACATCCAAGCACGTGTCCCCAATGCGCTCTGTGCTTTGCACAACTTTGTTTGCAGATACGACCCCGACATTTTTGACGAAGAAGCTGATGATATGTTGGAATACAACTCTGAGGGAGGAGGGGGTGAGCTGAATGAACTTGGTGATGGCCTGGCAGATACTTCAGAGAGGCAGAGAGCTGATAATCGTCATGATTGGATTGCTAGGGAGATGTGGGAAGATTATCTTGCAGTGCATGCGGCACGAGGTGACCCAGTTAATTGAAGTTATACTACTAGTTTGTGCGCTCTGCATCTCGACAATCAATTCAATTGTTTGCATGTATCATAGTGTTTGACAAGTATGTGAAAGAAGTATATGAAGCAAGTTAATCGACGGTATCGATGTGCATGGCATGAGTTTCACTGAGCCTCCTCTTCACCCAATTGGCCCTCAGATTGTTGCCCTTAAGTATAAAAATGCCATGGCCTGATCTTTGTCCCTCACAAACAACTGTGTCATGTCCAACTTGTCATCAGCAGACATGTATGTGGCATCACTGATGACTTCAATGGCACACGCAAAGTCAGAAGCAGGTGCAACAGGGGCCGCAAGAACTGGGGGTACACTAAGATGCTTGCTCATGGCCTCCATTGCAGTAACAAGCGATGTCATCACTGCACTACCCTCCAGCTGGGCTCTGGCAGTTGCAGATGGTGGGCGAGAGTGCTTTCCCGATGGAGCATCGCCATCAGAACCCAGTGCGCTTGCCCCGGCTGGCGCTTGTTAATGCTGAGGGTGGGCTTGTCGATGGGCGAGAGCACTTTCCAGATGGAGCATCGACATCAGAACCCAGTGTGCTGGCCTTGCACTTGCCCTGGCTGGCACTTGTCAACACTGAGGGTGGGCTTGTCGAAGGAATGTGTGATGACATGGTGGGAGGATATGTGGAAGTAGATGATGCAGGAAGACAGCCCATGTCTGCAGAAATCTCCTCAGTGGCTATAGATAGCTCATGGAGGTGGAGTTCTGCAGGAGGGTGAGTGCTAGTGGAAGGTATCATGGAAGGTGGGGGCATGCTGGTAGTAGATGCGGTAGAGTTGGTGCAATTTTTTTCTGACAGCAATGGACGTGAATTCCTTTGGCTTTTATGCTGGCCGTCAGCAAGTCAAAGATCTCAAAATGTTCGAATCCTTTGTTCTTGAATTGTCTGGCATTCAGATTTGACTTGAAAAAACAGATTAGGATCCAGAGCAGTGATGGAGAGCGCAGTACTCACTTTGACATATCCAGCCCAAGCGCTAGCGGTGTCCTTATCTATGGTTGCCCCCCCGCTTCTGTCCATGTGAATCCTGACGACAATCCACCAACTTTGAGTGCTTGAGCGGTGAGATAAGCCTTCTTGAGAGCCAAAAACTTTGACTTGCAGGCTGAAATTGTTTTATCCCCACCCTTCTGGTTTTTGAAGTGCTTTGCAAGGTGCTCAGAAGCTTCTGTATAGGTTCTCTTGGGGAAGGTGGCGCCATCTGTGCCAGACCTGTTATCATAGAGGTATCTAAGGAAGGCGGTCTCCTCTTCCAGTCTCCAATAAGCGGCCTCTTTACGGCCAGATACAGATTGCAGTTGAGGCTCTGTGGCACCACTGGTGGAGTCTCCAGAGTGATGAGAGCGAAGAGAGCGATGAGAGTGGTCAGAATCTGACATATGGTCCATGCATATGATGGTAGTATGATAACACTAGTGCCAATCTCATTCTGAAGGTCATGGGAGCAGAGTCACATGATGCTGAAGGTGAATTTCAGTTCGAATTTCTCAAGTGAAATTCGTGTCCAGACAGAACCTAAACTTATGCAGCCATTTTGCTTCCATTTTGCTTGATCAAAGTCATTCAACAAATGTAGGTGTGACCCATGACGTGCTACAAATTTCGACCAGACAAGTTGGTGTGTGACTCCCAGTGAAAATCGACAAGAATGAGATATAGATTGAAAAAAATACAAGGGAACAAATTTTTTCACTATGTTTTAACCTCTTTAGAAAGTGGGACTTTTTGAGACAAAAAAAGATAGAGACCAAAACACACTTTTAACACTTCTGTCATATCCCATATTCTGGACCTATGTCTGATGATGTTCCCACGCCTTCCAGATGCTTTCCAGATGCACATCCGGACCTCCATACCCTTATCCATGACTCCATACCCTCACCCATGCCTTCAGTCCTCCAGTTTACTATCAGTTCGGATCTGTGTACCTTTGCACATCCATATATCCATACCTCTGGACCTCCGCAGCTAAGCCTGCTTCATCCACCCTTGGTCCAATTGGATCCAAGCTCATTCCACCTGGGACTTTACCTTCCCTAGACTACCGGACTATATCCATGATTCATATCCTAGTTCCTCTTCACCTAGATCTCTGGATCCGCTCATCTGATATCCAGATGCCTCATCCGATATCTCCAGACCTCTGGATCCGACCTATACTCATATCCGAAGCTCAAACCTTAAATCAGCATCTATCTCCTTATGGTAATCCCCTTGACTCCGGACTTTGGTTATCTGTGTTTCTGGCTTGCTTATTGATCCTTGTACTCTGTCTCATCTTCAAGTTCATTTACTTATGTTCCATTCATACTTACCAATATGTTTCCACATGCTTGTACATAGCATTTGTCTCCAGCTTACTGATCCTCTCAGATCCCGTCCAGTATATAAACCTTTGTACAACTCCTGTAGAGTTTCCTTAGTTTGAATATCAACATAGACTTGCTCTCTCACATATTAGACTTCACTCATTCTGCTCTCGGACTCAGGTCCATCTTAGCCTGACCTTTCCTTAGGCCTAGGGAAGGATTCCCTAGGCCGGCTTTTTGGTCCTCTGGATTCATCCTTCCATCTACATCCATGCTTAGGGATTGACCCCCTAAGCTGGAGTTTTGCCTTTCCGGCACTTCCTGTCAACTCTGTCTCTACTTAAGTGTAGTCTACCTCTGTTTGTTTCTACTCCAGACCTTGTCTGTAGTAGCCTCTCTTCTCTTGTCCTAATCCTGTCCGCTCCTCCAGTCCTCCTGACCTTCAGACCTTTGGATGTTGTAACCTTCAAACCTCTGAATGTCCTGTCCTTCGGACCACTCTTCCTATCCTATCCTGCTTTGAACTCTGTCCCTTGCAGCCTATCCTCTATGTGTTTCCATCTAGGGAGCTTACCTTGGGAAGTTTCACCTTCAGACCCAATGCAGTGGATGAAACTCCTCTGGAAGTTTCCCACATTCATCTGGAAGTCCTCTAGCACTCTACTAGAGTAGCCAGCCTCCAGAAGTCCTTCAGACTTTATCGGATTCCATCCAGACTTCATTCTGAAATTAAGGGCACATACTCGGGTAAGGGGCACAGCACACAACCTGAGGCCAAGCCCTTTGGATCTGATACCTCTTGAGTACAGTCTTAACAGCTTCAATACAATTTTTGTTGGCTTTAGATGGCTTTTAGATGCAAAGATGTGCTGAAAATGTTCCATTTAGGTGGGATGAATAGGTATCTAATGCCATTGAATGATGTATCTATGGGTATCGCCATGGTTAGGTGCTTGTGGTATCACTGTGCCCGCGCCTGCCTCCACCATCCTGCCATCCCACACCCACCATCCCGCCTCATATCCATCCGCTACTCTTCATCTGTGTCATCACCGGCGCCATTCCTTTTGGTGGATCCAGCCGAGCCGAGCTATAAGGTAAATCATTGTTAGTATGAAGATACTCATGGATATCATGAATACCACACACCTGTAGAGCCACTTTGTGCTTGTATACCTTCAATAATAGTGCTAGTCAGTAGATAAATGACATCAATACAAAACAACATACCTCTTTGTCAGTCTTCGATAGACCATTCCAGTAGGTTGCAAAGACGCTTGCCAGTTCTTTCTAATGGCCGTTCAATTGCCATTCAAGGGTACAAAGATTTCTACAATAATAATAGTGTTAGCCTTACTTGCTGTGACCATAATAGATAAATCTCACCGCGCCATGATCTTTGACCTCACACACATGGGCTTTGTGCTCTGCTGATGCTTCTTTGCAGGTTGGGCCTTCAAGTTGATCATACTGGGAATGTGCTCTAGGGGGGTTGCTAACAGAAGTTCCATCTCAACAGTGAGGGAAGCTGCATTGGTATCTGATGGGTCATTGGATGGAGGGATGATGATAGTCAGCTCAGCGCTAGTGGTTCCAAAAGTGGCGGAGTCAATGGAGGCAGGAACTTTCTTTGGGATTGGCTTGGGGTGAGGTTTGAAGACAAAATTAGAACTAAATTAATAATATCAGTAGAATAGAATGATCAATAGAGCGATCACTTACAGAGGATTGTTGACCTCCACAGTAATCACTTCCTTCTCTTTTCCTTTGTTGGTACAGGGAGGTGGGGTTGGTTCACATTCTGGTGAAGGGTGTTGCAGGATTTCCAAGTTCTCAGTGCAGGGTGGGGCAGGCGGCATAATTTACAACAATTAATAAGTAAAACAGAAGGAAAATTTGACTTACCAGTGGAATATACAAATCATTATCTGGGCCAGTGAAAAGAGGTGAAGGTGAGAGGTCCTCCACTTTGACTCGTTGTCTTTTCAATGCTGGTTCCAAGTTTGTGACAGGGTCAATATCAACGTTAACTCGTTTCAGAGAAGTTGAAGATGAGAAAGGAGGGGTAGCAGCAGGTGTTGAAGAAGATGAGGAAGGGGGGATAACAGCAGGCATTGCAGATGGTGAGGAAGAAGGAGGAGTAACAGCAGGTGTTGAAGCCAGTAGGGACTTGTCGTTGTTGTTATCATCGTTAACAGTCTCTATGTCTTCAGACTTGACATGACTGCTAGTTTGTTTCTTCATGACATGGTAGTTGTACCATTGGGAATAGTTATCAATCATTAATTTCATTGCTTTCCAATTGTCAGTGCATAGATGGAGTTCAATGTAATGTTTGCATAGCATGTGGATAAGCCAGTGTAGGACTTTGAGCGATGCTTGGCCAATGGAGTTGGGCATGAGACCTTGAGATTCAAGTTATCAAAAACATGACAGCATAAAAAGATGAATAGTTTTTGCCCATTGTACAGACACCAGCTGACCAGCTTCATCTTGCAGATAGATACATGCTACATTGATGCCTCATGCCATGCATGTGGCTCCTCACTTTTTTTCAGAGCATCCAGGATTGGCTGATGTACTTGATGGCATGTTCTCCTGCCAGGCTTTCTTCGTCCATGATCTGACCAGCAGGTGATCAATTGCATTGAGGTCATGATCAGAATCTTCACAATCAACATCCAAAAGAGTAGGTTTTCAATCCACAGTACCATCACTTGCAACTGACAAAGAACTTGAAGTGGTTGAGCTGGCAGAACCTTGACTATTGACAAGTATAGTCCTAAGAGAAGATGTACCACGACATCATTGATTGGATCAGCAAACACAGTGTGCATATATGCGCATGATATGATTAGCACTTACTGCAATGTTTCACATTTCGTGTTCAGACACAAGTTTTCATTGACAAGTTGTGTTTTCTCTGACTGGAGAAAAGCGACTGTGTGCTAGAGTTCGGATATCTCTCACTTCAATTGTGAGACCATGTTGACATCAGGATCATTGGGAGATAAGCGACCCTGATCAAGAAGAGCCCAGAGCCCTTCATTAAACATGGTAGACCAGTAACCCATGTATCTCATTAATGTAACAAGTTCCCAGTAAATGTGTCTGGTAGAACTCATGGTATTATTGGTATCACAATCACACCAGGTATTTTGAAAATGATGTGAGCTGCTGGAATTAAGTTGTGGATTGAGGAAATGTTGTGGAGAAATTTGAGACATGAGGAGATTGGTGTATCCTGTCGGTGAAATTGTTGTGTCGGACATAATGATGGTGTGATGAGAAGGGGCACTGCAGTACAAGTCAAGAAAGGAAACTGACTAAGTTCAATTCATTCTATAGTATTGTTGATTCATCCTACATCCACTTAATGAATTTTAGATGTCTTTTGATAACAATATCGGTAGTTATGATGCTGACATTAGGTATGTTCTCCATCGCTTCTAACACTAATATCACTAATGTATCTTAGCATATCAGTTTCAGATAGCCATTCCAGCACACCAAAGATGACACCCTCAGATGATATGATTCTCAACCCAGCCTACTGGCATGTGAATCCAGAGAAGGAATATTTAATTAGGCAATGACTATTGTGAGTTACTGTTGTAAGATTATATAGTATTTTGATTCAACAGCTCGTATTGAAGGCATCACCCAAATACTATGCCTCCCTGGCCTGATGATCCCGAAAGTGTCACCAAACCCAAACATGACCCATCACAGCAAGTCATCGCCCCCCCTCATGTGGACAATCCTGAAAGCATCACCAAGCCTGAAAGTGACCCACCACTGCAAGTCATCACCCCCCCTCATGTGGACAATCCCAAAAGCGTCACCAAGCCTGAAAGTGACCCACCACAGCAAGTCATCACCCCCCCTTGTCCTAATGACCCAGACAGCATCACTGAGCCTGAAAGCGACCCACCCAAGCCAATAGCACAGTCATCTGCTGTCATCAAACCAGTGAAGTCTATATTTGCAATGCCAAGCCCACCTCCACCTGGATCAATTTACTGGAAGTATGTGTCGCAGGAGGAGGATAAAGTGTGGTATGACCAATCATATACAGACAGGAATTTCCTTGTGGTTCATGCAATGAAACAAGAACTTGAAGAAGCTTTTGAGTGAACAGTATGCAGTAGTAAAATAAATAAACATGCTTGCATCTCATATAAAAAAGTAATTGAACTCATTCCTCATCAAGAGTACCCTCCTCTTCCACACCGCTCATTCTTATAATATCCAACCCTGGTTGTTCCACAAGGTAGAAAAGAATACCATCAATACCCAGAAAATTATGAGGAATCATAGCCACCACAGACTGTATAGTATGAACCTCAACAAGTTTCAATGAAGCGTCTCCATGATAACGACAAGCGAAGACCGTTTGAAATCAGTTTTCGAATAGTTCTGTGTGTGGTTGGCTGAATTCAGATATGAGAGCAAAGGTCTTCTCTTCATCATGAAGCATCGTATTGAAATAAAATAAGACTTTGGCAACAGTGGTCTTGCTGTCAATCAATAACTTTAGTGTATGTGTCAATGTATAATACTAATAGAGTGACCATGAAAAACATACCTTCACATTGCGTGCCATTCTTGGTTGCTTGGACATAGCATTTTCCTTCCATGCAGACCGTGCAACTTGCCCATTTGGAAGGTGAAGACAAGCCCATCAAGTGACGAGAGGGGCGAAGGTAATATGGACATTGTTGTCAGACAGGTAGCGAAGTATTACTTGGGCCTCACAGGGACATACTGCATGGGCTGTTCTCACTCTTCGCTACAGCAGTAATTATCCCTGGCCGATATCCAACGAGCCCTTCTGGGAACCATTATCTGATGGTTCAATTGTTGGTATGATAGCCTTGATGGTATTGACTTGACAATGACGGGCAGCACGTTGAGAGAGAGTAGCGTAGACTGACAAGTTGTGCAACCAGATTTCTTGAGCAAGGTTACCAATGGTGCACTCCATTGTCCACTGGGATGAGCAGATAGGTGGTCCTTTGTTCACTGTCTCAGGGCCGATGTGTGTGACAGAATGAACCCACAGCCAAATAAAATGAAGGCAATCCATGCAGCATTGATAATAGATTTCTTCAAATTCATCCACAAAGTCAAAAAGGTGACAGTGACCATCAAGAAGATCCGAATGAAAGATGTGATATTATTGCATCACATGCAGCACCCAAGCAAGATGACAAAAGTTCGTCCAATACAGCTCAGGAAGATAGAGCATGGCAGGTGCCATACCATAGAGGTGAAGAAGCCATTCCCAAGCCTTGTAGCCACTATTGATCTTCTCTGCAGGGTTACAAGGTGGACGGTCAAACAATCCTGGTAGAAAGAGGGTTGCATCCACAATAAGAGATCCGTGCACCTTCTATGTTGCCTTCATAAGTACAGCCCAGGTCCAAGTGGATCAATCATCCGTAGATTCAACTCTGAAAGTCCCTCTCCACAAGGGAATAAGTAGATCACCGGTATTGATAGCAGCAATGTGCATAATATCTGAACCGAAGCAAAGAGGGATGAGCAGAATATGTTTTGGGTCAAACCCAAAGAAAATGCTGGGTTTTGAGATGCCTGTCTCGAGGCGAGCAAGTTCATATCCAGTCATGGTCTTACAGTGGATGACACACTCCATGTTACATTCATAGTTAAATGATCCGGCAACAGGAAGCTCATGGATCAGAACATTGGGTTGATTATTGTGACCATTGCTATTTTCAGGTTGACAAAGCACAGGATAATATATTGAGGCACCAGGTTTGTGCCTTGTAGTCCACAGTAGAGCCAACATCCCATTCTTCCATGATGGCCAACAAGGCCCATTGTCATATACCATATTCCCAGGTACAGATCCGAAGATTCGGATCTCAGATCCGATCCAGATCCGATGGACATATCCGTCATCCGGTCCACAGATCCAATCTGATCCTTATTTCATGTCCTGTTCATATAACTCTAACTATCATTCATCTCCTTTCGGCATTCCTGTACACCGGTATACCGGTTATCCTTTACCTCCATTATGCTTACTGATCCGCTACACTTACTGATCTGCTTTAGCTTATACTTCATTCCCGGTTATGATTCGTTATCCATCCGACTTACCAATATGCTGTACACATACTTTGCTTATACTTCGTACATAGCCTCACACCTTTGCTTATTGATCATTCCGTTAGTTATCCGTAGTATATAAACCCTTGTACATGCGCTGTAGTAGATCAGTTCGAATATCATCTTAGATTGCACTCATTCTGTCTGGACTCTAAGTCCCTCCGTTATCCGTCCAGACTCGAGTACGATACTCTTGTCAACTCCGAGACTTAGGATTGATTCCTATAGTCTATATATCCGTCTCTGTCTTCGGACAGCCCTCGCCCGTTAGTTTCTAGTTTGGATCCGATCCGGATTAGCCGTTACTATATATGTTTGATATCCAGAAGCCCTAACGGATCCATTACGAGACTTATCCGTCTCAATATACGTGATACTCTAGCACTCTGAAATAAGGGGCAAGACTCGGGAAAGGGGCACAGCGCACGAGCTGAGGCCGAAGCCCTTCGGATCCGATACTACTTGAGTACGGTCTTAACACCCATCAGGAACACCATCCCAGGGCCATCAGCAGTTGCCACAAAAAGAAACAGGTTTGATGTGAACTGTCTCTTCTGTGCACCATCCCAAATCATGAGGCCTTCAGTTTGAATGGCATGGAGGTGGTGTAGGCCTATGAAGGAATTGAGGTTTTGGGGCTTTTTTGGCCCAGGAATGATACCACCAGCAGCAGTCACATTTGACTGCTGAATTGAGTGAAATACTACAGTAGTCCCAAGACATAGGCTCTATCATGATCATATCTCGACATGAATGGTATTGCTAGCAGCTACTTAAGCATGAGAAAAATCATTTGAGTCCATAGAATTAACTCGAAGGCCAGTATGAGGAGACAAGTATAGTACTAAGATGCCCACTGCAAACCTTTAAAAAGGAACAATAAATATTGAGACCCGTAGGTCTACCACTCCGGGAAAGCGTGTCATCCTTGTGCAGGGGCCATGCTAATCTTCTCTGTATCGTTCCAATTTTTCGTATGTCACCCCGAAGGGGACAATAAACTATGGTTCAGCAAGAGGCACGTCGACGGAACTTTGTATTTGCAAGGGACAGCGGGGTTGGATGATTACCTGAAATGGAAGGCAGTCCATTCCAAAAGGTTTTTGGCCGAGTTAAGAGTTGACAACAAACACGCCCGTGCAAAACTGCAGACCGTGACGCTAGACGTTCCAGAATCCACACGTTGCCCAGGGACCGCTGACGCGACTAGTGCTGCCATCATACTCGGCATAGCTGTCTTTCCCTCCGTTGTCTTGTCACCGCTCACCGAACTCGCGACTCGGGTGCCTGTAAGTCTGATCAAGAGAATACTGGTGAATGTGATCCGATGGAAGGTATGTCCTTGTCGTGTAAAACGTGCTCTTATGTGCCTTGGTTGGCCACCTAGATTCGTTGATGGGCAACTTACTCCCTTCAGCAATAGATTCAAGTACGAGACGGCGAAGGGAGATTTAGTCAATAGTATACGTGCATTTAACCTTGTCCAGGGAGTTTGAAGTACTGAACATATCTTAACAGACACAACCTCTTATTCGCACATACCGAAGTATGTGGCTAGTTCGTTGTGTTCTGCCGCTCATATGTTTTGTTACACTTCCTGCTATAGCAGTGATTGATGGTCATGCCGCATTCGCTGCTGGAATAATGTTCTCCCTTGCGATTACTGGGTCATGACTCACGCCAGCAGGCGAAGGGTGTGCATGTACATGAATGAAGTAATAAAACATGGGGTTGATCCTCGATTGCTCATGGTACGCAGATTTATCCCGGTGCTTCCGAGTTTTACTGCAATTCTCAATGCAAAGTCGGCTCTTCAAGTGACGCTCGGGTTGTGCTTGATGGGCATCGCTTTACTATTTCAAAAGCTATCAGAACAGTAATAGTGGACCGCATTGCGACATCGACTGGTACGACTGTAGGAAAAGAAACCTGATGGAGGCAATGAATAACGAAGTCAAGACATTACCGAACCGCGATGGTTCAGTGAATGCATCAAACGTTCACGCAAATCTGGGCTGAGTGCAACGCTCAACACCGCATGTCGATGACCATGGATTGTTGAGAGGACGACGCGGAACGACCTACCAATCAAGACACGTCTCTGTCATAATAATACTCTCTTATGCACAACAGTTGGCCACCTAAACACGATTGACAGGCTGCCCCACGTGAACGAGCGCGTTTTCAAATCGATGCATGTCTTTACGTGTCTACGCCATTGAAATCATTGCTACAGCATCAATCATACAAGAACATCCCTTAACATACATACACTCATCGTACTAATAGATCTATGCAGACGCACCACACCTCGATTCACTTTTTCAAACAAAAAGCCATCGTCCCAAACTATCTGCCCACGCCGAGAGATCTGCCGTCGCCTTACCAGCAAAAGTATCACGTAGCAATTCGACAGCTCCACCACCGGCCTCGCCTTCACGAGGCGTTTCGGGGGGCGTCGCCAGCAGTTGAGGCTGGTTGTATGGTGAGAGGATGCCGAGACCGCTTCCACCAACTGACGTGAGGTAGGGCACGAAGCTGTCCCTGGATAATGCAGCCATCAGCTCGCGAAGACTGAATTCCGAGAGGTCTTGAGAGCGAGTGAGTAAGTGGACATCAAGCATTTGAGGATACTTACCATCAGGGACGAGCGTTACTGCGCAACCTCCACCTCCGGCACCAGTGAGTTTTGTGCTGAGGGCATATGGAGGGGAGGCTGTTTTGGAGCGGATGGCTTCGAGAGATGGATGTGATACCCCAAGCTTTACGAGGTGGCCATGGTTCTCATCGATGAGAGCCTGAAAAAGTATATTTTCTGAGCGTTCCAGCAACAAACCAAAAGGAGGAACGTACCGATAGAGCTGACAGCAGTGTTTGCCGTGATAATTGGGGATCAGCAAGCGCACGCTGCGCCTCATCGCTTATGTGCTGTATTGCACTGAGCAGCCCGTTGACAAACTCAGGGTCTTGCTCCTTCAATGCAGCCACGCCAGCCACAAGCTGCTTTGTGTTCCTTGGCACCCTCGAGTCCGTCAAGAGGAATTTGAGAGACTTGAAACTGCAAAGCAAGAAATCAAATCAGTAGTCCACCAAAAAATCCAAGCGGTACTAAACATACCCCTGAATGGGAATCATGCCCGCTTTTCTACCGAATCCTGGTCTAGTATACGAAAGTGCGCCGCCAAACACCGCAACAGAGTTATCTACGCCACTGGGGTTGCCGTGCAAGATTTTCTCGCTCACGAATGCCCATCGGTTGACCTCCTCAGCAAGTGCTGGCGGTATTGCACGCCGACCTCCGTGAGAGACGTGGACGTGACCGTCGGTGGTGGGGGCGGGCTGTGCTGGGAGCTGGATACGGGAGTACAAAAGCAAGAGAGCGGTGGCTGCGCAGGCGGAGAATGATGCGGAGGAACCGAGGCCTGCGCCGACAGGAAGCGTGGCGCGAGCGGAGAAGTTAAATGATGGTCTAACGGATTTTGATAAGACATTGAATAAAGTCTAGGTAGTGGAGGGCTCACCTGTTCCCGCCATGTGCCATGATCATGTACATGTACAAGAACGCAATACACGCCTGTCGTGCACTCGGCTTTGCAAGAACTTCGGGGGACAACGCACGAGTAGTAATAGCATCGACGAGCTTGTGGTCCAGAGTGTCAGGGTGGAAATCACCAACTCGGACGGGAGTGACTGCATCCCAAGGGAGGTCATCCACTCCCCATTCTTCCCTGAAGCTATCGATATCGATGAAGTGCACGCTGACTTTACCATCGTGACGAGGTGTCGTGACACCATAGCAGCGGAGATCCACGCTTGCAGCCACTGCGGTCTAAAACATCTGTTAATGCGCGCAGAGTAGGGAATAAAAGAGTAAACTCACAACACCGTGCACGACAGCATGTTCACCGAAGAGAATGACCTTTCCAGGTGCGCTGACGAACCACTCTCTGTCCTCATTGCACTCTGTCGTGTATCCCGCAGACTCGTTGAACGCAAGTTTCTGGACGGCACGGGAGATCGCAGTGCCCTCTGAAGGGATCGTCCGAACATAGCGTTGGTGCAAGTCCCCACCTGCGGTAAGGGTGATCGCGCCAGCCTCCAGAAGAGCACGTTCAAGGTCGTCGAGAAGGTCAGCTGGGTCTTCAATACCAACGCAAAGTCGGATCAGGTCTTCTGGCAGGCCTCGCGCAGCGCGGGTAGCAGGGTCAATAGACGCGTGTCTAAGGAAACATCAATAAAATGATCGAGGAAAACGAGACAGACATAACATACGACATGACACATGGCATGCTGATCAGCGAATTGACACAACCAAAGCTGACGCTAATGCCCCATAGACGTGTCGCGCCCACGATGCGCTCACTTAGAGCCTTGTCACCAGTAGTAAAACTGAGGACAGCACCATATCCGTCTGCAATTCGCTCATGTACATCACGGTTAGGGTGTTCTGCGAGACCGGGGTAGTGGACTTTGAAACCAAGGCGGTCGAGCATCTGAGCGACAAGCATGGAAGTAGCCTGCTGGCGATCCATGCGAATGGCAAGGGTCTTCGATCCTCGCAGAAGGAGGAAACAGTCGAATGGAGTGAGTGCATTGCCAGCAGCATTGATGATGAATCCCATTTGCTGGTTCGGATATGAGAAAGGAACGTAAAGTAAAGGACGAATCACGTACCTTGGCAAGGTCATCCCTGTTACAGGTAATTACACCGGCCATAAGGTCATGATGCCCACTGAGATATTTGGTAGCGCTGTCATACACGATATCTGCGCCATGCTCGAGAGGGCGTTGCAAGTAGGGACTCATCATGGTGTTATCGACCACGATGACGGCATTGGGGGCGCGTTCCTTGATGTCAGCAGCTATGCGGGCGAGATCAACTATTTTGAGCAGAGGGTTAGTTGGACTCTCGAGGAGAACCATAGCGGTCTTTTCAGGATTGATGTAAGGAAGGAGAGTGTCAGGTCTAGTGGTGTCTACATGATGTACGGTGACGCCGCCATGTGTCTTGAGATAATCAAGGATGCGGTTAGTACCGCCGTAAAGGTCATCTCCTGCGATGACTTCATCACCAGGCTTGAGCATACGCAAGATGGTATCGAGGGCGGCCATTCCAGAAGACACAGTAAAAGCATGAGCAGCAGATGATATTTTAGCAAGATGATGTTCTAGAGAGTACATTAAGGCCATTAGTGAGCACTCGATGAGATAACACCCACCTAAATGACTGCGTGTTGGATTTCCACTGCGAGTGTAATCATACTGTCCACCGACACCTTTAAAAGTGGCAGTTTGGTATATTGGTACGGAGCTGGAACCAAATTGATCCTTCTGAGAAGGATTCTCTACTGTAGCACAGAGGGTCGAAAATCGGTAAGGCTGGCGAGGCCTGCAAGGAGTTTCTGGCTCCGGAGTTGGAATGTCTTGAGGAAACATTTTGGGATTGGTTGAAGTCATCGTGAAATGGGATAGAGGGAGATAGTAAGCGACGAATGACCAGCTTGGCTATAACATGAGATGATCTATGAGACCACTTTCATCACGTGCCTCCTATATTATCCTTATTCGGTACCGAATACCCACCGAAATTCGAATTCGCCATATCGACGAATATCCCTTCTATAAAAGGAATATTCGTTGGATGGCGTGCTTGGACTTTTCTTGCTCCAGTTGTCAGCCCACTTTGATGGCACCGAAGAGAGCAAGAGAGCAAGGTATGACTTGCTGTCTCATTGAGATTCGTTCAGTTTTCATGCTACTAAAGCTCCAAGACACGTCAATGCCACGAAGCAGACACTTGCTCTAGACGTAATCGCAAAACGGACGAAACGTCATCTTGAAGAGCTTGAGGTGTGACAGCCAAAATACAGCCATCATCGTCATCGTCTAAACATTCTGCAGCGTTCCAATTATACAGAGCCTTCAATCACCCTCGACGATAACGATGAGGGAGCCATAAGCGGAAAGAATCGCGTCCGCCAGATCGTTTCTGATAAACGTCACTTGAATGACCCTAATGCGAAGAAGAAAAAGTCGTCCATGAAAGTTCGAACTGCGCTCCTATATCGCAAGAATCTTGCTACCCTGATCGAGGAATCGGTCAGTTCATCTCCGGAGTTGTCCAAACTCATCCTAAATACCAAAGGCACCCCTAGCGCATAGCAAATCTTCCTTGCCACGTTCCAACATATTTAACAGCTGCTGCTCCTCCCCCTCAGTTGCCCCCACGTCTTTTATGCTCCGTGTGTGGGTACAAGGGCGCATATAGATGCAAGAAATGCGCCATGCCATACTGCGACATGAACTGCGAGAGCGTCCATACTGAAACACGCTGCGAACGTCGCGTCATCTGACTCTCCATACAGCAATCATATTGTCGGTATCCATCTACATCTTTCATCCGTAGGTGAGCTGCTTCTGTTGTCGCAATTTCTTTCACAACTCAGTTGGCAGGAAAGCTAGGGCATGAACGTCTCGGTCAACTTGGGTGTAAGCTGCCCTCAAACCCGAATCCTTTTCCATTGATTTGACATACCAATCTGGATCAAACGGTTATCTACTAGCTTCGAAAGGCGTCGCTTGACTGACTCGTGAAGGACGTCAACCAATTTCTTGCTTCAATCCTCATTTTGCGTTTTCAATAATATGATTTAGCATCGGAAGATAGCAGAGGGTAGTGGTAGACTTATGGCCATCTTTTGATACCTTCACACGAGAATTCGCAGCAGGATGAAATATAGCACGCTCCACTCACTAGTTTCTTGCATGTCTTCGACGTGTGATCGCCATCTCTAAGACGGATAGGAATGACCATCATATGCCGAGGAATACAAGAGATGCCGCCGCATCATCCATCTAGTCCAGGAGGCCACTGTCAGAAAAACCGCCTACCAGAAAAGTACAATGGTAGTGTGTAGAAAAGTCTGTTTCTGTTTCTGCTCCCCAACCTTCCTCGAGCGTCACGCGATTGGACAGGTTTCACAGATACTGGTGGTACATAAAATGAATGGAAGGTGCGCAACCCGCACTGTAGTGTGGCTTAATCTCCTGAACTTAGGTGGATGACATCCATTCATACAACAATGAAATGCTCCGCATTCAATCGTAACACACTGCCTTAATATAATACATGGTCTAGATAATAACCGATTCAAAAAATGAAACGTGCGATCAGTAAGTGGAAGAATGTGATGTTGGGGCGTGCTGTGTAAAAGAACTGAACGAAAACAATTGTCGATGTCATCGGAGGAACGTGGATATCATACGATCGTGTGGCCATGCCATTAGGCGGTGTAATATACGTACGTGAAGCAAGTCTATAGATGGGCAGACAGATTTGCATGAGGGGTCACGAAAGCCCTATCTTGCGGAACATCTCTTCGAGCGTTTTGAATGCTACGGGCTTGACAAGACTGGTGCGAATGAGGTGTTAATTAGTGGGAGGTTAGAAAATTTAATCATGCTTACTATCCGCTCATGCCAGCCTCGAATGCCCTGCGTTTGTCTTCAAGGGATGACATGCCAGTCAAAGCTAGGATGACGCTTGGCTGCCGACTTTCTCGAGCTTTTTCAAGCTGGCGAATCTCGATGGTGGCGCCCAGCCCTGTGAAAAAACATGAGAACAATCTTTGAATAAGTCAGGCACTGAGCACACCATCGAGGATGGGCATGGACAGATCAAGCAGAACGACGCTGGATTCGAGTAATGAGCCAGTTGTAATCATATAGAGAATATAGTCCTACTCAAATGGTCCTTCAGATTCAAATGTCTCGACTCCTTGTCGACCATCGACTGCCTCACGATATTCAAATCCCTTGTAAAAATAAGTAAGTTATAATATTAGGCTACCAGATATAAGTGACGTCACCTTCTTCATCAGCCATTTGATACTGGGAGATGGGCGCATCAGTCACAGCAAACATAGCGGGCTTGAGTCACGCACAGTAAACTTCGCAGGATATTGTTGTCTTCAACCACCAAAACTTTCGGACGAGGGCGATTTAAATCCAGTGTCCGGATTGACGATTCCAGGAGTATCCCATCCGTACCGATGGTTACTGTTGAATTTGATATACTTGAAGATGTGCTTTCAGTCTCAGTGTTCTCCGGAGAGGATGGCGCTTCCTCGACATCCGGCGATGCAGGCATTTCAGGTGGGGTGTTGGGAAGTGCGGGAGATGAGCGATTGTGTGAACCCCAATCAATGCTCGCTCGGCGATGCCGGTTTGGACTCGATAGGTCGTCTGTAAGCATGGAGGAGTGCAGAGAGATGCTATCATCCGAGATCCCGGCCACAGAGCTGGCGAAGCTTGGCAGACGTTGTTGACGTCTTTGTTTGGCTCGAAGTAAATGTTTCAACACAGCGCGCAATCGGAAAGGCCCGCCTGGTTTGTGAACAATGCGACAAAAACCACCAAAGTTCTCGTAGGAACTGCAAATCCCCATGACCCTCGGGCTACCTCTACTTGAAGACAAGATAATGAACGACCGACGGTAGTCCATTTTCTCAAGAGCGGTAACAACAGGTGACGAGTCTTCGTTTATTATCACGATGTCGCTCAACTCACCTCCATCAGTCTGCACTGTGAATCCCCACCAATCCTGGAGGTACTTGCGAAGCACATCGCTGAGCATCTGAACACCTTTGCTCTTATGCTTGAACCCGAGGAAGGTAACAGTGGGGACAACACCATCGAACATAAAAGGGGTTTGAAGAGCACTCGCGCCATCTTCCAAAGTTTCTGCTTGGAAGGTGATCTTGATATCGGTGCCAACGTTTTCTTCGCTGGATACTTCCACTTTTCCGCCCACGCTTGGAGACTGGACGATGCTGTTGACAATCGCAAGGCCTAAACCTGTCCCAGCTTGTAGAGGGTTCTCCTGGGAAAAGGGATGGAACAAGTGATTCTGAATTCCTTGTTAGTAAACGATGACTGCTGGTCTGGCAAAACCGTTACCTTCAGAAAATTTTGGCTGATTCCCTGTACCAAGTGTCAGCGTGGAACAAACTGATGCACCCAACTCAATACCTTTCCCGTATCACTGACACATAACTCCACCATGCTAGGCTCTTCATTTGGCGCAGACACTTGGCGCAAAGATACATGAACGTAACCATCCTGCACAGTCATTGAGAATCACTCGTAGGAGGCGTTCAATCATACTTACGGTCGTGAACTTCAGGCTGTTTCCAAAAAGATTCATCAACACCCTTCGAATACCACCTTTGTCGCACTTCAAAATCCACCCCTGAAAGACAGTCAACGGTCAACAGGAAGGAATAGCTTGGACGGCTTACGCCTTCACGTCGGTCGATATCAACAATGATCTCCACGCGCCTCGAAGAGGCTGGAGCAGCCATAACACTCGAGGACCGCTGTTCCATCGCTGGAGCATAGACACTCCCAATTTCTGACTCGCGAATGGCAGATGTACGGGCACAGTGTCCAATCCACGATCCGTCGATTGCCTCTTCAACAAGTTGTTCGAGATCCACGCTATGTGTCAACAATAAGCGACAACAATATGCATGAAACCTACCCCAACTCACATGCTCCTCGTAATGACATTGTCCACGCCACCTGCTTTCATATTGCCGCTAAGTTTCGTGAAATCGAGAACGTGGTTCACCGTTTCAACAAGTGATGTCCCGCACGCCTGGACGGTGTGCAGGAATGAAGTCTGGCTATGGCTTAACGATGTATCGGAAAGTAATTCAGCTGCAGCGAGAATCTAGGCAAAGCCATCAGGAGGAAGACATGCCAGCAAAGACGTCAAGCCTTACCCCATGCAGAGGAGTACGAAGCTCGTGAGATATGCTTTTGAGAGGAATTAGTAATGTTGCTCATGAAAGCGAAGCATGCACCAAACTTGGATATAAATAAACTCTTCGCTTGGTCGGCCAGCATCATTCTCCTCTTGAGGACAGCGGAGAGAATGATGACACCTATTTTTTCTCAGTGATTATTGAGATGAAACTCGGGGAACCAACCTATAGCACGAAGATAAGACAGTTCGTGTCCCTCGAGCTGAGAATAAAGTCAGGATGGAGGTGTCTCACTGAAGTAGCTGAATCCTTACAAATCGCCGTGATGAATCAGTGGCATTGTAAGCACAAATCAAGGCAAACGGCCTTTTGTCGATATTGAAAACAGGAACAGCTGGCGAATATCATCAGTGGACTAAAAGAACATCAACATAGAAAAAGACATACTGAGTGCATACTGTATGTGCGTTGGGATAAAGGGACGGAAGCAGACCGGTAAAATGCCTTCAGATACTTTTCCGTCAGGGTATTGATCAAAGAACGCGTTTAGCTTGTGGTATTCATCCGCCGTCAGTGTGCGAGATGTTGGTCGGAATTGTGGATCTCCGCGATGCATGACAACAGATATCGTTGCTTCGGCACTGAGCGTCTCCAGTACTTCGCAGTGTGAAACATCCATGACTACCACCTCCTCGACGTCTAAAGTGCGTTTCACAAGTCTAGCTGCACGATCATACACTCTGTCCATGGACGAGTTAGCGTAAGGGTCATCATCCATGTTTGCATCTTTCTGATCGATCTCAAGGCACTCTCGACTAAATTGCTCCATCTGAGATGCGGTGAGTTAACGTACAGCGGTTGGCACTGAGGCACACGTGCTCACAGAGGTCTGGATTTTGTCTCGTATGCGCAGTTGGATCTGGGTTGGGGTAGTTAGTTCATGGGCGGAAGTACAACAGCTAACCCAGCTCACTTTATCACGCCACAATTCCATCTCACGCATCACAACGGCCTAGACTCGTGTTATAAGATTTAGGATGATTAAATTAGAACCCAAGTACCGCAAATTCCTTCAAAGTGTGTCGCTGGCGCGGGGCGAAATCCTGTCGCGGTGAATCATCAATCAAGGAAAGACTGAGATGCGTGGTACGTCAGCTGGACATGTCACATAGATAACGACTCAAGTTACCTGCCAATGTTAAATCCATCGGAGGTTCTCAACGGAGCTGCAGCATAGAAGCGAACGTTTGGGAATCCGGTAACCAGAGGCTACATCATTCAGTATATTCGTCAGATGAACCTTCATATCAAGGTGCACTGACATTCTTAGCAAACCGCCAATCTAACTTTGTGTCCAGGATAACAGTTGGTTCGTCACCCCTACGGACAGTAAGACTGGAGTTCTCAGGGTGAAGATATTCACACCTTTGCAGTATAGCGTGTGCACAGAAGGATGTCAATCTTGCACTGCGCTTTAAAGTAATCCCACCTGCAAAAGATTGGAGATATAGGTAGATGACAGGAATTGAGCACCATACACTGTGATTTGAACCACCTGTAATGGCGATTACCAACAAATTCGCATTGAACTCCAACTAATACTCACTGCTCTGTGCCATCGATGAGGGATATGTAAACGCATTTCGTGTTGAACACAAGTTTGACCAGATGTGCAATGCGATCGAAGTTGATGTCGGGGCCGGTGTTCCAGAGGTTAAACCTATTTCATATGCTTTCTGAGATGACCTTGATGGTGAAAAACAGATATACTTGTATAGAGCGCGTCTTCGCTCGAGCTCGTCCGGAGGGTTCGGTGGAGCTAAATAGCCAAGATCTAGGAACATCTGCTCCTCCTTCGCAGATCGACCAGCACGAAAACTATTGACCGAGTCGCACACTGATCGTCCGCCTGGTAAGCCACGGTCTCTACCTATGCTGTCGGGTAGGGGCGAAGAGGTTTGCCTTGTCAAGCAAATCCTTCGCGGAAGGGGTGGTGCCGTACAAACGTTGAGTTCCATTGGCCCAGGTTCACGTCTGTGGTTTACGTAGTCCTGCCAAAATTGAGCGGGGTCGGGGGTCATGGGAAATTGCTCTGAAGCGGATGTACTGACTGCGGTGAAGTAATCGCCTTCTTCTGTCGGCTCAGGTGAATAATTACGCTGCAGTGGAACAGAGGTTGGCGGGGGGAAAGAGACATGTAGCTCTCCCTCAGTTATGTTGCGTAGGGGGGTTCTAGGTAACGATCCGGGTAGGGCGAGCACGGTTAATTCATCTTCGACATCTTGTGTACCCTCCCAAAAGCTGCCTGCGCGGATTCGAGACATTCCAGGCGTTGTCGGATGGGCAGGGGGGCTACTGACAGTCGGATGTGATCCTGGTATTGCTGCATGCACACCTCGCATTGGATCTGTTAACTCATGCTCAGGAGAGGGCAACGCAAGAGGAGACAAATTAACGCGTGCTGCTGCCCATCGCATGGTTGCAGCCGCAGCAGTTGCCTCCGGACTAATGCTAAAAGTTTGTGTGGCGTCTAAATGGAGATGCATCGCCTGGGCTCCTGTTGCGTGTCGCAGATCTGTGAATGAGTTGCGGAATCTGCGGCCACTGAGCGACGATGACTTTGATGTAATCTTTGACGATAGTTTGTCAGGATACATGAATGAAGGAAAATCAGAGATCATCACCGCTTTCTCGGGAGCGGGCTTGAACTCTGTCTCATTGCTACTGCCACTGGAAACTGAGGAAGAACTAAAAGTGTGGTAGGCAGGCAATACAGGATGCGAATGCTGCGGTGATTCGACGATAATCGACGCAGGATCATGTCTCAACGCAAAATTGTCTCGCGAAGAGCCCTCCCGCATGATAGGAGTAGACATCATCGAACGCGGATGACGAGGCGTTTGATGAGGATGCCACTGACCCGATGCGTAAGCAGTCATGAATGTAGCCCAGTCGTGCTCGGCCCCGTCGATGTCGGGTCGGATATCGCCAGGAACACTCGCCGCCGCGGCGAGGGTTTCACAAGGACTACCAGATGGAGCTGAGTAAATAAGAGGACACTCAGATTTTACGCTGATCAGAGCGGGGAGGCACACACCCATGTCTGCAGGGCGTACTTCGAATGACTTCATGGATAAAGCATCGGTATCTCGAGTATTATATACATCCTTTGAAGAAACCTGTCATAGTGGTGCAGTGACTCTAGGGGTATCCAAAAAAGACACTTACACGAGGATCCGAGCTCTTGGGGATGTGACTATCATGTAAACATGGCACCTGGGGCGCAGGGGGTAGGTATGATTGAGTGCCCTCTGCCATAGAGGCGGTTGCTGGTCGCGGCAGTCGAGGACTTCGGTGCTTCACCTTGGGCAAACGTGGAATGGGCATTTGAAATGGGGATGGCAAAGGAAAGGGCTTTGCGAGAGGTACTAGAGATGATGGAAGTGGATCTAGTGCTGTATCTGTTATTGTCGAGGACTGCATGACGCTAGTTTGAAGTGTTTAGGCAGAAATAATGCACTGTATCCCTCTAGTAGTCATGAAACAATTACTAGGTACAGCTACGCGACGATCACTGATTGGAAGCTGTGGTCATTAACCGAAGGATGCTGAAATGGGAAGTTGACCACAATTCAAATGAAGCAGTTGATAATATCGACGAGCGACAGCTCCAGTAGTGAAGTCAAGGACAGAATGTCCAGTACCGTTGTCGGTGGTGATGGTAGGGTAGAGAGGACTGTTAAAGTCGGTCTCCTTCATCGAAGAAGGGTTATTGATGTGCTTACTAAGCGCCCCACAAGCAACCCCGTGCCTCGCTTGACGTCAGGACCAATAAGGAACCAAGATGCCTTCCATTTTTGTTTGCATTCTTTTTTTGCGAGTTTAGTGGAAACATTAATGAAAATTAAAATGGAGCACAAGTGTCTTCCGTCAAGCCCGCCATCCTATGTCCGTGTTCTGTGACGATCCCAAAAAAAATTAACGTATGGCAACCCCGCTATACATCGACAGCTACAAGTAAACTCCACATATACAACGGTAGAGTCAAGTTGTCGTTCTGGTCTGACAGGGCCTCAAGTACACATGAGAGAGTGACCACAATAGAATAGCGCAATGTCTGCGGTTTCAGGGTCGCATTAAATTGAGGGGCAACAGAAGCGAACGAACTCACCGAAAATTCTTCCGTAAGCCCGCAAAGTCTCAAAAGCCACGCGCAACCCACGAGGGACAGCACAAATGCAGCGCTACCTTCTAGGGTCTTAGAGGACGTTGAAGACCAACGGTGCCGACCGACGCGTTTCCCGACAATAGATGCCTGACAAAGACGTCCAATTCAATCGACTTTTCAAAATCCGTGAAGACGGAAAGGAAACTAACCAGAGCATCGCCAATACCCAAAGCGAGGATACCGGTGTATTGTAGCAACTGCGATGGCCTACAATGGTTTAGATTCTGCTTGGGACTTTATCAAGGTCAAAGACGTACTCTTCAAGCCACAGTGGGCCCGCGCAACCAATAAGCAGATAAAAGTGACTGAGGATGGCAGTTCCGCTGTCCTTTTGTTCGAGGAACTCGTTCATGAACAGGTGCACAGCCGCACCAAAAGGATAAATGGCGAAGTATCTGACATACTCTGCAAAGATAAAGAGCGCAAATGCTGCACTGAAGGACAAGTGAGTGAATGCGGGCTAGAGATATTCGTTAGACCACCAATAGTATGATGACAGGAGGCTACTGACGTCAACAGCTACTCCAGGCAGGAACATAACAACTGCCAACGCGTGAAAGAACTTGCGCCTCGCGTTGATACCAAGTGTAGGAACGTGCTTATCCGCGGCATCCAACAATTCTGTGGCGACTTGCGAACCATTGGACAGATTAGGGAGATTAGCCAAGTTGGGGAATGTAAGCCCAAGTGCAGTGGTGGGAGCGGATGAAGATATCTCCGTTTGTGGTTTCTGATTCGAGTTCGCGGCAAATGGAACGATCACATTATCTTGTGTACCCCCACTCGTGTTTCTATGCCTGTACCGCCTTGACCTTGATAGCTGTCGGTTCCATCCGGCAACGCTGATGCTTCCGAGAAGGGCCCAGTAGGCAAGAAGCATGGGTCGACTCCACTTCTTACGCCCCTCAAAGAGCCAAAGGATAGTCCAAAGCCACGGATTTCTACCTCCGAGGTTCCACCACGTCCACGAACCAATAAGGCCAACTACAATGATTATGGTTCCGATGTAAAAACCCGCGGCAAGAGCTCGTCGATGTCGTTGCTTCTCCTGTGGGAGTCGAAGACGCCTCACTGGTCGTTGCGCAATATGCCGTGATAAGGCGAGAAGGGGAGAAAGTAGGAAGCCAGTAATGAAAGAACCTGCGATCAGAGCAATCTGGAAAATCAACAGGGGTGTTGGCAGGCGGTACGTCTTGATAAATGGCGCTGTTTTCGGCCATATCTTAGCAAGAAGTCAGTATGAATATTTTGAGGTAAAAGCCCAACAGACCCTCGCTCTAGTCAATCCCAGCAGTTCCGTGGCCAAGGACAACCCGCCAAAGCAGACAAGGGCCAATTCACCCAGCGTGAACCCACCATGCGCTAGCCGAAGGGCACTATATAAGCAAAGCTGATAGAACAATGAGCCGATGCCAATGTCGAAATAGCTGATATCTGGAAATCAAGGTGTGAACATCTCCTCAGCGGAATTAAAAATTAAATCGATTCACTTCGCCATATAGGGATCTCCGCCAACGCAAAAAGATATCGAACGGTAATGGCCAGTATGGTCATGCCGAAAGTAAAGAGCAGGTAAAGCCATGTTCTACGCATTTCACTACGAGGAACAGAGCCACGCTCTCCCTCAGGGACGCTAGGACGTCCGCGATACCGCGTCTCAATGATCCACGACGAGCATACTTGGGCTAATAATATAAACGAACACATTGTGGAATAATCCACTAGGCCACGACGAGATTGTATGAGGGCATCGATAGCGGAATCAGGTGATCGAGGGTTATGGAGTACACTGGGAGCTTCTATCAACCAATGAGGTGGAGGAAGATTGGGATCAGACAATGGAGAGTGAACCTGCCGCAAGGCCGAGTATAATAGTGCTAGCGCAATCATGGGTGGGAGTAGGAGCCCTGTGAGGACGCCATCATTCGGAGACTCCCTGTTGGGAGTTCATTCCAGTGAAAACAGACGCCTAGGAAACGGACATGCCTGTAATTCTTTGGGACACTCATCCAGATGAAACTAAAGCGCGGTTTAATCGTAGGGCTCAACTGGGAGCCACTGCGTCTAATTTCACGAGTCTCAATACGAGGGGATGCTGTACGGCGAGACTCTGGAGCAGTAGGTGCAGCGGTGCTGGTGTGCGGTAGTATGGTGTGCGCACGTATAATATAGACTATGGCTATAATAAGGAGGATATACATTTCTGCAGTCGGAAATTAGTACCGAGACAAACTCTGTAGATGTGTGGATAATATATTCACCTGCGGACATTGACGAGTCAATGATGTCATGGGTGTCATCCGTGAGTTTCTTGTTGAAAAAAGCTAAAGATCCGACGAGGAGAAGTGATTCTCCCATATATCTAGTGTCCATCCAAAATGTCCAAGTTCCAAGGCGAGGGAGGGAAAGACTGCCAGATATCATTGCTGGCAATAGAGTGTGCACAAATGGAAGCAGTTTGTGCCGCTGAGGAAACGATGAAGCTCCAGAAGATGGGTGTGCTGCATTAGTTGCATTGTCGAAGGTTCGTGGGTGAGGCGAGCGTGAACGAGTGAATGACATTCTTCGTGGTAAGGAACCAATTTGCTTGCCATCGTTAGTGTAATCAAGAGGCATGGGGCCAGACGCCTGTTGGGAAGGAGACGTTGGGCGCCGCTTTCTCCTGATGGTGTCTCGAACGTCCCTTTGCAGGCCTTTTTGAGAAGGACGTCGTCCTCGAATATCATGAGGCTCATCATCCGAATCCTCATCGGCTGTTTCAGTACTCGACTGATCGCTGGATTGAGTATGCTGCGTGAGCTCCCTTATACTTAGTGAGCCGGAATAATTCTTACCTTGAAGACCCTGCGTGATAGGTTGAACTCAATTCCATATTAGTATGATCTGGCTGAACAGCTGCCACCGTGGCCCCAAACGGTCCCATGTGACGTTTTACAGGTCTAGAACTCAAGAATTGTCGTCTAGACGAATCCGCACGCCCGGATGCATTTCTTGCAGACGGCGGCGAAGGCGAAGAGTTTGAACGCGGCAGTTTGGCGAAATGTCCCAAGGCAAAACTATGAATTTGGCACGTATGGAATATGGAGGCGGTGACTCCGACTCGTGAGTGAAGAAACAAGGACAAGCAAAAGACTCCGAAGCCCGTTAATAATATTATGGCATAAGTTAGCAATTAAAATGTAGACTCCGAAGGGCTTCATGTCGCGTCCGCTCGCGGGACTAGACTCTCGCGTTTTTTCTCTCTTGCATAGCCTCTCAGCGTCATGTCCGATGTTGAACAACGCGTCGTCTACCTAGAAGATGTCGAAACAGCAGTGCTTTCGACTTCTAACGCGGAAAAAGACTCCGAATCACCGAGCTCAACACCACAAGATGGCGCAGTCAAGGCCACAGCGACGGCAACACAGGCAACAGGTAGTACATTGAAGAGGCAACGCACTCTGATGGATATGCTATCTGGACCACAGGATTGCAAAAGTGCAAAGCCCGCGGCTAAGAAATTGAAGCTGGGCGCCTCGTCGTCAGGCTCTGACTCTGCCAAAATTGCAGTCGCCGGAGTTCAGCGTTTAAATGCGATACCTTTCTCTCTGTCTCAATACATCGAATCAATTCCGCAGGATCACAGACATTTGCTAAAGCTAGAATCCGAATGCATGGGCAAGAGTTGGTACGTACTGGCGGTTCACATAACAACGCCGTGCTGCATTCTGTTCTGATAAGACACGGTGTAATAATTTTTCCGCTGACGCCGAGCCATTCTTCAGGTTGAAACTTCTAAAGGAAGAGATCAAAAAGCCGTATTTTATCTCACTGAAGAAGTTCCTGTGGGAGGAAGGAGTTCATGGCCCTGACGAGAGTGCTAAAAATCTCAAAGTATACCCTTCACGTATGTTGTTCTTCGCGAAGAGATCTAGTCAGCCGAGTAATTGAGCCCCGTGAGCAGCAAGAAATATTTATGCGTGGTCTAATACGCCCCTTGGAAAGGTGAAGGTCGTAATCATTGGCCAGGACCCCTACCACGGTCCGAATCAAGCTCATGGTGAGCCGTCCCTATACCGCTCTTATTTATCGGTCCCAGGTTAACTAGCCGTCACGCGACTTTTAGGCCTCTGTTTCTCCGTCCCCAAGGGCGTCACTGTGCCGCCTTCCTTGAAAAACGTGCGCAATCTCTCACCGGTAATTGATCATCACGCCTCATTCTCGCATTTCTAGATCTATGCTGAGATTAAAGCCGAGTACCCCCGAATTCGAACCTCCTAAGCATGGGTAAGCATCAGATAAGGTGGATGAGTCCGAAATATGTATGGACTAACACGGACTTCTGGATAATAATCAGTAACCTCACAGCGTGGGCTGATAATGGTGTCCTCATGTTAAACACCTGTCTTACTGTGAAGGCAAACAACGCAGGGTCCCATTCCGGCAAAGGCTGGGAACAATTTACTGACAAAGTTGTGGATGTGGTTGACAAGTATGGCGGTGCCAATCTTTCGTCCGGCGGTGATTCCGAAATGAACGGGATTGGGCGTGGAGTGGTATTCTTGGCTTGGGGGTCATGGGCCGCAAAGCGTGTGGCTAAACTCAACAAGGTGAGTTCATCAAAGCCCAATTGGGTGATGATCGAGCGCTGACTAGAAACGCCCAGACAAAACACTTGATTCTGACTAGTGCCGTGCGTCCTCGAATGCTCGGGTTTGATGGCATTCTTGACTGACTTCTGAAATAGCACCCTTCGCCCTTCAGTGCTCATAAGGGCTTTCTGGGCAATGGTCATTTCAAGGCTGCGAATGACTGGCTCGGGAAGAAGTATGGACCTCAAGGCAGAGTCGACTGGTGCAATCTGGATTAATTGAACTAATCAACACACGAAAAGCATACGATACCACCTTTGTTAATATACCTACAGGATACTGCCTGCACACATTGTATACATTGCGTAGTTTTTGCTAGTGGGTCTAGATTAGCTGACGCTCGTGAACGACTGCATAAGGTGAGTCCCGACGATATAGCGGGAGGATCTAGGACGCAACACGTCTTAAGTTGTAAGTGCAATATTTATGCATAATCTGTTTGCACAGATCTGCAATCTCGCAAGTTCCCACAATTGATCGCAAATAATCACATGTTGATACCCATGGATACCCATGGATACCCCGTCACCTTTTAATCAGATAATCGAACGCAAAAAAATTGAATGCCACCATCAGATGAGTGCTGGAAAGGGTGACAGAGGGTGCATTGTTCCGGTGCGACTGATGCGATTCCAGGATAATCCCGGATAGTCCCATGCTATCCCATGATGCGTCGTCGGAGGCGGTCGCCAGCAAAACACCCAAAAGAAGAAAAGGTTACCTTGGCACGGGATCTTTATGTGAAGACTATATTTGGCTATCTATGTGGTCGTACCCGCTCGGTGGCTGTGCGGTGCCTGTCACCTTAATTGCTTAAAGAGGAAATTTGGTAAACTTGGTTCAGTTGTAAGTGACTCATCGTCGATTCGAACCGACTCAAACGCAATGGGTCGTGCTGGATCATGTCCGGGCATCGGAATTGCCAGCATGGCAGGGAGAATTAAAGCTATTACACGGAAAGAATATTTTACCAGATAGCTGTGTATACATCTATTGTAGAATTGACTAGGTGGCCAGAAGAAAGCTCGCGAGCGATAGCGATACAGACGTTGTTAAAATCATTTAGCAATGAGCAATGAGAATCCCGAGGTCGTGTGAGGAAGGGACTGATAGTACAAAGGATGAGAATAGTTACGACGAAAACGGAAATTAAGAAGTACAGGACGACGACAACGATAACGACTGAAAGGTCACCGAAGAGCGTTAGGATGCTTGCCGTGAGAGGTATAATGGGATCGTGGATCCTGCGCAGACGGGGCTGGAGGCGATGCTAGGCGCACTGCCTGTGGATGCGGTGGGGGACTCGGCAGGTGTAAATCGGTGCCTAACGGTCTGAACCCAGAAGGTTCATTGACAGAACGCCGTTGTGGGTACGTTATTGACGTATGCGGCAAGGACGTGCGCTGCGGGTGATGGTTTTGGGATGGATGAATAGGATGCTGAGACGGTGGGGACATGGCATGATCTGGACTGAACTGGGATGGTTGATATGAGTAGGGATAATGTGCGCTTTCTCTGACGTCACATAGGAGATAGTTCATATCATTATATCCAGTGGCAATGGGCCTATCAGCGGTATGTGCATAGTTTGGCTGAATGGAGTGTGCAGAGACACTACTTGAAATCATAGAGCGCGGAGGCGGCATGGGATTTGAAAAAGTGAATTGATGGGAGCTTTTCTGAGACATAGGCGGGGGAACTGGGCGAAGACTATAGGAAGCAGACGACGAAGATGATACATGAGAGCCCTGTGACTGCTGATCACTCATCATAAAACTTTCTTCCCAATGACCGTCCATTACAGGAGGAGTACGCAAGTTACCGCTGACGACCGAGGGAGAAGCGGATTCTGAACGACCCGGAGAAGGTGATTCTGCGACGGGCGACGACTCTCGGCTTTTTGAAGAGTTGGACTGGGCAGCAACAGGTGTTGTCTCAAGAGACTTTGATTTATCCTTGCCTGTCGGACCTTTACCGAGAGACGGGCGGTTAGCTGCGGGTAGATTGAGTGCAGCTCTTAAGCAATTATTCTCTTCCTCCAGCTCCGATACTCGCAACTCGAGAGCCTGGAAAAGGAGTGAAATTAGATGACGATTGGAAATAGAAGTTGGATAAAAATGCCGCACTTGTAGATGAGCAGCTCGCCGTGCACGAAATGCTCTCTGAACAGTCCCTAGCTCTATTAGGAGGGAGGTTATCATTGCGCTTGCGACCACGCTTTGAGGACATTTAAATTTAAAAGTGACTTGGGATGAAAAAAGCAGTAGGAGATGAAGGCGGGGAGGAAAGGACCTAAAGAGAGGGAAGGCAGGAGAACATATAAAAAGGGACCAATTCATCGGGCAAGCCAGATCTTTGTGTATCACGTCCGCATTCGATCCCTATTCGATCAAGGTCACAGGCTGGGCCTTGCCTGGGCCAGACCTACTTTTTTGGCTCCGAACCGATCTCCGCACAAACTCAGTCTTTTGCCGTTTCCGGCAACCCAAATTTAGTATACTGATGTGACATGTCTTTTCGACGTTGTCATGATTCGTTCAAGTACTTCCATGAGCCACGTCAATTAATTCACCGAGCAGTGAGCTCGGTTACAATCAGAGGCCGTGCTTACATCGATACGACTCACCTGGATTCTGCTTCTGAGTACGACCACCGCAGTTCTACATTTTTATCAGAGTTTCGTACCTTCTTCGAATCCGATTATGGTCAATTCGCTTCTTCTTCAAGTCCCTCTCTGGAAGTACCCTTTTGGAAGACAATTCCCTCATTTTCATCAAGTCCTTGAAATCACAGGGGGTACGATACGGTTTTAGTGTGACCTACGCATACCGGTAGACTGTATAAGATCTGCTACGTAGCCGGTCCAGCCCCAGTCTCCATACGCGTCACTGTAGTGCTTCCCATCATAGAATTAACAAAAAAAACAATGTATTTCAAGAAACGGTGGCGTTAAGGTACCCCACGACGGTATGACAAATTGTCAAAGCTTCAACAACGTGACAACGGTGGAAACCGCGGGCCCAGTCCTCGAGTTCCAAGGATAGCACTCAAGTGCGCCCCATCGCTCGCTGTTCTTTCCTTGCGGTAGCTTTGTCCTTATCGCGACGGGAAAATAATTTGTGGCGTGGTGCTGCATCCCGTGCTAGTTTCTTGTTGGCCGACTTATTTTGCTCGACATAGGACATATGTTGAGCACCACTCAGTGCCGTGAGAGACCCTGTCGTCCGCTGCGCTGCTGGAAACCGTGTAGGGCCAAAATCTTTGGATGTCACCGTTCCTGCCAAGTCCCCCTCATTCCCGCGTATGTCCGTCCCTAGATCAGCTTCGCTCTCGTTTGCTAAGAGCACCGATGAAATCAACTCGATCTGCTCATCCTTTGTCTTGTAAACTAAATCTTCGAGTTCCTCAAGTCCGTCCAGGTGGGTAATGACCTTGAACGCATAACCCTGGTCGATCAGAAATTGCTGACGTTTTGTGCTGTAAAACATCTCTTGGGTGTCTTTGGAAACCAGCGAGTAGAAGAAAGCGTTAAAGCCTTCGTCATTACGCCGCTTCGCTCGTAAGATCCGACCTGTGATGTCACCGTTGATGTCAATGAGATTGTAGAGTAAAATATTGCCATGTCAACATACCCAAGCGCTGGGCTTCTTGTCGCCTAGAGCCGAAATGCGAACTGATTTGAATAAGGCACGTAGCCTCCGGCAGATCTATGGACGTATCGCCGACCTACGAAGGAGAAGTCAATGAAGAGTCTCTTTCTACTCGGTGGCGTGAAATGTACCTTGGACAAGAAGATGGTGTTGACGTTAGAATCATGCTGGAACCATTGCAACACCCGCATCCGCTCGACCTGCCCGGTGCCGCCGTGGATATAAGGCTTCCCAAGTTTCTTGGCGTACGCCTGGGATACTTCAGGAGACGTACTCACAAATACGTCACACTTACCTCAAGCGCAAAAACATTGTCGGAAAAGACGATAACTTTGTCTCCTCTTGCCTCGTGGAATTTGATGAGGAATTGGCACGCTTGGAATTTCTTTGGGTTCATACAATAAAGCAGCATACGCTTCCGAGATTGCTCCCGAAGATACTCCTTGTAAAATTCGGGAGTCATAGGACACCAAACTTCAGCGCACTAGTGAAAGGGTGATTGGTCCAGCGACAAGTCACGTAAGGTAGAGAGTACAAAACCTACCTGGACGTTAGCTATATGTCCCTTGGCTGCGAGGTCCATCCAGTTGGCCTCATATAACTTAGGTCCTATCATGTAGTTGAGATCCGCAATTTTGTCGTCCTCACGCACAAGAGTCGCTGTGATCATAGTGAAATTAGTGACTGGGTCTGCATTCTTCAATGCCACCTCGAGTAACCCACCGGTCAAGCCAAGCTTTGAGTGCGCTTTGATTGTTGTAACAACACGGCGGAACATGGCAGCCGGCACGACGTGCACTTCATCTAACAGAATAAAACCCCATTCCCGTGAAGTCAAAAATTCCATCATCTTCTTGGACTCATGGGACCTGTTGTGCGTATTCGCAACCATGGAATACGTCGATACGACGATACCACTCTCTCCAGCAAACTACACGAAGTCAAGTCCTTATCATCAGATTCTAGGGAAAGGCACAAATCATAGCCAAGACTCACTCTTTCTTTCTGATCTGCGGTGAAAACGGCGATTTGGCGATCCGTCACATTGGACCACTGCATGAATTGTTGCTTCCATTGCATGACAGACACGCTGCAAGAAAAAGTATTTCATGAGAACGTTTCGAAGCACAGCATTGGTGTTATCAAACATACGAAGAAGTGCACAGTACCAGACACGATTTTTTGATCGTACAGGCTGCTGTAATCCCGACGAGGGTTTTTCCCGCCCCGCACGGCAGAACAATAATTCCAGAACGTGCGCGGCTAAGTCCACAGGTCAGAAGGTACCTAGACAACTAAAAATCGCGACCTACCCATTTCCGAACATCTTGCTCAAGCTTGTCTCTTGATACGGTCGAATAACGGTTGCCGGTTTAAGGTCAATGTCCAGATTTGCATTGACCGTGTCATTCCTGAAGTCATACTCCTCAAGCATTGGATATTCCAATTCATTACACCGCTTCTTGACATCCTGAAAGAAACCGTGAGAAATCCACAAGAAGCTATCCATTCTAGACTTCACATCGATTTTTGCATCGTCAATCTCGAATGCATGAACATTGTCGTCGTCTTCGTCGATTTCATCTAAGGCAAGAGGGATGAGAAAAACCAAATCGGCGGCAGAGGGCACGAGCTTGCCGTTGTCAACGCCCACAATTGAGGTAAAAAGGTCAGCGTCCGCGGCTCCTCCGGACATCGATGCTCCGGCCCTAGTGCCCGCAGTCTCATCCTTCTTCTTCTCAGCCTCCTTGGTTCCAGGGATCACAAGGTTACCCTTCACAGGGGCTTTTGAAGTCGTAAAAGTGGCAGCCTTGATACTGTTGTCCGTTTGTTGAGAAACCACTCGTGCCTCTCGTATCACTTTGTCCTTCAAAAGAAGCTGAAGGGTTTCCGGGTGGCTGCTCTCAACGAAATACTTGTTGTGCTTCAGCACAAGCTTCACTTTCCCGTAAGATAGCGTCCGCTCCCGGATGAAATTAGTGATCGTTTCTGGCACTGGCACCTTGTATCTTTATGAAGCTTAGTTAGACTACATGCCCCATGAGACACACCTTGGAAAGCCGGTTCAACACCTTGCAGGATTAAATGTATTAGTATACTTAAGCAGCACGAGGACCTTAGTGCACACGAACTTCAATGATGTCCTCTGTTTGCAACCCGACCGACACCGCGGCGTACAGTGAATAAGAAGTGAGTTTGTATTCGTGGATAAAGGCCGGCCTGATGGCGTGTCTAGATGTGTAAATTACACAGCAGGAATCTGCGTACCTGCTAACAGGTTCACTTATAGCTACAAGAAAGTCCTGAGCCTGCTCTGCAATGGGTGAAAAGGCCTCGAGGATAATGTGGCCATCATCAGGACTAATCCATAATGGCCGCGAAGCATGGTCAGGTTTAAGATGAAGAAAAGAGAAATCCTGATCCATGAATATGTGGGATACGAGTGCGTCTTGTTGTCGACGATGCGCGTCCAACGAGCTTTCGTCACCGTCAATGGGTTTGGCCCTCCGGGCTTCCGCCAGTTTCCTTGTCAGCGCACTGAAATTGATTGTTGCACCCCTAGGAACGAAGGAGGCGTTGTCCTCTTGTTCACTATGATATTCTTCAACGTAGTCGTTACTGTCCTCAGCCCGCCTCCGTTTCGACGGCCCAGCCTCTCCAGATCCTGTGATGAAATGCATGAGTATCTCGCGCTAGAACAATGCTTAGAATGCAACATACCTTCAAGTCCGCGTTTTGAAGCCATGTTTTGCTCAGTGCAGTGGTAGTCACTGAAACAAGATGGGTCAGCGGAGTTCACGGCACCGAATGGCAGTCAAGAACAGCGCTGATTTGTCAGCAGGTACTATTTGATGAGTAATGGGAATTAGTAATAATTAATATATTATATAATGCTTAAAGGCATTGTTGTCGGACTCTGCCGAACCAGCTGCCTAGTTTATCAATTAGAGTTCAGCCTCCAGAACCCAAATGTGGACACACCCAGCCTCGCGCATCCCTCGACAGCGACAAAATAACGCTGGAAGTTAACTAGAAGTTACGACGCAATGGTGAGTGACTTGTATTGTTTTGCAAACTCGCCTAACGACATTCATGCTGCAGGCCGAACAAAAAACAGCACCCACCAACCCCATGAAGGAGCTGAAGATTGACAAGCTCGTCATCAGTGCGCCTCTCTTCTCGTGTTCTCATATGGTGCTAAGGCATTCATCTAGACATTTGTGTTGGCGAGTCTGGTGATCGTCTTACCCGTGCATCCAAAGTCCTTGAACAGCTCACCGGTCAAACGCCTGTCACCTCGAAAGCTCGCTACACCGTCCGTACATTCGGTATCCGTCGTAACGAGAAGATTGCTGTCCACGTCACTATCCGTGGGCCCAAGGCAGAGGAGATTCTTGAGCGTGGTCTCAAAGTGAAGGAGTATGAATTACGTCGGAAGAACTTCTCGGAGACCGGTAACTTCGGTTTCGGTATCCAGGAGCACATTGACCTTGGTGCGAGATACGATCCTGGAATCGGTATCTTTGGAATGGACTTCTATGTCGTGATGGGTCGCCCTGGTGCTCGTGTTGCCAGAAGAAAGGAGAGACGGGCACGTATTGGTTTCCAACACCGAGTGAGGAGGGATGACACCATGGCTTGGTTCAAGCAGCGGTTCGATGGTATCATTTTGGTGTGTCCCTTTCCTCTCCATTTTATGGTGGTTTCATTCATGCGGTCACTTAGAAATGATCATTGTCGTCGCTCTGCTCCATTTCCTGAGCGGCAGGCATCAGGAATAGTCTACATATGCTTTTCATATTGTCGCTGTCGAGGCGGGTTCGACTCGAAGTGAACTACGCTTGCTACGAAAATGACCGAACTCGTTCCAACTCTACAATCGGAATTGAATGGAGTTACATATGTCTTATGTCATGCATTTAAAACCTGTCAAGTCGTATTCGGTCGTTCAAGACCATATGCAACTATTTTCCAGCAATGAATATTCTGCATATCCATTGTTGGCATATAGTTGTCAACCCGAGGCCCATCAACCTTGATCGATCGATCAGTTCAAATGTTGACGATGTTGTCAGGAAAGTCAGAATCACCTCAAGCGCGTGGAGAATGACTCAATCACCCACTGTTTCGGGGATTTTGAAGAGGAACTAAGAAAGTAACACGCTAAGATGGCTCTTTATAAAATTGAAGAGTCATCACCACTTTGGTGATTCACGCGCGGGCGGGAAACAGTGAGGGATCACCGCAGACACCCTTCCGCATACTCCAAAGGTTGCTGATAGTATACTAAATGTTCACATCGCGCTGGGGACAACGCACGCGGGTGGTCGACAGCTCAAAATATGCTTATATTTTACGGACGACGTGAATGTGTATTAGCAGATCGAGCGCAAGATCTCATTCTGTTTTGACCTTTTTCTTGCGTTTCTTCTTCCTCTTCTCCGGAGCTACTTCCTCAGTTTCCGCTTTCCGCTTCTTCAATGATTCAGTCCGAGGGAGCACAGAATGATGTTCTCGGATGAAACACGAAACGAAAAAGCCGTTTGTGCCATCTTCGCCCGGGGAGCAACGAATTAAGCTGTCCGCGTCACCTGCAAACTCGTATCACTTCAATTCACGTGTCAGGCGGAACGAGTATTTACTTGTGCCCTTCATCTCTTCTGCCTGCCCTCGGCGGTTCCATGTGGGCAGGACGTCGTTCCGAGGTGCAAGTTTGAAATAACTGTTCTTTGCCTCGTCTGACTGAAGGGCATGGCTAATGACATGCTCGTTTTCTGTCGCGTGAATGCTACATGTGGAATAAACGATTTTCTGTACATGGGGAACTAAAGACGAAATGATAAGTCATTTTATATCCACCATTCTCCAAACTACTCACATTTCATGGCATGCTTAATCATCATGAGCTGGAAAGTGGCCAATTTGTTCAACCGGTCTTCTTCCACCGCTTCTATCTCTATGAAAGCATCAGTCCGAGTTGAGCTACAATATACAAGAGACTTGCCATCTTCAAGCAAATAGTCTAGACGATTTACGATACCTGAACCACTGCAGGAGGGATCAAGCAAACTAATAGAAGTGAGTGGAAATCGAGGGTGTTCAGAGTAGGACACACATATGAGTTGCCAGTGAATATTTCGGATGGGAAGGGTCAATCGTGAGAAAATCAGCATTGACAGCTTCTACATTCCGGCAAGCAGCCTTGGCGAGCATCATTTTCAACGTCGAAAAGCGCCTCTTGTCCCTCTCAAAAGCATATAACTACCACAACGTCAAAAGGTTTAGATAAGAAGTGGGGCAAGTTGATTACCTTTCCCTTGTTACCCATGAGTGCGCTCAGATGTGACGTTTTGTTTCCGGGAGCAGCTGTCGCGTCTATTACGACAGCGTTTGGATCGTTACAGGGAGGCGATAGCACAAACGCGGAGAAACACGACGCCTTATCTTGTAGAATAATCCTGCCAGTTTTGTAGGAAGGATCATCGCGAAACTGTAGAGCAGGGTTGAATGCCAGCAGATCTGGTATGTGCTCGTCAATTCCAAACCCTTTGCTGAGAGCGGACGGTATCAGCACTCAGGAACGTCCCAGGACGCAAGGCTGACCTCGACGCAAAGGGACCTTGCAGTTGAAAACCACGCTTGGTATAGGATAATATGGCTTCCTCCGTCGACCACATTGAAGTATTGACACGAACGTAACGAGGGATTTTCGCTGTGAAGATGGTTCACCAAGTGCACATTTCTACCGGCTGTGCTCTGACCTGCTCTGTCGTCACTAGTCTGAGCCAACTCCAGATCAGATTTGACGCCTCGTTTTATTTTGATTCGTTGAAGTTCGCTCTTCAACCTAGTTTTGTGCCTTAAAATTGCTTGTTTGATGGGCCCGTCACCGGCCTGAATACCATTCGCGAGCAGTGTGTCATGCACTAGTACAAGGGCTAAATTCAAAGAATTGATCTTCTTCTTTTCCTCGGTGAGGAGCTTGGATGCCTGGATGACATCGGAGAGGGCAGATTTGTCTGAAGGACGCGTAAATAGTCACATCTAATAACATGATGCATTCCGACTTACATTTGAGTGTTTCGATGACAAGCGCAGCTGTTCTCGATCTGTTATTCTCGGGCAAAGTAGCTAGGATGCCTTTGATGGAGCCTTCTTTTGCATCGAGACGATTAAGTACTTCAGAAGCCTCAAAGTAGAAGTTCATTGTAGGGCACTATGTACAAGTATGAAGGCATTAGTGCCGGGACAAGAACCTAGAGGGAACGGAAGGATAAGCATGAGAATACGAGTGGGGGGTGTTGGAAGAAGTCAGGTTTGAATATTCGTCATTTCTAGGCGAGCCCAGTAAGACAATGTAGATAATGATTGAACATCATTCTGGAGATGAAAAACGAGAACTGCAGCTCACCTAGCTAAAGCCTCTCCCAGTAACATGCACCAAGCTTCAGGCTAAGTAGTAAGCGCTAAATGGAAGTAGAGCTTCGAGAACCAAGTTTTTTTTTTCAAGAGTCAACTATTTCAAACTCCGAAGCGCGTCTTCCCAAAACGCGCGTAAAGTTAACTGCCGTGTTCCTCCATCTCTGGAAAGAAAAAGTTGGTTTAAACTAACATCTCTGCAATTGACTACTGACAATTATGCAGTGCCTGTAGATACCGAGCTTTATGATCTTTTAGGTGTTCCTTCGTCAGCCAGCGAAGGTACGTCCTAGATGCCTTGCTCCGATGCGCTTGTCCTGAACACTTTGCACAAGATGATATCAAAAAGGCCTATCGGAAAAAGGTGCGAGTTCACACTTGATCCATTAATAGACTCTTACACCTTCACAGGCTAAGGAGCATCACCCCGTGAGTTGTTCGGTGCTCGTTCTCCAAAATCGGCTGACCATTGCGTTTGACAGGACAAGGTTTGTTTTTATGCAATTACCCCGGCTGTCGGTCACGATTTTTTATAACCCAGAATCCCAATGACCCTCAGGCTGCTCAGAAATTTCAGGAGATGGCTGCCGCGTCTGTTCCATCTCTTGTTTCCTCAAACTCACCTGACGGCCATGCCTACCTTTTAGCTACGAGATTCTCGGTGATCCAGAGAGCAGAGCACTATACGATGAAAATGGGATGGCTGGACTAGGCCCAGGTTCAGGGGGACCAGGCGGCATGGCTGATGCTGCAGATCTCTTTGCTCAATTCTTCGGTGGTGGCGCAACTTTCTTCGATATTGGTGGAGGGGGGCCTGGAGGGGGAGGCCGCCGACACAAAGGCCAAGATACCGAGGTTCCCTACGATGTTACGCTGGAAGATTTATACAATGGAAAGTCTGTGAAAATGAATATGGAGAGAGAGATTATTTGCAGCACTTGTCAAGGGTATGTGGTGAGAGCCCGTTCTAGATCACCGTTAATCAAGCCCCATCGACTTAGTTCTGGAGCTCGGGGCAACATGAAACCCAAGGAATGCGTCCACTGCGAAGGAAAAGGCTGGACTTTTATCCAAACACAGGTACGAAGCTTCACTACTTTTCGAACATCCTATCAGACATTTCTTTTGAGATTGCCGCTTCACGATATGGCACAGCACGGACGAAATGTACCGAGTGCAACGGTCAAGGCAGTAAGTTAAAAGAGAAAGACCGGTTCGTTCTACTATGCATGTGCATTTGTGATCACTCATGATAGGTAGGTGTAAAAAATGCAAGGGTGAAAAGACAGTAGAAGAAAAGACTCGACAAGAAATTTTCATCGAGAAGGGCATGCCGGATGGACACCGGATTGTCCTTGCAGGCGCAGGTGATCAGCAGGTGGGTGATATGGATTCTTGGATTACGGTGTTGATTGATGCACAACAGCCTGGTATCCCTGCTGGTGACGTGATTTTCAAACTCAAAACTACTCACCACGAGTCTTTTGAGCGCTCAGGCAGCAATTTGTTGACGAATGTCAAGATCACGCTATCCGAAGCACTTCTAGGTTTTTCTCGCATCTTAATTAAGCACCTCGATGGAAGGGGCATTCGGGTCTCCAGTCCACCAGGCAGGATTATCCGGCCCGGAGATTCGATAAAGCTTCGTGGAGAAGGCATGCCCACACACAAACACCCAGATCAGAAAGGCGACTTGTTCATAGTTCTTGACATAGAAATGCCCGATGCCCAATGGCTACAATCCGTGAACAAGCCAGTATGTATGTATACAACTGTAGAGAGTCTTCGCTAATTACTTGATCTTGGAGGCTTTGGAGAGGCTTTTGCCGTCAAAGAAACCCGACATGGACCCAATGCCTGAAATTGTCGATGAAGTCCCATATGAAGAAGGGGATATTGTGGACGTGCGTGCCCGGTCTTTCCCGGCTGGTTCGGACTTCTTTGATCAAGGGTTTGCATCGCAGTTCGGAGAAGGAGACGAAAATGACTGGGAGGACGAAGACGGTGACGACTATGACGATAACAACATGGGAGGCGAGCCAGAGTGCAGACCTCAATGATTATCCCTCTAACGGGAACACGCATATTCCATTCCACCCTCTTAATCACTCCTCTCGCTCTGCATTTACATGTCATTTCCCACGCTGTATACATTTCATCGCTAATCGATACACTGCTCTTGCTTAGGTCTCAGGACGCATTACCGACATTGCCGTTGGCGTTAAATGCTTTCGTGGTCTTCGATTGCAGCACCCACTTGATACCGCCCATGACGTGACCCAAGAAGAGGTCATCCTGAGAAGGTTTTGATTACTTTCAACCCAAGACAAGTATATCAGACTTACGCTCCATATTTCGATACAATGACCGAGCCCAGTGAACCAGCTGCGACCAGCAATGCCGTAGCTTTCAACGCCGGCACCTCGTTCCTGATACCAAGCTGTGACACATCGAGGCGGGTCGATACTGCTTGGGTTAAGTACTCACCAATTGGGTGGGGAGATCCATGGCGCAAAGTCTTCCCTTTCGCCTGAGGATCTTTAAAGTCATTGATTATGGTCAGCCCACACGTCTACTCGGCTTATTAACATTACCTTGGTAGGTTGACTCGTCGGCTGTCAGAAGGACCTTGGCCCCGACGGCACGAGGGTCCGACTCAAAGTTGTACCTTCGAGAAATCAGTGGATTTCAAAAGAGGCTCCTAAACAAGCACACATCTCGTCCAACAAGCGCCATTTATCTGGTAGCATGACGGTACTAGGGTGCGTCTTGTCCAAGACATCCACAGCCTGTAACGACAGCATTCGTGAGCGATTGTGTGCCGCAAAGCCTGCGACGACCTACTGAATCCTGGATCTCAGGGTGGTAGTCGAAATAGGCACCTATGCAAATGTGAAACCTCGAAGCATCGGTTCTTGACGTCTCAGCGTACCAATCTGTCTCCCGAAGAAAGGAGAATCACGAAGGGCGTCTGCGGCGCAGTGAATAGCAAGGAAGTTGCCGCCGAGATTGAAATAGTTCTGTAGAGCGGCCTTCCCTGTATCATCAAGGACTGGTGTAAAGTTATTAATTTCCATTGCACTAGTAGCTCAAGAATGTAGACTGTACCAATGCCGGAGTTGTTCAAGAATAAGATGGCATCATATTGAGATAAGTTCTCATCTGTGAACTTTGACTTGTCCTCCGTGAAGTCAAACTTTACGTCGAGGGCAGTTTCCTTGGCTTTGAGAGCCTCAATGGAAGCCTCGATGCTGTCGTGTCTGAATCCGGCCGTAGCGGAGTAGGCGAGTATGCGAGGAGGCATTGTGGAAGTGTCTGGTTAGGGCGTGGACACATGTATATTGTGGTTTCATGCTTTAGGAATGCATCCCACAGGAGATAAGCCTTATTTTACCCTTGCTCAGTATGATAACCTATTTATTTCATTTGTAGGAATATTAGTGGTCGATTAGTTCAACGTGGGAGATGAGCCTGCCTTGGGCCACATGGCTGACAAGCGCAACAGGGCGTCGACTTGACATTAACACGGGACTCACTACGGATGCAATTGAGCTGGTATTAATGGCCATAGGGTATGCATGGACAGTCAAGAGTGACTTCATAAAGGAGCTAGTATGCTATAGCGGTAGGACAGCCGATTACACGTCTGTTTATCTAGATCTGTGAACGCATGATTCAAGTTTGCGGCAGTCGAAAAAGATTGCATGAAGTCGATCACAATCCTTGACGGGATACATAGTGAAAGGGATGCGCCCAACGCGAGAAATGCAATAAAATGAATTAGCCAAGGAAACCGAGGATGCTGGATAGAGAAAGAGAACACCGCGTCCGCTAACGCTGGGCCAGAAGTGCGCACAATCGAGATGATCATCTGTGAAAACTCATTGGCCGCACCCAGATACCGTCGATTAGGTGTCGCAGTTGCGATGAACATGAAGACGCATGCCGCACAAGAACCCATGAGTCGAGAAACTTTACTAAGAGCGTATCGAAGGCCAAGTTCATGTTTGCTCCAGGTGCGAGCTGGCCGGCGACAAGTAGCCATACAGTCGTCATAGGTCCTCTCCTTTGAGCAAGAGCGTTGATGACTGGGAATTGGAATGCCAAAGGCAACACTACAGACATATGACTTTTTGCCAGGGCGAGCATGCAACGGGGGAAAGAAGAATATCTGGAACATGCCGTTGGGAATCCCGAAAGCTGAGAGTATATTGCTGATGCGAGGAGGATCAAGTCCCGTGTTTCAAAGAACAAGAGCTGAGTTGAATGAATAGCGATATCCATCATTGAATATTGAAGGCCAGAGTCATGTATCCGGGTGCGGCAACGATTGCACTGGAAACGTAGTCCGAACTGAAATAAAGATTATTATATAATCATCCTGCTAATGATGCGCCCTCACTTGGCCCTCACCATTCCGAATATCCAATTGATGAGGACCAACTTGTAACTCTGAGTCTCCAGCTCGCATTGGCAGGTTCAGTACGAGAACCCTTCTACCTGAGGCCTGACTCGTGCTCGAGCAATCATCAAATGCATCGAGGGGATATCTGTTTTTATTGCTCATTACCAGGCACTTGCAAGTGATGTTCAGAACCAAACCCGGTACCGCGCGCTAGCTTACATTTCGCTTGTCAGCTAAACAAACGATATGAAAACGTTCAAGTGGACCGTCTAGTCAGCCTTATGGAGTATCTGGTGAGCGTTTTGACAAATCATCTCATGTGTAACGCGTAACGTCAGCAACTGAAGGATGCTAGCCACATCATAACCGTAGTGCCGTTCTGATCGGCTTCACTCCTATGTTTTAACGAACTGCTTCCCTCATGCTTATCGAAATCCTTGGAATTCAAACCAACTAATCCTCTTGCCAGCTTTGTGACCGCCACATATGAACTCTGTTCATCATCCCGTGCTAGTCGTAAGTGATCTGCCTATGACACATGTTTGCAGCCCAGCTGAATTCCTTGTTAGGTGGGCGCTGGGCCAGTGGGTCTGGTAGCAGCGTTGACGCTTCTCCAAAATGGTATCCCAGTTCGTATCATCGATAAAGACCTCCACCATCGCATCGGACAGCGTGGTGCTGGAATATGGGTTTGTCACACATCCACTTATAATATCGCCCCGTGGTCTCACTGAATGCATTATCTATGTAGCCGCGCTCCCTTGAACTCTACAACTTCCTGGACGTTTCAGAAGTTAATGGTCTGGGAAAACCAGCCCCTCCCACCCGTTCATACAAGCCCGGGACGTTGGAACCTCTGAAAGACTCATCGATAGCCCCGCAAATGGAACCCAGTCCAGCAATACCATTCGTGGGAAACATCGTCGCTTGATCAAACCTTCATGCTCATTCGGTTTTTAGCACGGCCTCAAATTGATGGGTCAACAGCTCCTAGATGTGATTTTGCGACGCCACCTAGAGAAGTTCTCTTGTTATGTCGAGATGGGCACCGAACTGCGCTCGTTCGAGCAGTCCGATGAGGGCGTCACCGTTATTCTAGCAAGGAACGGCATATCAGAGACTGTTGATACTAAATGGATCATCGGCGCTGATGGTGCTAAAAGTAAGACGCAGTTAAATCCATCGGGATAAACGAGACTGAAGGTAGTTTTGCAGGCGTCGTGCGCAAGGAACTTGGGCTCACATTTTTGGGCTCGACTAGAGACGATGTCCGGATTGTGACCGGGGATATCCGTTTGAAGGGCATTGGCCTCGATAGAGCGGTACGTCCACTTTCTACGTATTCGATGGATAACTGTTCTAATGCAGTCTTGAAGTATTGGCACCGAATTGGAAACTTTAATGAACGAGGGTATGTTGAATTGAGGCTCGGAGACGTGTATATTGACGATGTGCAGCCTTTTATTGCGTCCAACAGACGAAGTTGGCGAAGACGGCTGGCAATTTTTCCTCTACGGCCACGAACTAGACATACCGAGGATCGCTCAGAGCGAAGAGCTTGTTTTCGAGACCATCGCTTCGTTAATACCAACAGAGATTACATTCACCAAGGTGGTTTGGATGAGCGACTTCCGGTGCGTTTTGTATTTTTGTCCGTGTCCATGCACGTTCATCGGTTTGTTCCAGGGCCAATATCCGGATGGTGAATAAGTTTAGCGAGGGTCGAGTGTTCGTTGCGGGCGGTAAGTGGTTCTGTTTGAGATGTGTGTGGCCGTGCTCATGCATGTTGTTGTACTAGATGCTGCACAGTATGTCTATCTTTGAACGCCTTCTTCGCAAACTGCTGCTAACACATATCCAAAGCGTCCACAGCCCAATTGGTGGTCAGGTATGGTTGAGCCGATTGTTGATGATACCTGCTCATTTGTCTATGAACAGGGACTCAATTCAGGTGTACAAGATGCAGTGAGTCAGGTGGATGTAACATGTGTGTTATAACTAACCGCGCGTCAGTTCAATCTAGGATGGAAACTTGCGCTCGTTCAGAAAGGGTTGGCTGACAGATCTCTTCTCGAGACATACAGCGCCGAGCGTCTGCCTGTGATCTCCGAGATGCTCGGGGTGACCACCTCGATTCTCGATAAGACAATATCATCTGGAGACCTGTCACTCGGACGAAGTCCCATCCTTTACATGCTCGGCATCAACTGTCGATTCAGTACCATTGTACTCGATGAATTTGTGACTTCAGTTGAGGGGAGGCCTATCAACGCATACAGAGTGCTAGACGAGGGGCATCTGGAGGCTGGGGACAGGGCGCCTGATGCGTCCAATATGCTGCAGTTGGGGTGCGAGCCTGACGAGACGACACTTTTTAGTTTGTACAGACCCTGGTACCATACAATGCTTGTATTTGCGCCGAGTCTCGCTGATGCTACCCCAATCTTGGGTGCATTGGAAGCATACAACCAAAGTGTCGTGCGATCGGCAGTCGTTCTGCCATCATCAGCATCAGTGACGCCTGTCGCATCGCCTGCTGACTTCGTTCTTCAAGTTGTTGATCGTGAGGGCTATGCTTATTCGGCTTACCTCATGAAAGCTGGCCAGACGAAGGTGTTTGTGGTACGGCCGGACGGGGTGATTGGGGCTATCGTTCATGGTGCAGAAGGCGTGAGGAAGTATTTCTCAAAAATATTTTGTGGGGCGTAGTAGTGGCCTGAATATTCATTCTTTACTTACAATTTTACAAGCACAACTTATTCCTGTATATCTTCGTCCAATGTAGCGTATCGCGCTTGTAACTAAAAATGACTCTTATGCGCAAGATTCAAGGACGGACTTAATGATCGGACCCGGATCTGAAGGTCCTTCAAGTTGATAGGCCCAACAAAAACATGGACGCCGATCCAAAATTGAACGCTATGGTCAAACATGCGCAATGATCTTCAGCCTCAATACCAGTGCAATCCGCAGCATTGATGACATCCAATTCACGGATTTTGTGGATCATGCGCATCGGAGAAGACCCTCCGGAAATCGACAGAATCTCGCACTCCGAGTGATGGCGGAGACCACAAACTTCGACGACATCATGGACTTTCTCTCCCCACCACATATTCTCGAAGACGTTGAAATCAGTGCATTCCTTTCCCATCTCAACGTCTATGTCGATGAATTCAACCTCAAATCATTGCCGGGCGATTTTCGTAAGTATCGCAACTGATATTAATCACACATTCCACTCCGATGGGTTAATATTGCAAGGTAGTCGGGGGTGTGTTCTTATGTGTTCAATGAAGTCTGCTCAGCTTAGTCTGAACTGAAATAAGATTCTTATATGATGTTGCGCCCTCGCTATCCATTTGATGAGGGTGTGGCTACCAAGTAGCTCCGAGTCTCCACCCTAGCTCGCATTGACAGGTTCAGTATGAGTGCCGGAACCCTTCTACCTGAGGCCTGACTTGGGCTTGAGCAAATTATCTGATGCATCAGAGGATATCTTGTCTTTCTACATAAGATGGTGTTTGAAGTACCCCAGTATTTGTGACAGTGCCGCGTCACAGCGGCGTCACATAATAAGCAGTGCCGCGTCACGGCGCGTCACGACCGCGCCCATCCGGCCATCACCGAAATTCCCCAACTCGGATTTTTTTTTTATAAAAAAAAAAACAAAAAAAAACAAAAACAAAAAAAGGGTTGATAAGGGCTGACCAGGACGTGCAAGGTCGCAAAAGGTGCACCAGGCATATCAGCGCACGGAAGGTGGGGGAAACAACATATAAGATCAGGTTGAGAAACTCGATTGTAGGTAAGATGACGAAGGTTGGGTAAGTAACTCCTACCTTAGCGTGGATTTTGAGCTTAGAAGCATTGGTATGCCCATATTAAGTACTTATATGTTCTGATCTGGCGATGAATTCTGATAAGACCATTTCATTTCAGTATTGTAATACATGGTATGAGCAGACAGTAAAAGTACACCTAAGAGTGGAACATGCATGATGCACCAAAGCTTCTCTAATAGCGGACATGCACCAAAGCTTCTGAAGGAGACTTGGTATGACAACAACAACAAGAGGGAAACATGCGATGATTGGACATCAGACAGCAGTTTGAATGTGAATTGCAAATGAGAGGTGGGACGACGGCAAGAGCGAAACATGCGACGAGTGGACAGCAGCTTGAATATTACAAATGAGACAGATGGATGAGAAAGACACATCCTGAGTGAGAAAAATCAGCGTCGACAATGAGACAAAATGGACGATCATTACAGATCATTTTCTTCCCCTCCTTTTCTTCAGTGCGCTAGTGGATTTAGCAGTCTTGCTGCTGGCCTTGGGTTGAGCTTTTTGGGGCAATCTTCGAACTGGAGCCTCAACTTCCTCTGCGTTGGATTCCGTAAGTGGGCTTTCCGGTTGAGCTGACTTCTGTTTCTTGCGGGGAAGTGGTGTGGATGCCTCGGATGGTGCTGTGTGAACAGGATGTGACTTTGAAGTTGAGGGAGCAGCTGCAGGTGAGCATGGGGCTTGCACCTGGGGCTTACTAGCCACACCCTGACGTGGCTTGGGACGTGGCTTGGGAGCCAGGGGAGCAACTGCAGGTGAGCATGAGGCTTGCACCTGGGACTTACTACTAGCCACAGGGTGATCCAGTTTTGAAGCTGGGTGAGCAGGTGAAGAGGAATGTGGAGTAGGAGAAGATGAGGCTGACAGGCTTGGGTCCTTGTGAGTATGCAGCCGTGGAGGAAGCACCTCTGAGTCAATACTTGATGGAGCAGGCGGTGGTGGAGCAGGTTTCACTGTGCTTGCGAGATTTGCAGACCGAAGAGCAAATTGTTTGCACATCAATGCAACGTCGTCTTCATCTTTGTCCAAGTCTCTGACATCTGAGGTTGCAGAGGTCGAGAGGGCAGCAGCGCGTCCAGCCTTGTCTGTGAATAATTTTCTTAAAAAGAAAAGTGATCAGTGAATGTACTACAAGAACATTTAGATGTACAGGTTGTAGTGTTGTAGTGTTGCTGTTGCCCATGCTTTGTCTGGCAGATTGTGAATGACGTCGATGATCCTGTAATAAAACTTTCGATATGAGAATTTACTGTCCTCTGTGGTCCATTTGTCACGAGAAGTGATTGCTGAGCGTGCCTATTGTGGAAGACAAATAAATCAGTGAGTTGTGTGCTACATAATGACTCACCTGGACAGCTGCATAAGCAATATTTTCAGCCTCTGCCATCATCATTCTGTGGATTACAGCATTGCAAGAATTAGAGACATGGAAGTCATCTCCAGCAAGTGCAGACGAGGGACTGGTAAGTACATGTTTCATAACCTTGAGCAAGGTGAGTGGTCTGTTGTTGAGAGATCAACACATGGAAACTCACACATTCAACTAGAAATCCTTCAAACAGGCCATCCTGTACATTCATTGGGTTGAAGGCCTCCCCTGCCACTCCAGCGGCTCCGGCCCTATGAGACAGTGCGGGCCAAGCTCGCGCATCCATGTTGATGGCTCCAGCCTCGAGTTTGGCTTTAGTGCTGGTCGGGTGATATGAGTATTTGAACACACCAAAAAAAAGTATGTACACTGAGGGGTCCTTTTAATATTCAGAAAGGAATTTGATAGGACACAACATGCATGCCAGTTGTGGGTGGTTGAGACCCATCTTGGCACATGATTCCTTGCTTTCAGGGAAGACAGAAGGCTTGAGACCCTTGCCATCGAAGGTAGCATATCGTGTGATGCTCCTTTTCAGGTGAGCTGCGTCTTCAGATCGTACTTGTCCAATCAAGTATTGCATCTGCACAGTCGTTAGTCAACTAAAAGGTGCATATATGCGCACAGTACATTGTCGAGAATCTCCTGTAGCTCATTAGACTTCTTTCGATCACCTTTAATAAGTTCTTGGAGATAAGGTGTGCCAGCAATAGTCTTCTTGTAGGTTCAGAGGATCTGGTTCTGTGCGTCCTTCGATCTAGTAGCTGTTAGTCATACAGCTATGAAACACGACAAAGATTACTTACATATTGGACAGAAGATTACTGTGTGCCTCATCCACATCAGAGTCGTCGTCAGATTGAGCACGTGCGTCCTTGATTAGAGGTGCAATGCGGAACACCATCAGGAAGGTGTGTTTTTGCCATAACAGGTATTTGTTCCTACAAGTAGCTGCTAACAGCTACTGAGACCTGCCAAGAGTCACTAAGTGCTATTGCCAGATGTCATGAAATTTTTTCACTTGAAGTGTATATACTATACTACTATCAATTACTAATGAAAGTTGTAGTCCTCATCAAGGGGAGTCTATCCACAGTCTCATGACGTCAATAGAGTGAAATCCTAGTGAGTTATTAGCAAAATACTAGAAAGTGATGTGTTCAAGAAAGTTCAGGCACACCAAATATTAGTTGGTTGAAAATTTTCCCACGATCTACCCTAGTCATTCCTTATCATTCGAAATCCTAGTCACTATTAAGCAATCATAGTTTTAATAAGCAAAACATGGTCACATGACTTGTGTGCCTGAACTTTCTTGAACACATCACTTTCTAGCATTTTGCTAATAACTCACTAGGATCTTACTCTATTGACGTCATGAGACTATGGATAGACTTCCCTTGATAATGTCTATAACTTTCATTTTGGTTGAAAACTTTCCCACGGTTTACCCTAGTTGTTCCTTATTCTTGGCTTAATCAAAAGGACTTAGACGAATTTTTGCAATTGTGATGATATAAGCACAAACACAAACAAACATGAATAATGTCTAACGTCTCTTCTCTTTCTTATTTTCTCTCTTTCTTACCTTTTGGTTTCATTTTGTTCTCTTCACTGATAACTGTAGGCACTGTGGGAAACAGTGAGCAGGAGGGCGGGAGGCGCTAAAGTAACTGGGTTACTTTCCCGCCCATCAACAGTGAGCAAGCATAGGTCTTTTTTGTGAGTTTTTCTAATGTTTTTATTTCTTTCTTGCTCTCATTCACACTCTTCCCTTGGCAATTTCTGATCTTTTTGTCATTTGGTGAGTCCACTCTTCTTTCCTTTGTTTTTCTCTGACACTCAGGCTCTGCTCCTGCTCCTGCCCCTTTTTCGCTCTCCTCTCTCTCTCCAGCTCTCTGCACCTGCACTTGTTTTCACTCTTCCTTCTGCTCTTGCTCCTGCTCTCACTCCTACACCTGCTCCTGTTGTGGCTTTTGGTAAGTTTTTTTATCTCTCTCTCCGGTTCTCTCTCTAACCCTCTTTTGCTAGCTATCTCCCTTCTTCTTCTCCTAGTATTCCTCAAAATTCAAGTTTTTGACTTTTTGGTAAGATCTCTTAGATATTGTAGTTAGTATTATATGCCCATGTATTAGTTAGTGTGAATATACTTGAATTTTCGCTTTCTGTTTTGTGTCATAATGCCAACAAATAGCTACTAAGAGCTATAATGCCAAGGTCATTGGAATTTTTTGACTTGTCCATTATAGCTACTAGGAGCAATTATAGCCATTATAAGAAAATATGCCACTATTATGAGGGCTATAGAAGGGACTTGTCAATAATTGGCATTTATGCTATAAGAGCTATTAGGAGCTATAATGGCAAGTACACATTTTCCTGATGTCACATCCTTCAGTATACAGAACATGTTGATCAATCCCTTGAGGGATCCATCGAGCGAAGTTCAGACATTGATCACATGGTGTTATAGCACCCCTTCCTGCATGGTTAGAATGATATCCATGAGTGTTGATATTACTTACTTTTCCTCCTTTCTATGGCTAAAATAAAATATAAAGTCAATATATGCGTGTATATATGCCAGGAACTCATGATCGTGGGCATTTAGATGACTTGGCTTTCAGATGCAGCTTTGTTTCGACTTTCTCTTCTTCCTCATCAGAAGGTTTGTGCTTCTGCTTACTGAGTTTTGATGGTTGTGGGGGTGAATTGGACTTGTGCTTGCATTTCCCGAGTTTCACAGGCTCTGGAGAAGATTCGAATGAAGTCTCAGATTTCTTACCACATATGCATATGAATCTGATGATTCAGAGAGGGCAGACGAGCTTGAAGACGCACCAGCACGACAACGCACTGACATGATGATGGTATGACTTAAGGGTTAGGGCATGGGACTGATATGATTAAGTTCTGAATGTTTGTTTATGTTGATGTGATAGGTCACATGATTATATGCACTATATGTGCAACAAGAAGTACAAAGTTAATTCTACAGTTACAATGTGAGTTCCCCACCCGAAATGTTTGGAACGACGCTTGTCTACCAGCTTGCCACCAATATTTCATCCGGAAGGATGTGAACAGAGTTATCCGTGACAATCCTGCTCTACTAGATCCCAACACACCTCTCTGCGACTAGATGGAGGCTCTTTTTCTCAAACCTCTCCGGTGGCTTCGAATCAGATTACACGGGTGTCCACCTTTGTTGTTTGTCGTCGATGCCCTTGATGAATGCATATTGGAACACGAGCTTGCTGATCTCATTCTTTCCCTCACATGGGCTCTTCATGACCCAGATCTACCCGTGATCCACGTTCTGCTCACAAGTCGCTTGGAATCACATATTAGCAAAGTCTTCAATGTCAGTACTTCCATCTCTTATCTCTCGCAAGCTGTCTGACCTCTTTGACAGTTCTTGAAGGAACTTGGGCCAGGCTGCTCACAAGTCACTTGGAATCCCATATCTCTAAAGCCTTTCAGAAGGAAGAGGTGTTTCATTGTGGCATCTACGTCTATGATGATGAAGTTCATTATCGATGATGAAGACAATGATCCCCATGATCGGTTACAGCTGATGCTCCAACTCACGAGCTCACTGCTACCAGGAACAGAGGTGTACAAGTTATACAATTGTATCTTCTCTACGCTGACCCCAAGTAGGCTTACATGCACTTGTCCATTGTTGCCGCTCTTGCAGACCCTCTTCCCATCTCGCAAATCTCGTCACTTCTTGGCCCTGGTTTGGGCAGGGATGTGCAGACAATGCTGATACAGCTATGGTCTGTCATGGATATCCCTACAGACAGCACTCACCCTGTGAATATCTATCACTCATCCGTTCACAACTACATTTTCGACCCCTCCAACTGCAGCCTCCCTCAAGTATGCGATATCACATCACCCCACTCCCTACTCGCACATTCGTCTCTCCGCTTGATGACAGAGATTATGTTCCACTTTACTCAACAGCACAGGATGTCAAGCAGCTTAGGCTGCAATGAGGCTGACTCTGACTGCTGACAGTCATTAATTCTTGCACATTTCAACAAGTGTTTTGATTCCCACCTTATGTTTGTGGCCTCCTTCTCATTTTCATCTGTCACTAACATTCATTTTATTTTACCAGGTGGGTCTTTTGGTTCCAACAACAGCGCGCTCCAGGAGTTCCTTGTCAGTGAACTACCAGAGATATTGACTATATTTCAGTCACATTAGTCTTGTTCTTGCTGTTCTGGTTCGGAAGATGCACTTATCCCATCAACCTTGCAGTCGCCTCCTGTACCATCAACCACGCACTCTGTCATATTCATCTCAATTTTTGACATCACACGTACGAACCACAGCCTTCGACAAGAAGCTCGTGAAAGAAGTGGAATTGTTCTTTGACCATGAGCGGCTGTTTTTCTGGCTCAAGTCACTCTCCCTGATCAATGCACTCAGCAGTGCAGGCCCTGCCCTACAGGGCCATCCCAAATTCAAAGTTGTCTCGTCGACTGCAATTGACGTACGGAGGTTCATTCAAGTCTTCGGCAGCATGATTTTACACAGCACCGGCTGTTCAAACCGTGCTCAGGGGGCACACAAAACCAGTTACTTCAGTCTCAGTCTCATTCTCGCCGGATGGCACTTGCATTGTCACTGGTTCAAGGGATGAGACTGTTCGGCTGTGGGATGCAGGGATGGGGAAGCCAGTCAGTGAGCCCTTGTGGGGGCACACTGATAGAATTACATCAGTCTCGTTCTCACCAGATGGAACTCACATTGTCACTGGATCTCTCAAGCTCATATGCTTGCCATTTTTAATGAACTGCTTGTATTAATACAAATATGTGTTATAATCATTGCTAGAGCGCACTATATCCTGCCTGAGCAAGGAAATCATCATCCAGCTCCTCATCAGAGTCTGGAATAACTTTGTCTAGATTGTCCTCATCCTGCGGTGATTCATTATGCCCATCCTCATCATCATCATTCTCATCCTTGTCATTGTCACTCTGGTCAGACTCAAGGACTTCATCTAGATCTCCTTCAGCCATATCAAAATCTTCCTCGTCACTTGAGTCACTTGCTGCAGCATCCTGTGGAGTAGGCACACCATCACGCTGCAAGAACTTGTCCCATTCTCATGTGATTTTATGACACCACCGCAGAATCTCATAAACATGTCACGATCGACAAACCTATTAATGAGAGTAAGACACCGTGCTGAGAATAAAACAATGTGACTTACATGTTGACATAAAAACATTGCCAGTCTTCATCAGCCTCTTCATCACGATGAACAAACAAAGGTCCAAGATACTGTGTTGTGCGCTTGTAAGCGTAGGCAGGAATCAAGTGTACCCCATGGATCACTTGATCAGGATTGACAAAGCCAGAATCAACATCTGGATTACTGGTGTCATTGGTGATAAAACCGATGCGATGGAGGCATTTGTTTGAGAAACCAGCCAGAAAGGACATGTCCCGTCCAAACCAGCGCATGAAAAGAACATCCATACACCTCAAGGTCAAAGGTGCATTGTCACCACCATAGAACCAAACATTGACATGAAATATGCAGATTAGTTGGGCATACCAGTAAGGATGCCTTTCATCATCATTCTCGTGCAAGAGAACCATAAGATCAGCGTGAGTCCTGGGGTTAATACAATCTTGCTCCCTTCATAGATCATAGGTTGTGTAATTGATCTGTAGGATACTATGCTCATGGATCTTGTTGTAGGCCAGGACCACAAGATCTCGGTCTGCATCAGAGAAGTCATGTTCATCACCTGAATAATTGATACCCTGGAGATGAGCAAGGAGATGATCCTTGAGTTGGGGGATGAAGTTCTGATGGGCACATCCAATTAGTACATATATAAAAGAACACGTAAAAGAAAAATGAACTGTTTTGGCAGAATCACCATCGTCAAAATCGCTTAACCAGCCAGTGAGGTGGTGGGATGCCCTAGGATATTTTGAAATATGATAGTGGTCGGAGGGGGGGGGGGTGCATTGACGCCTTCATGATTGTCTCGACCTTAGAGATATGACCCTATCTACTTGAGCAATGATCCTCACAATTAGACGAGTTCGTGCCTCTTGAACGACCATGTTCTTCAGCAGTGTCTTCTTATTTTTTGGTGTCCTGGGATACCAGCATTTAGCACACCAATGCTGCAACTCGCCCTATGAGAATGCTAGTGAGTACTAACTCAACAATCAATTGCCACACTCACTAGTTGTGTTGAGTAGTTATCAGTTGTCCCCATCAGTTGGATTGTGTTGGGATAATCTCCGAGCGCATGATATTTGTAAGTTTGAAGGTTAAGTTTCTGGACCTTTGGACCAGATGACTGTCCCTTCCCTTTTTGCTTGGAAGATTGTCCTTGCTTGGTGCTCAGAGCAGCTTCACACTGGCCTTGTGAAGCATACTCCTGGGGAAGTTCAGTAGTGTGGTAGTACTCACAGGTAGTATTCCGGAATTGTCGAACTGTCTTCCCAAGAGTGACAGTAGCATGGTCAAAGAAGGAAAGGGTATTGTCAGTGTGCATGTGAAGCTTGGCAAAAGCATGCCAAGTGGCTAAGTCGAAAAGTAGGTCCGAGACCATCAAATTGTGAACTCCAGGTAGCAGACCCTCAAATACAGGAAGAGCACACTAGCAGTCCATGATATCAGAAATGTGAGATACAAACAAATCTGTCAAATTACCTGAAGAAGGTCTTTGAAATCTCGAGCCACTAGTCGCTTCATAGCTGAGGCATTTGTACAAAATTGTCGAATAGTGCTGCGACCAAAAGTGGGGATCATCCAATAGCTTCAGACATGGTTAGATTAGTGAACTTGTTAATGTGAGTACTTACTGCTCATTCAAATCTTGAATTGCTCTACCACCTTGAGCATGGAGAATGCACAAGAGGTGAATGAAAATATGCTTCCAAATGCCAAGTTCAAATTCATGCAGAAGATCAATCACAAAGATGATGAAGACATTGAAGTCAAATGGTCCCAACTGAACTGAGAATACATTCTGTTTCAATTTATTAAGCATCAGTCTCAAAACACCAGAAAAGATCAATACTCATGTGGATAGGGACATAAGATTCACCATTGAGAAGACTTTTGATGTGAGCACCATCAACGGATGCACCCGACTGAAAAATAAGCCTTCAAGCATCTTCTACACAATGTCGGTGACGTTCATTGTCTACCCACTGCCTAGTCTCACGGCATTTCATGTCAAGCTTGGTTCCCATATCGGGAACATCAGATTTCTTGATGAGACAATGTGGGCACAGACACTGGCCCAAAAACTTAATAGTTGCGAGAAGAACCTACAAGAAGCTAGTAAGCATGCAAGAAAACAATTGAAGAAAACAATTTGACTCGCTTCTCCAGATAATCTGCAGAATATGAGAAAAATCAAGGGAAAACACGACATGTGATTCCGTTGCTACAATGAATGACTACTCCATGCTCATATGCGTGCATGAAGTCCCTGTCGAGTAACAGCTGCCAGATCGATTGAACAAGTTCACGCTTGAGAAATGTGTGGACCTGGTCCATTGTGCCTTTGCCAAAGATGTTAACATATATGTCTTGGAGATTATCAGGAAGCTGCAGTATATATATATATCTTATATCAATGATCATACAAATTGTCGTTAAGATCGAACACACCAAGGGAATGTAGGCCATGTGGTGACATGCAGACCATGTTGGCTTCCCTCGAGTGTACTTAGATTGGTTGCCAAAGTACAGGTAAAATGGCCATAACGAGGCGTCTCCGAAACTGGCAAGATGGGTCACATCGGACCACATCATGAGAGGGGCCAGTACATGTTCGAGGTCATCATCTGGTTCACGAGGAAGGGCATTGATCTCCACATAGGCACCAAGCATGGCAGGTGAGGAGTATGCTTCAGAGTAGACTTGGACTGTTTTGGTGTCAGAGACCTTCCAGTACTCCGAATAGGGAGTCATGTGGAATGTCTTGGCAATGTCATCCTCGAATGTTGAGCGGATGATTGACATTATTGAGCGGTGATAAATGCCTGGCACCTCGAGTTCTGGTGCATGTTTCTCAGATGGCCATGTCTGGTGTTCTTTTGGGAGGCGTATTTTGACTGTTGACTGACACCAGCCAAATTCTTCTCGCAGTGGATTTGTCTTGTCTTGCAGGTATTCATCCATTAGTTTGGACTTGCGAGCACAATTGAAGCCAGGGATATCCTCCAATGTGAAGTCTGGGTGCTGATGGAAGTGAGCTAGTTGGTTAACTTCGGCATCAGACTTCTCGTTGGTTCCAGTATAGCGCCAAGTCATCATTAACCCGCATGTTGGATTGGTAAATGGATCAAAAATATGATCATTATCCACATCAGGAGGAGTGAATAGACACATGTGTGTTGGATGACTCTGTCGCCCGTTCTCCTTCTAGCGTTGGTGCATCTGTGCAATTGATGAGAGATGAGTCATTGGGGGGAATAAATGTGGGGCGTGTCGGGTAGATTCGATATAGTCCCATAGAATCGGGCTCTGTCTTGAATGACTCAGCCAATGGTTGGTTGATAGATGGCAAACCTTTGTCAGAAGGCTGTGATAGAGGTCGGGGAGGAGACGGGTGATTCTCAGCTTGCTGCCGTGGCATGTGTGCCAGGGGTATATCTGAGCCAGGAAGGTAGTCAACAAATCGTCGAGGCATACGGATAGCACACCCCAAACGTTTTGAAACAACGGGTGGGGATGGGGTGGGCAGAAGTGCCTGGCCTGCAACAGGTGCGTCCTAAAAGAAATTACTATGGATACACGCAGATAACTAAACATGAACTTACATCGTCAAATGTAAGTGCCTGACCTGAAGGCCCTGCAAGAGGTGCGTCCTGAAAAATTGCTATGAATACAGGCGCATAGTCGTTAAAAACCAACTTACATTGTCAAACAGAATGTCCTGATCAAGGTCGATGTAGTCGAGTTCTTGCTCATCAATGGGGGTAGCTACACGAGCCTTCTTATCACGAAGCTTGTCTCTTGCTCATGATTTCCGCTTTTTCTCCTGTTTTTGATGAATTGAGTCCAAGGTGAAGGCAAGATTTTCCTCGCATTTCGAAGCATGAGCAGAGAGCTGTTTCTGTGTCTTGAAAGTTCTTTTACAAATGCAGCAGGGAAGATCCATGTGGTAGTAGTGAAGTCTGCAGTAAAAGTTGAGAATATAAAGGACAGGGAATTAATGCACATGTCTGGATTGCTACTCTGAGTCGGAGCTTGTGTTCTGCAGTGATAAGGTCAGAACACAAAGGACAGGGAATTAACACACATGTCTGGAGTGCTACTCTGAGTCGGAGCTTGTGTTCTGCAGCAATAAGGTCAGAACACAAAGGACAGGAAACCAGCTTGCCTCTATGATGAGTTATCCTTGAGAAGAGGAAAGGTTGGTTCCATCTGTGGAGATAAGGTAAGGATGTTAAGCATGGTGAATGAGTCACTCACAGCTCACCTTCAGATGCCTGGTGAGTTCCATATCCAAGTCACAGGTGGTTGGTCAACCGGCAGTAAGCACAATAGATCCTCAAGTTTGTGGTTGTACTCAAACTGGAGGGTCTATTGAGCTTACCGCATAGATATGATGTGAGATGAGGCGGTGTCGACTTGGAGTATGAGGGCATGAAAAACAACCTGTTGTGTGACACTATGTGACATGTTGGTCGGTCTATGGTAAGAACATATCTGGGGAGCATGGACAATATCTGAACTTACCAGTGGCACACCAGTCTTGTAGAAACCTTACATGTTTATGAGTATGTTGTGGTATAGCTGATGAGTGAGGCATTCAGCCTGCGAGCAGTTGTGAGCACGTCATCATCACACCTAATCGAGTCATTGGGGCTCGCAAGATTGTGGCGCAGGGAAGTGTCCGCATAAGGCAGTCTTCAGATTTCTGGAATTTAGTATATTGCTGATGTGAGGAGGATCAAGTCCCATGTTTCAAGAAACAAGAGCTGAGTTGAATGAATAGCAATGTCTATCATTGGATGTTGAATATTGAAGGCCAGAGTCATGCATTATCCAGGTGCGGCAACGATTGCACTGGGAAAGTAGTCCGAACTGAAATAAGATTCTTATATAATCATCCTGCTAATGTTGCGTCCTCACCATTCTGAATATCCAATTGATGAGGACCACTCCGAGGAGGGCATCTGGGATCTCAGAATTTCGGCCCGTTCGTCCCATTCGCCTGTTCGCCCCATGCAATTCAACATCACATAATCAACAGGTAAATTGAAGACAAGTACAAGTATTAATAATATATAATATGTGAATATGAATATTTTATTTGACCCCACATAATATAATACTGCTGCTCGTCACATGATGGCAAGCCACATGGCACTTTTTCCTTGAGTGGTGATGTCACTCGAGGAAAAAGTGCCATGTGGCATTCTCCCTTCAAATATACTGTGTAGTTGTGCCTAGAACTATATTGTGTCAATGTACATCTCTGTTGTTTGTTTGCATCTATTACTGTAATTCAAGTGAGGAAACACCCGAAGGTGTTCAGAACGCTTGTATAATATATATTATGCAAGTACCCATTTGTACTTTGAGTGGCAAACAGTGACCACACATGAGAAACAGCGACAAGGCTACAGAATATTGCAAACTATCATCATGGACAATCAGGACCAGCTTCTGCAGCTCTTGCAGTGTGCTGACCTATCTAGGCTGAAGATGTCACTGGCTGCTATTTTCCGCTTCATTAGTCTGGCAACTAGCCTCAAGAATGATATCCTTTTGGTGCAGCTTGGAGACCAGGATGTCGATGAACCACCTGCTAATCTCTCACTAAGCCTTTCTTGTTTCCTCTCTGCTAGCTGTGATATATCTATGGACAACATTCCTACATTCTGGTTTGCACTAAAGCATATCATTTGGAATGAAGACTGCTTTGGCATCAATGATCACCTTCCGATGTTTTCACTATATGGACGCAAGCATGGGATCAGTGTGTAAGATCAGTAGTATTGTTGTACAATACTGATGTGTTAATGCCAGCACCACGTACCCTGTATCTACCCAGTCAAACTTGCACTACACCTGGCTGCTTGAACTGCAGAAAATTAATGATTGCAAACCAATGGCCAGCTGTGCTGTATACACTTGCCCATGGCCCCATTGCCACCTATTCAGTAGATCTGAAATGTGAAGGTATGTACAACAATTGATCCAAACTTTCTGTGCGCTACTAACATAAGCTAATCAGTTTATAATATCAACTTTCATCACTCCTTTCAGGTTGATCACAAGGTACCCCCGGGCTGAACGCAAGCGTACATACTATGGCAATGTTCCTGGCATCATTCACATTGGAGGCCACCAGTTTGTTGAGACAGCTGTTGTACATATGTGGCGCTCACAATGCCTTCTCTCCTGGTGAGCCTCAGGCTTATCTTGCACCCCCCAGCCTTACTGACAGAGTAACAGGACATCTATGTCTAATTGTGCTCGTCTATACAATGCTACTCTCTCAACAGGCGCTTCTCCTCCTCCTAACTTCCCTTTTGGATTTGAGGTCACCGGCAACCATGTATGGAGTGGAATTGTCCAGTTGTCCCTCATAGAAGACCTGGGGTTGTGTGAAGAGACTTTGACTGTGCGCCATGGTGGTGATCACAAAGACTGCTTTACACAAGCCATCCAAGCTCGAAACTTGCGCATCCAAATGTACGGCCAAGAGGAGCTACACTACTATTGTTCAAAATGCACAATTATCTATGATGACAATGGCAATGGGATCCCAACTAGCAAGCTATCTGTTGTCGTCATGGATGGTGTCACTGTTGGTCACCCATGTTGCGGAGTTCATAACTGCCATGACCCACTTCTCAATAACCATGACCGCTTTTGTCTCAGGCACTTGTCGCTCATCAATACCTGTGCCATCATTGGGTGCAACTGCATGGTTGTCCCCTCGATGAAAACATGTGACATGCCCACCCACCAAGCAGTCAAGAAGGCTTACACTGAACAGGGTCAAGCTCGCTTTCAGCTTCAAGAGCGGCTCCAGTGCACTTTTGTTGCTACCCCACCGGACTCTATTCCGGAGGAGGAGTATCATGAGGAGGAGTTTCATGTTGATATGCAGGGACTGAGGCAACAACCTCACAACGGCCAACAGCAAGACTTCATGCACAGTTTGGACGCAAACACACTCACAATGAGCAACTGATCATTTCCCCTTGTGGAATGATCCTAGCACGAGAAACATTCTTTGGTGCAGAGGGTGTGGCAAGCGTCATTGTGAGTATGTTTCTGCGACATGAGAATCATCCTATATATTATCAATGTCAGGAAATGATCAAACACGTGTTCCGTGATGAGACCATCAAACCAGGTCACATATTCTATGATAATAACTGCACCCTTTCTTACATGGTCCACAATGATCTGTACTTTCAAAATGTTGGCCTCTCAGTTGATGTGTTTCATTTCAAATGCAAGCACTCGGAAGAAGACCAATGGTGCCAGGAACATTGCAATCCCGCATTTTTTGACGAGTTGAAGGGCACGAATAACACATGGTTGTTCAACTCATCATTAGCTGAACAAACCAATGTGTGGTTCGGAGGTTACCATTCTATATGTCGTGAGATGACTGCTGATTGTTATGCTTTCTTTTTGGACAAGATGATTATTCAGAAGAACCATCTCTTGAAAGTAAAGTTAGCTGCCCAAGGACGGTCTCCTGGAAACTGGCCTTTGTAGCACATACTAGTATACACTGCACTTGATAATGATAACATCCATGCAGCCGACTCGATGATATTGGCACCACTATAGAGTATGATCAGCCAGGTTTCCTAAGCAGGTTGCTGTGTGTAGTCGCACTTGAGATTTTCTCAAGAGAGCTCATCGAACCAATAAGCAGTTTAAACAACTTTGCTTGAATCATACAAATATAAAGATACTGACATTCAAAATGGGTATAATTCAGTGGCCACAATTTCAAAAGAGCGAGGTCGAGGTATCATTACAAGATACAATGAGTTACAAATCAATAGCAATACTAAGTAAGTTACAAAACAAAAATGAACCATGGACAATAAACGATGAACTAGAATGAATGTCGGTCAATTAGTCTGTAGCTAGCCATGCAGGCATGCAAGGCACTTCCTGGCAGCCTTGACCTCCCCCCCTGGTGCATGGTTCTCCTTCATAAACTTCGAGTACAGACCATCATCAGTCTTTCCCGCTTCAATGATCTCCACACGAGATGAGGGGGGAGCAGCTTTCCAGCGCTTGAGGTGATCACTGAAAGTTGATGCACAGAAGCGCACATTGGGACCATACACTTCCTCAAACATCATCTTCAGGCTTCTCCCGTCATCAATGATTGCAGCTTCAAAGACATCTGCAACCTCACATGTATAAAAGCTTTTTGGCCAGGTGCACTTGAGAATGAAGGAATTGACATCAATAGGGTCACCAGCCATCAGACCAGTAGGTGATGTTGTGAAGGTGTTGAGGCGATCTCAACCTGGCTGGGCTGATATGAAATATCTAAAATGCTCAACCAGTATAAGTGAGTCTTGGCTCTGCCTAGCTGCTATACTCGCAGAATGCAAGAACATTCGACCCTAAAGGGGACTGCTACTGAACACAGAACCAGATGAATGAAAGACCCTTGTAGTGTGATGGATGCACAAAAGCGTGAGAAGAAAAGCGAAGTGAGCGCGAAGCGCAAGAGAGCGCACTAAGGTAAGCGCGAGCATGAGAAAGTGAGCGCTAAGGCGCGCATTGTGCAGGAGAATACCAGATGAGGAAACGGATAAGGAAACAGATGTGCAAAGCAAGTGCAAATGCAGAGCGAGTGTTATAACGAGCGCGGATAATAGTCTAGTATAGCCGGATAATGATAACCATTGGAATACAAAGTGCACCCAAGTGGTGACTACTACTTTAAAGTAAAACCCAATAGCGAGGGAAGTACAGCAAAGGGGAGTAATAATGATGGAGTAGTAAGTCAGCAAACTTTATACTATGGAAATCGCATTGGAAGTGGAAGGGATAGGAGCAGTAAGCACTATGAATACGTAATGACATGTAATAGTGCTGCAATGCTTGTTACAAACCACGAGGCGAGGGATATGACGTACCAATGAGGCGCATGGACATAGACGGATGTTCCTGGATGATAGGTGATGCAGGGCGCTTAAGCGTGAGAAAGCGCGCAAGGTGCGCATGTGGGAATGCTGCGCGTTGTGTGGGAATGCTGCGCATTGTGTGGGATGCTGCGCGTTGTGTGGGAAAGTATCGCGCCTCTGGCGCGTTTCATGGGAAAGCTGCACATGATATGTGGAATGACTAGAGACATGATAGAAGTCGAATATAGCTGATGGTGCAAGTCATGCAGTGATGCCCAGTTGTCCTGAGTCGTGATATAGGCTATATATGTGTCATATCAGCCTGCAGAAACACAAGTCTCTACAGCGTCATCAGATTCATCCAAAGTGAGTTCAATAGTGCCCAGTGAATGTCATTCAGCTTTCACAATGGAGGGACAGAACACGCCACCAGTCTCGAGAAGGCTATCATCAGATGCGTCTAAAGTAAGGTCGATGGTGCGCAGTGAGTGTTCCACCTTAATGGCAGGAGGGTGTGATGATCCTTCAACATCAGTATGTATACAGTTGGTAGGACCATGCTGGTCCTGATGGCAGGCGGCAGTCTTGCGTTTGCCGGGGGCAATGACTTCGTCTGAGTAATCCAAACTGCTAGAGACCTTGATTACTGACACTAGTTTCTTGGAGGATGCCAGCTTTAATAGATCACGGTTATTGGCATGGCGTACAGATGCATGCTCAGCTTGGAGATTGGTTCGGATGTTTGGGGCACCAGCTTCACTGGCAGTACAGCCATGAAAGATGGTATCGAAGTTGGGCATGACAGAGACACCAACATTGCATATGAAGATATGATGTGCATTGAGAGTGATGACATGGCCCTGGAAAATATTGACCCATCTGCTTCTTGCTGCGTTATAGTACTGCAGCATGGAGGAGCCATCCTCGCCAGTAGTCAAGCCTAGAGCAGAAATGATGGCAGCATTCATCTGGAGCTGGGGATAGGTAAACCCATCCTGAACCTCAAACATCTCAGCCTCATCACCATCCTATAAGATAACTATTGTGAGAAGTGTGTGATGACTGTGGCTTTGAGTACCTACCTTAGACCAGCCATAGGCATGGATGGTGTTGGCCACACATCGTACAAGGTCACACTGTTCAGCATCTCGCGCTTTCTTCTGCTGAAGAATCAGCTCTTGTTCGGCATAACATTGTGTGAAGACTGGTGGAAGTTGTGATGGATGGCGAGAATTCGCAAGCATGTCAATATCTTCAGAAGCACGAGCCTTACCCTTCCTGTTCACCTTGGAGCGTGCAATAGGAAGGTTGGACGGTCTGGCAGAGGGTTCTTGAGTGGCTGCAGGGGTCACAGATGGTGGTGGGAGGGTGGCATGAGGGAATTCATGGGGTAAGGATGGGGTAGGAGCATGCATCTCTAGGTCTGGGGTAGGTCAAATTGAATCTGGGGTGTTAGATGGAGTTGTTGAATTACCATGGTGAGGATTCATTGGGACTACCAATAATGCAGGATCAATGGCAGTGAAGCGTTGACGCTCAGCTGGAGATAGCTTATGCTTCTTG